CCCATCCTCCACCCAGACCTAGCTGTGCATGCAGAGTACCTCCTCTCTAGCCTGGGAATTACAAGGATTCACCTGGATCTGGGCAGGGGCCATATTGTTCCTTCTTCCATGGGGAAGATGGTCCCACTAATAAAGCTCCTTATAAACCTCCTTCTGTACCTGACTATCTCTCTGGTCTTCAGGATGGCCGGGATGGATTCTTACACACACAAGCTCTGTGTCACTAAGCTACACCCCCAGATGTTTCATTTCATTTTAAGAGAAAACTTAAGTCCAACTCCCTGCAGGAATATCAGATTGATAGAAGAAATGCTTTGTTATCATTAAGCCAAAATAAAATAGTTGAATAATTAGTATCAATAAGCAAGAATGAAATAACCCACATGTACGTATGAGACTGCTTATGCTTTACAATGAATTTAGAGGAAAATACATCTTGGAATACTGAGGTCAGAGTTGAGATTCTGCACCCGGCCTGGTATAATGAAAACATCAGGGCTCTCTTGCTGCTGCTCTGCTGCTGCTGCTGCTGCTGCTGCTACTGCTGGTGAGTGTGTGTGTGTGTGTGTGTGTTTGCTAGTCCTGGGGCTTGAACTCAGGACCTGGGATCTGTTTCTGAGCTTCTTTTGCTCACGGCTAGCACTCTACCACTTGAGCCACAGCACCACTTCTGACTTTTTCTGTTTGTGTGGTACTGAGGAATGGAACCTGTTGAGGAAGAACATAAGTTAGCCATTTAAGGGACAAACAGTTTTTGGAAAAACCAGTTTTTGGAAAAGTTCTCGGAAAACCCACAATCGAAACTGCAATTATACCCCTAGCAACTACAAGTTAGAAAAAGGGTTGAGAAACATGACCCCAGTTACTGGAAAATGGACAAGTTGGTCAAATTCCTGGAAAAAGCAGCTGTAGGGTCATAAACAGTTAAAAAAATATATTGTTGCCTGCATTCCTATGGTTAGTCTTATGTATCCCAACCAATGATCTGCTTGCTATGTATGGTTTAACCAATCCTGTAATCACTAAGTTGGAAAGCCCCTACCTTTACTGGAAATGCTTATGCCCCTAACCAATGAGCCTACCCTGAAATTTGCCCGTGAAATGCTGACCAATTATGTAGAAGCCCGAGAACCTTAAGCCAATCATGTAACTGCTGGGATGGAAACCCCTCCTCTTGCTGGAAACCCTACATAAACCCTGCTGAACATATGGCGGGGACTCACAACTCTGACTCGCTGTGTCGGTGACGATTGTGAGTCCAGGCTGGAGCTTGCAATAAATGGCTCTCGTGTACTAGCATCAGATTCGGCTCCTTGGTGGTCTTTGGGGGTCTGCGGCCTGGCACAACAGAACCCAAGGCTTCATGCATGTTAGGCAAGCACTCTACCACTGAGCTACCTTCCCAGCCTCTGCTTGTTTTTACATAGCATGTTTTTCTTTAATCATACAACCGTGCTGATGGATTATCCAAGAGTCACTTCTCACTAGGTAAGCACCTTCAAGTTCAGCCTGTCATTTCCCTGGTGTTTTCACAGTTTGAAAGAGATTAATAGCCAGGTGTTGGTGGCTCGCACCTGTCATCCTAGCTACTCAGGAGGCTGAGACCTGAGGACCATGGTTCAAAGCCAGCTTGGGAAGAAAAGTCCGTGAGACATGGAGCTGTGTGGCTCAAGTGGTATAGCACCAGCTTTGAGCTAAAAAGCCAAGCAAGAACATGGAGGAGCTGAGGTCCAGCCCCAGTACTGGCCTAAAAGAAGAGGTTAATGAAGGAAATGAACCAATCTTTCTGTTGGTTCTATCAATATCTACCTTGCTAGGCACTTTAATTACCTTGGGCCTTGTGTCCAGTAAGAGAAGTCAGGCAAGAGAAGAAGAGAGATGGGGAGAATATGGAAGGGTTGGCATTGATCAAGATGCACTGTACTCATGAACTGGCATGTTGAATTGAAACTCCTTAAAGACCATACCATTTTAATAAACAAGAAAGGGGAAAAAGCAACCAGGAAAGTAGTAGGAAAGTTTATTAGGAAAGAAATACAATATAGAAATATGGTGGGAAAAGGAGATGGTTATGTGACTTGATGCTACAATTAGAGCGCACTTCAGTTCATCTTCAGCCATGGGGTGGGGGTGGGGCACACAAGGTTTAAAGGAAGCATTGGGTTACAGGTGCGGCCTGGCTAGGCAGTATTTCAGTTCTAGTTCTTCAGAAATCAAAACAAAGTCGTTAGCAACATCACATTAAGGAGAATGCAGGCTGAGCACTAAAGGTATTCCCATTGTGTGTGTGTGTGTGTGGGGGGGGGGCATCTGTCGTGAAAAGCTCCACGTTCCTTCTGACTTTAGTCCTTTGTCACAAACATGGTGATTTATCAGTCCTGTGTTTCCTTCAGCAAAATTAAACACATCGAGGCTTTTTGTTTTGCCTGCCTTTAGTTAATTCATGCCAGCAAAACACACTGAAGCACCTGTTGTACATAGACTTTCGGTAGTAAAAGCGGGCTGTCTCTAGGGTGCAAACAGCACTAGCCATTGGGGGTTGAGGATTTATTGGGAATGCCTGTGAGACACTTGCAGTCCAAGTCCAGCCTGCGGAGCTGAGCTCACCTGAAATCAGGAAGTTTAATGCCTCCTGATCTCCTTTTCCATTTCCTGCTCCTTTTGCGTTTCCCCATCGCTAAGGGCCAGCGGCTGCCCTTCCCTTCCTACCACCAACTAAAGTTCCCTGCCCTGTTCTAGTATTTTCATATTATCCCAGAAAGAATGGGGGAAAAATACCTACTCATTACCTTTGAATTGTAACCCTCACCCACCTCCCACATAACCACATTCTTTTTGATGTGTGTGTATGTTTGTGTGTGTGTCTGCATGCCAGTACTGGGTCTGAACTCAAGACCTACAAGATGAACTAACTCAGCTGCACAGCTAATGAGCTGAATGCTAGGTGCAACCGCCTCTCATTGCTTGAGTTCTATAAATGTTACACAGGGCATTTTCCATGTAGAAGGGACACGCCTTGAAACACGCCCCTGTGTGAGGACAACTTACTGCTACAAGTTCTTCTCAAAACTTATCACTGCAAAGCTGGGTACTGGTGATCACACCTATAATTCTTGCTACTCAGAAGGCTGACATTGGAGATTGCGGTTCAAAGCCAGCCTGTGCAGGACAGCCTGAGACTTTTTGGGGGGGAGGGGCAGTCATGGAACTTGAACTCTGGGCCTGGGCTCTGTCCCTCAGTTCTTCAGCTCAAGGCAAGTGGTCTACCACTTGAGCCACAGCGCCACTTCCGGTCGTTTATTGGAGATGAAGAGTCCTGTGAGACTCATATCCACTGAACTACCAACTAAGCTAGAAGGGGAGCTGTGGATCAAGTGGTAGAGGGCTAGCCTTGAGCACAAAATGCGAAGGGCCAGTGTCTAGGCCTAGAGTTCAAACCCCAAGACCATCACCACAAAATGACAAAAAAAAACAAAACAAACAAAAAAAAAACCCCTTACCATTACACTCAGCTGTGCTCACTTGAACAATTCAACCCTTGAAAAGCAGTGTGAGTAGTGGCAACACCAACACCAATAAACATCACATAGGCCTGACCAAAGAGGCAGTTCCAGTCATCATATTAAGAGTAGGTTGAGCTGGATGCTGGTGGCTCATGCCTGTAATCCTAGCTACTCTGGAGGCTGAGATCTGAGGACTGTAGTTCCATACCAGCCTGGGCAGGAAAGTCTGTGAGACTCTTATCTCCAATAAACCACCAAAAAATTGGAAGTGGTGTTGTGGCTCAAAGTGGTAGAGTGCTAGTCTTGAGCCAAAGAGCTCAAGGGCAGGGCCCAGGCCGAGTTCCAGTCCCAGGACCTCCTCCCCCCCAACACACACACACACACACACACACACACACACACACACACACACACACACACACACACACACACAGAGTTAGTTGGTGTTTGAGTTCCAGTCCCAGGACCTCCTCCCCCCCCAACACACACACACACACACACACACACACACACACACAGAGTGAGTTGGTGTTTGATCAAAACAGCAGGCTAGTTTTTAAACTTTTAATATAACTTCACGAAGGTGTTGTACAGAGGGGTTACCATAAGTCAGGTAATGAGTACAGTTCTGGTTTTTTTGGAAAATGTACCGCCTTCCTTTTCTTCCCCTCCCTTCCCTGCCCACAAGTTACATAGTTCATTTTCTACACCGTGTATATGACTGCCTTTGTTCATCCTCCCTCCCTCCCTCCCTTCGTTACCCTAAAAAGACAATACACAAAAGCAAAAACAAATGGCACACCACCACCAAACCCGTTTCCACTGCCTGGAATTCATTGTGATAGGCAGTAATTTGGACGTTCAGGATACACACACACACACACACACACATCGATGTAGTCTTTACATATAGTATATGTGCATATAGTGGTTTTTGTTTTGTTTTGTTTGGGTCCAGTCGTGGGGCCTGAACTCTGGGTCTGGGCGCTGTCCCTCAGCTCTTCAGCTCAAGGCTAGCGCTCTACCACTTGAGCCACAGCGCCACTTCCGGCTTTTTTCTTTTTGCATATGTGGTGCTGAGGAATCTAACCCAGGGCCTCATGCATGCAAGGCAAGCGCTCTACCACTGAGCCACCTTCCCAGCCCTAGTGTTTTTCCATAGCATCTTTAAAACATATCACAATATGCTATACATAAACAGAATACGCAACATATAGAACACATTGGGGCTGGGAAGATGGCTCAGTGGTAGAGCGCTTGCCTTGAGCTGAAGAGCTGAGGGACAGCGCCCAGGCCCAGAGTTCAGGCCCCATGACTGGACCCCAAAAAACCCCAAAACATATAGAACACGTACTGCATATGTAATAGGCCGACGCTGGCCGAGCTCGTGGGCGCCGGGCTGCAGGAGCGCGGGGCGGCTTGGCGCAGGAAGTGGGTTTTGGCGGGAAGGGAAGGGCGGGGCGTGGCGGCGGAAGGCGGCGCCGGGAGATCTCGGGGTCGGCCGGGGTGGCAGCTCCGGCCCCTGCCAGCCTGCCCGAGCTCGGTGCCCCGGAGCGCCGCGCTCGCTACCCCTGCGGGGTCCCGGGACACCGCGGTCCCCGCGGCCCGCCCCGGAAGCGCGGCTTGGACGCTCCTTCCTCCCTCGCCCCGCTCCGCCCGGGCTCGGGATGTCCCCGCCCGGAGCGGCGACTCGGAGGACCCGCGATGAGGTGGACGCCACGCTGCAGACCGCCAAGCTGGACCCGGCCGAGCTGCTGCCCACCGCGCACTGCCTGCGCTTCGGCCCCGGGGCCAGCGGCGCGGCCGCCGGCGCCTTCTGCCTGCTGGAGCTGGAGCCCGCGCTGTGCCAGCAGCTGGAGGCCGGGCACCGGTGAGCCGGGGTGGGGACCGGGATGGGGCGCGGAGGAGCCCGCGGGGGGCGGGAGGGACCCCAGGATGCGCCCCGCCTCCCTCCGCGTGCGCCAGGCCTTCATCTGAGCGCGCCCCGCTTCCCGCCCCGCCTCCCCTCCCGCGCGCCCCGCCTCCCTCCGCGTGCGCCAGGCCTTCATCTGAGCGCGCCCCGCTTCCCGCCCCGCCTCCTCCCTGCGCGTCCCGCCTCCCCCGCCGTGCGCCAGGCCTTCATCTGAGCGCGCCCCGCTTCCCGCCCCGCCTCCTCCCTGCGCGTCCCGCCTCCCCCGCCATGCGCCCCGCCTCCCCGCCTTGCGCCCCGCCTCCTCCCCTCGCGCCCCGCCTCCTCCCCTCGCGCCCCGCCTCCTCCCCGCCATGCGCCCCGCCTCCTCCCCGCCATGCGCCCCGCCTCCCCGCCATGCGCCCCGCCTCCTCCCCTCGCGCCCCGCCTCCCCGCCATGCGCCCCGCCTCCTCCCCTCGCGCCCCGCCTCCCCGCCATGCGCCCCGCCTTCTCCCCTCGCGCCCCGCCTCCCCGCCATGCGCCCCGCCTCCTCCCCTCGCGCCCCGCCTCCCCGCCATGCGCCCCGCCTTCTCCCCTCGCGCCCCGCCTCCCCGCCATGCGCCCCGCCTTCCCCGCCATGCGCCCCGCCTTCCCCGCCATGCGCCCCGCCTCCTCCCCTCGCGCCCCGCCTCCCCGCCATGCGCCCCGCCTTCCCTGCCATGCGCCCCGCCTCCTCCCCGCCCTGCGCCCCGCCTCCTCCCCGCCATGCGCCCCGCCTTCTCCCCTCGCGCCCCGCCTCCCCGCCATGCGCCCCGCCTTCTCCCCTCGCGCCCCGCCTTCTCCCCTCGCGCCCCGCCTCCCCGCCATGCGCCCCGCCTCCCCCGCCGCGCGCCCGCCTTCCCCGCCATGCGCCCCGCCTCCTCCCCTCGCGCCCCGCCTTCTCCCCTCGTGCCCCGCCTCCCCGCCATGCGCCCCGCCTCCTCCCCTCGCGCCCCGCCTCCTCCCCTCGCGCCCCGCCTCCTCCCCGCGCGCCCCGCCTCCCCCGCCGTGCGCCTTGCCTTCTGCTGTGTGCCTCGCTTCCTGAGCTGATACACCCAATACCAGGGAGGGAAGGAAGGAGAGAGTGTGTGAGTGCGCGCGCGCGCTGTACCAGGTAGGAAGGAGGGTGTGTGTATCCACAGCCACCGGGGAGGTCCCATTAACAAGTGCTTTTATTGAGTTTACTACAGGAGAGTAGGTGTAGAAAGTAACGTACCAATATCTTTGACAACGCCAACATATGACATAATTTTGTTTGCAAGTGATAAATGACTTCCTCATTTTGGGAAGTGGACTAAGCACTAAACAAACGATTTAGGATTTGTATAAGCTTTGTCTACCTCCAGGCTCCCAGACCGCTTGGGGGCCTGACCAACACACACTTCAGGTAGTAACCTGAATCTCTGTTAAGCCAGGACGTTTGATCTTTGCAGGACAAACTCCAGCATGCTGAGGGTCTCGTTAGAGAATGGCGTTCCAATTCTCTTTCCCTATCAGACCTCCTAGTTTCCCTTACCAACACAAGGGGTGTGTTTGCGTGTGTGTTGGTCCTGGGGCTTGAATTCAGCCCTGTCCCGAGCTTTTTTTTTTCTCTTGTTGAAGGCTAGAGCTCTAACACTTGAGCCACGGCTCCAATTGAGGGTGTTTGGTGGTTAATTGGAGAGAAGATTCTCCTGGATTTTCTGCCCAGGCTTGTATCAAACTATAGTCCTCAGATCTCAGCCTCCAGAGTAGCTAGGATTACAGCCATGAGCTACCACTAGTGTAATGTTGATTTTGAATAGTGATGTATATCAGAAAAATCCACAGAACATTTTATCATTCCAAAGCAAAATATGATAAAACAAAATCTAGTAATTGTAGAGTTCTTGTGCTCCCTCCCACATACTGTATTTTTTTTAATAAACGTATTTTTTATTGTGAAAATACTATACAGAGGGGTTACAATTACATGGACAAGGTAATGAGTACATTTCTTATCAAGCATTGTAGCTTCCTCCTTTGTTTCCCCTTCCCATCCCTTCGCATCCTCCTCCCGCCCCCCCCCCCCCCCCCACCAAAGTTGTAAAGTTTGGCTTTCAACATAATGACTTGTACTTCTCATTGTTGCAATGGGTCCTCCTGTATCCCTGTTTTAATGATTTGTTTTTTCCCTTCCCCTCCACATATACCAACATCATATATAGTGGAAACAGGGGTTATACCGTGGGGGAGGGACATACAAAGCAACAAAGACATAATCTTATAAATATGTTAGAAACAATCACATGAAAGATCTCTTTTTTTTTTTTGTCAGTCGCACACACTGTATTTCTTTTATGCAAACAGTAGGTAGGAGATATATGAAATCTAAGATTGCATTGCACACTTTGGTAGTTTGGGAGGCCTCCAAACAACGGATTTGCTTGAGACCATTCACTGGAGATCTCAAACTTTGTCATTCTAGCTCAGCTGCAAATTGCTGCCAAGGTCTTGGATTTCAAAGCCACAGAGGCCTGGCATGATGCTGCAGGCCTGTAATCCCAGCAGGGGATTACTTCCTCAGGATGCTGAGGAAGGAGAGTCCAGAGTTCCAAGCCAGCGTGGGAGGTCAAAGTAGTTCTTGAGAGTAGTTCTGGAGAGGCCCAGAGAACCCACACAGCCACCTGCAGAACTCTCAACAGTGGCTGTCTTCTAGCTCCTACAAGTTGGTTCTCTTCTCTAACACGTGTATCTTATCAGGCACATTCTCTCATAGGTTTCCTTTTTACCATTTTATTTTTGTAGGCAGAAGGCTTGAACTTGGCCCTGGATGCTGTCCCTGAGCTCTTCTGCTCAAGGCTGTAGGCACTACCACTTTGAGCCACAACTCCGCTTCTGGTTTTCTTGTGGTTAATTGGAGATGAGTCTTAAGGACTTTCCTGCCCAGGCTGGCTTTGAACTGTGATCCTCAGATCTCAGCCTCCTGAGTAGCTAGGATTACAGGCATGAGCCACTGGTAGTTGGTCCACAGTATTTTTGAGAGAAGCAAAGGGGAGAGTACTTCATCCATTTCCATGCCAGCTGAGCTGGTGGAGACTGAGAAAGGACTTCAGGCGTGAGGGCCTTCCCTTTTGTCCGGTTAGTGGTAATGTAGCTGACAAGCAACAGAAGGACCTGAAAAACAGGCACTTATTTATTTTCTTTGAGCAAGGGTTGGTATAAACGATTTCAAAGTGGGAAGAGTGGAATGTAAAATGAACATTGAAGAGCAGGTACTTGGGCTTATTAATTATTATTAGCACCAGGAATTTTTTTTAAAGTTGTTTTTAATCTTATTTAACTTGAGGTTTAGTTACAAAACTTTCCAGTTTTCTATTTCATGCTCATTATTTACTTGAAAGAAATAGTTGGGAGGTGGAGATCAGGACGATAGTGGTTCCAGTCTAGCTCGAGGGAGGAAAAAAAATGTGAGATCCTGAGGGGGAGAAAAAAAAGTCTAAACACAAAAAGGGCTGGGGGCATGGCTCAAGTGGTAGACTACTAGGCCCTGAGTTCAAGTCCCAGTATTGTCCTCCCCCTACTACTACTAAATAAATAAGCAAGCAGTTCTTAGAAGATGTGATGCTTTGTACCTGAAGAAAATTAGGGCCAGTTCTCCCATCATCAACCTCATCTTTGTCTTTGGTGTTTGCTCTTTCTGGGCCTTCCTTGCTTCTCTCACTTTTCTTCAGCTGGGATAAGCTCCTTTTGTTAAATCTTTTGTGTACTTGGTAAACATATTCTTTTTTGTGATTTTTCATTTAGCACTTCATTTTTCTTTTCATAAGGCCCCAGTGTGCCCACACACATGCTGGTTAAACCAGATAGGCTCTGTTGATTGCTCAGAAGAAAACAAAGATGATGACAAGTGGATTCAGGTGTCCAGATGCTCATTCCTGGGAAGCTTGTTAGAACTGTAGACTCCTACCTCTCTTCCCATACCTTCTGTTGCCCAGTTTGCTCTGTGTGTTTGTGTGTGCACGTGCGTGTGTGCACTAATCATGAGGCCTGGATGCTGTCCCTGAGCAACTTTATGCTCAAGGCTAGTGCTCTTCTACTGAGTCACAGCTCCATTTCTAGACTTTCCTGCCTGGGCTGGTTTTGAACCACCATCCTCAGATCTCAGCTTCCTGATAGCTAGGACTACAAGTGTGAGCCACCAGTGCCTGGCTTTAGTTTGTTTATTAAGAAAATTTGCTTGATTGCCTGTGCATAAGTTTGAAAATAGTGACTTTTTTTAATGCCAGTACTGGGGCTTGAACTCAGTTATGGTATTGTCCCTTAGCTTTTTTGCTTAAGGCTGAGCTCTACTCTACCATTTGTGCTACAGCTCCACTTCCAGTTTTTTAGGTAGTTAATTGGAAATAAGAGTCTCATGGAATTTCCTGCTTGGATGAGCCTTGGATCTCAGCCTCCTGAGTAGCTACGATTACAAGTATGAGCCACTGGTATACAGATAAATTGTAAACTTTTTAAATTGGTTCTGGGGCTTGAACTCAGGGTCTAGGCAATGTCCCTGAGCTTTTTTGGTCAAGGCTAGCATTCTACTTCTACCACTTGAGCCACACCTCTACTTCTGGCTTCTTTGGTAGTTAATTGGAAATAAGAGTTTCATGGACTTTTCTGCCTAAGCTGGCTTTTTTTTTTTTCTTTTAAAAGGTTTCATTTAATAGATAAGGGCTGAAATTCACTTTCATGACACCATTCAAGGGATATAATTGCTTCTTACAGAAAAATTATTAACCTTACAAAAAAAAGAATGTGTCATTTCAACAGTATACAGCTTCAACAGTGAGCTTTGCATAGTAAATACCTACATATGAACAGTAAGCAATTCAGACTGACAAATTTTTATTGTCTAGAAACATATATATATATATATATATATATATATATATATATATGTAGATAAAATCCCCCACAAAAAGATGCCATTCTTTCATTTCCCATCTTTTTTTCAATACCTTTTGTCACAAGAGGGACTGGAAAAAAATATTGTCTAGAAATACATAAAAAAGATCCCCCAAGGGCTGGGAAGGTGGCTCAGTGGTAGAGCGCTTGCCTTGCATGCTCGAGGCCCTGAGTTTGATTCCTCAGCACTACATAAGCAGAAAAAAAAGCCAGAAGTGGCACTGTGGCTCAAGTGGTAGAGTGCTAGCCTTGAGCTGAAGAGCTGAGGGACAGCGCCCAGGCCCAGAGTTCAGGCCCCACGACCGGACCCAAAAAAAAAAAAATCCCCCAAGTGGCTATTCTTTCATTTCCCCATCTTCTTCAACACCTCTGATATAAAGGGCATTGTTACATCTAAGCTGCTTTGAACTGAGATCTTCAGATCTCAGCCCACTGGATAGCTGGGATTACAAGTATGATCCATCGGCATCCAGCTAAATTGACATCTTGACTAAAGCTTCTACACGTTTTGTCGTATGCTCTTCCCAACAGTTCGTACAAAGAGGTCACTTGGTAGTTGGCCTCTTGACCCCTCCAAGTGGTGTTTGTATTTTGTTATTTTCCTTGTGGAGGCACTAGATCGCCAACTGTCTTTCCATCCAGGGCTTGCTCTGTTGGATCTGCCGCTGTGCTAGGGGGCCCAGACACCACATCAGAGCGTCATTTTAAGTTTTAGAAGCTAGGGGACTTAGGAACTATTTTAAAGGAAGATGTCTGTTAGAGCATCAAGTAACCCTGTATTTTTTCTCCCCCTTTGTTTTCCTGCAGTCTTGTGATTCGTGGTGATAAAGATGAGCAAGCTGTGCTGTGCAGTAGAGACAAAACCTACGACTTGAAGATAGCAGACACTTCTAATATGTTGCTTTTCATCCCTGGTTGTAAAACCCCAGACCAGCTGAAGAAGGAAGAATCACAACACAGCATTGTGCACACTGAGGTACTCTATTCTCTCCCCTGATTTATGCACATGTGAGAAACTGGTTTTTAGTTAAAAACTAGGTATAAAAATTTATCATGGGAAATCTTAGTGAAGCTTAAAATTTTTCATTATTATTCTATTATTATTTTGTGTATGTGTATGTATGCTGTCCTCAGGGTCTGGGCTCTACCCCTGAGTTTTAGTGCTCAAGGATAGCACTCTACCACTTGAGCCTAGCTCCATTTTCGTTTTTTTGTGGTTAATTGGAGATAAGAGTTTTATGGATTTTTCTGCCTGGGCTGGCTTTGAACTGCAATCCTCAGATCTCAGCCTCCTGAGTAGCAAGGATTACAGGTGTGAGCCACCAGTGCCTGCCATATAATTATTATTTTTTTTTTTAGGAAACTCAAATTTGAACTCAGAGCCTTGCTCTTGCTACAGAGACCCTCCACCACTTGAGACCCATCACTTGTTATTTTTGTTTGAACTATCTATGAATCTGTCTTTATTTTCCCAATTGATTTTTGTGGGTATATGTGCTGGGGGCTTGGGCTCTGGGACTTGAGCTCTCTCTCAGCTTACTTGCTCATGGCTGGTGCTCTATCACATGAATCACACCTCCAATTCTGGCTTTTTGTTGATTATTTGGAGATTAGAGTCACTTAGATTTGTCTGCTGGGACTGCCTTCAAACTGACATTCTCAACTCTCAGCCTTCTGAATAGCTACGATTATAGGCATGAGCCTCTGGTGCTTGGCCCCATTTAAATTTTTAAATTTCATGTGAGATCTTTATTACTTAGTGCGGCAAGTTTACTACTGAAGTGACTCATCCTTAAAGTTTTACCTATTTTTAGTAGATTTTTTCAATGGATATATTTTGAAAGTCTGTCAACCCCTGATTAGCTTTATGAGGTAGAGAAATGAAGACATTTGTGTTTTTGAAGGGAGTGTGTTTGTTAGCTTTGAAGTTGGGTTAGTTCATTAATATCTGCAGCCAACTGTAACACATTTTTAATTATTCTGGAGAATTTTGATGGCAGTTACGAAACAAAAGTCTCCCTCCTGTCTAGGTTGTGGTTACACATATAACAAAGCACAGCCCTTAATGCTTTCAAAATGACTTCAAGCCAACTCTTTCCTTAAAAATGGAATTGGAGAAACAAGAAGGGGAAATGCTGGAAAAGCTGGGTGATTCATATGCTGTAACTAGACTAGAGGAATTTCCAGTCAATTTTCTGTATGGTTGGAAGTCTTTCATTGTGATTAGCCCCAAATATTGACAGTTTACTCTTTTGGAAAAGATAATGTTTTTTGTTATCCCTTACTTGTTTTTTTGTTTGTTTGTTTTTTGGTCAGTCATGGGTCTTGAACTCTGGGCCTGGGTGCTATCCGTCAGTTCTTCAGCTCAAGGCAAGTGCTCTACCATTTGAGCTACAGCGCCACTTCTGGTTTTCTGATGGTTACTTGGAGATAAGAGTGTCACAGACTTTCCTGCCCAGGCTGTCTTTGAACCATGATCCTCAGATCTCAGCCTCCTAAGTAGCTAGGATTATAGGTGTGAGCCACTGAAGCCTGACTTCACTTACCTGTTTTTTTAAGAATGATTGTAAAAGTATAATAATACTTATGAGTACTTTTGGGTTCTTAATTGTTAATGAGAACTCTGGGTACTGACATTGGATAAATCTTTTTTGTTTTAGTGGTACTGGAGTTTGAAATCACTTGCACTCACTCAGCTTGCCTGGTTAGTTTTCTACTACTTGAACAATACCTCCAGCCTTGTTTTTTACTAGTTAATTGGAGATGGAGTCTAGCAAACCTCTCTGCCCAGGCTGGCTTTGAACCATGATCCTCTAGATCTCAGTCTCCTGAGAAGGTAGGATTACAGGCATGAGCCACTGGTGCTCATCTGAGCCTGAGTAAATCTTAACAAAGATCCACTCACCAAAGTTATAATGCAAAGTTATGCTTGATGTGCCTAACAAGGACACATGAATAAAATACACTGGGCCTAACAAGTAACACTGGATTCCAAGAAGTGGCAGAGACTGTTTTGTTTAAATCTATGGCTAGTTGTCCATAAGTCCTGAGTGGGTGGGGATGTGTGTGGCTACTTGAGGGTGAGCAGGCCACGCATTTCTGTCTTGCTTTTTGTTGTTGTTGGTGGTTAGGTTTGTTTTTCATTCCCAGTACAGCTCAAAATTTGGATTTTGGGGGCTGGGAAGGTGGTTCAGTGGTAGAGTGCTTGCCTTGCATGCATGGGGACCTGGGTTTGATTCCTCAGCACCACATAAGCACAAAAAGCCGGAAATGGTGCTGTGGCTCAAGTGGTAGAGCACTAGCCTTGAGCTGAAGAGCTGAGGGACAGTGCCCAGGCCCAGAGTTCAAGCCCCACAACCAGCCAAAAAAAAAAAATTGGATTTTGGTGGTAAAATTTCCTAAAAGTTTTTAAACATATCTTTTAAATATTCTTTTTATATATTAAAGATATTTTTAATTTAAATGCTAGGCCAACTTCTTCCTCTCCTGCACAATATAGAAGCATACATCAGTATGTGGGCATTGCATAGAATCAGATGACTACTACTTTGAACCATTGATAGAATCCATCTTTCTAATTTGGTCTTAAAGCTTGCTTTGTGTGTGTGTGTGTGTGCGTGTGTGTGTGTATGTGTATGTGTATGTGTGTATGTATGTATGTATGTATGTATGTATGTATGTATGTGTATATACTGGTACTGCAGCTTAAATGCAAGGCCTTGCACTTTCACTTGGCTTTTTTGCTCAAGGCTGGCACTTAACTACTTGAGCCACAGCTCCACTTCTGGCTTTTTGCTTGCTAAATAGTGATAAGAATTTCACAGACTTTCCTGCCCCTGTTGGCTTTGATCTTTGATTCTCAGATCTCAGCCTCCTGAGTAGCTAGGATTATAGGCATGAGCCTCCAGCACTTGGCTCGTGCTCTTTTGTTTTTTTTTTTTGGAAAGGCCTCAGATTAAACAACATCTCCTTTAGGTGCTAGACCTCATCTTATCAATCAAGCCTTTTCCCATTTTGAGAGAGAAAAATCTTCTGTTCTTCTCTCTCTTAAGTTGAAGGTCCCCTACAGATTCCATAGTTAAGTCTTACTTTCAGGAAACCCTTTTGGGTACCGACTCAGTGCTAGTCCCAAGGCTATGCCTATAGACACAGCAGGCTAGCAGGCATCCATCACCTGACCTCTGACCTCTATCATCTCAATATCTTCATATAGTAGGTGCCTTACTGTGTCATAGTCTAGCAATGGAATTAGCTATAATTCTGTATAGTAGAATGTCTTGCATTAAACAAGTCTATCTTACATCCTTCTTAATTTTGTCATCATGAATAACACAGAACCAACAGTACGTCCTTTTCCCTTTAACATTCCTTTATTATTTGAAGATTATGGTAATGTCTCTTCTTTATTTTCCATTTTTCAGTGTAAGTATATTTATTTTCAGTGATTTCTGGTGTGTCAAATTGTCACCAGGGCCTATTCTAGTTCATAAGCATACTTGATAAGTAATGCTTTGAAAAGATCTTTTTTTAAAAAAATTGTTGTTATTATAAAGGTGATGTACAGAGGGCCTACCATTTCATAAGTCAGTTAATGAGTACATTCTGCTGGCCAGAGTGGTTGTACTAGTTTACATTCCAACCAACAATGCAATAGGGTTTGTTTTCCCCACATCGCAACTAACATTTGTTGTTCAAATTCATGATGTTGGCCAATCTAACTGGTATGAGATGGAATCTCAGGGTTGTTTTGATTTGCATATATGGCCAGGGAAGATGAGCATTTCTACATGTGTTTCTTTGCCAGTCTTACCTCTTCTTCTGAGAAGTCTCTCTTTAGCTCCCTTGCCCATTTAGTAATTAATTCTTATTCGTTTTGGGTAAGGGTCATTTCTTGAGTTCCTTTTGTACTTTTGAGTAATAGGCCTCTGTTTGGATGTATTGCTGGTAAAGATCTTCTTCCAGGAAAAGATCCTGAGAATAATCAACCATCTACTGAAATGATTAAGTGCCTTCCAGAAGCAAGATAGACTACCTTGGCCCCTTTTCTTTTTTCTTTTTTTTTTTTTTTTGTTTTTGGTCCAGTCGTGGGGCCTGAACTCTGGGCCTGAGCGCTGTCCCTCAGCTCTTCAGCTCAAGGCTAGCGCTCTACCACTTGAGCCACAGCACCACTTCCGCCTTTTTTCTTTTTGCTTATGTGGTGCTGAGGAATCGAACCCAGGGCTTCAGGCATGCAAGGCAAGCGCTCTACCACTGAGCCACCTTCCCAGCCCCCTTGGCCCCTTTTCTTGGCTGTTGTTGAGGAAAGTTCAATAGTTTGAGTTTTGAATGAAATTTTCTTTTGGAATGGTTGCTGAAAGGTTCTATTATGATTTCTAGATCTTTGGTTTTTCTAACAATTATTGGGAATTAAGAAGATGCAGACCTAAATTAAAGAAGCTAAAGAAACTTCTGATGGAAAATACCTACGAAGGACCTGACAGTGAAAAAGAAGGTGATTTGAGTCGCTCAAAAGTAAGATTGTTGTTTTCATTGCAAATTTAAGAATTCTAAGTTTTTAATTTAAGAATTCTCATGGTGACTGCATTATAGAAATTTCAAACATAAACTTGTCTTAGAAGTTGTAAAGCGGCATCTTGCCAAGGTCCTTAGTACTTTTGCCATCTGATCTCAGCAGCTAAGCAGGGCCTGTGCTGTAATCCCAGTAACTGGGAGTCAAAGGCAGGAAGATTGTGAGTTCAAGGCTACCTTGGGTGACACAGCAAGTTTGAGTCTAGCTTTAGCAATAAAGCAAGACCTTGTATCAAAACAGAAAGGAAAAGGAAAAAGAAGCAGCAGCCAAGTGTAGTACTTAGAATAGTAGTTGCTGTAGGTTTTAAACAAATAAATGATTGAAATAGTATCTCATTGTAGTTTTTTTTTGTTGGTCATGAGGCTTGAACTCTGGGCCTGGGTGCTGTCTCTCAGCTCTTCAGCTCAAGGCTAGCGCTCTACCACTTGAGCCACAGCACCACTTCCAGCTTTTTCTGTTTTTTTTTTTTTTTTCAAAGTGGTTACTAGAAATTTATTTAAAAATTGATTTTCTATTCCAGGACATGCAGACAGCCAGCTGCCTGCAATGAAAACATACTTTAAGCCACATTTCTTGGTTTGAAGTTCAATTGTTTCAAGTTGCCAACTTTTACTGTTTGTTTGGTGCTGAGGCATGCACGCGAGGCAAGCACTTTACAGCTGAACCAGTCCTCATTGTAGTTTTGATGTACATTTCTGTAATGACTAATGACATTGAACATCATTTTATGATGACTATTTGTATATCTTTGGAGAAATGGTTAATGATATCATTTGCCTTATTTTGTTATTTTTTTATTATTGAATTGTAGGAAAGTTTTTAATAAATGGTCCAGATTTAAGCCTCTGGACTAACATTTGATGTATGTGAGTTATTTTTATTTATTTTTTATTTTTTTTCTTTTTTTGAGGGAGGGGGGAAGGTGCTGAACTGGGGCTTGAATCCAGGGCCTTAACTTACTCTCACTTGGCTTCTTTTGCTCAAGGCTTGGTGTTCTACCATTTGATCCATACCTCTACTTCCAGCTTTTTGCTGGTTAATTGGAGATGAGAGTCTCTAAGATTTTTTTTGTCGGTCGTGGGGCTTGAACTGTGGATCTGGGTGCTTTCCCTGCACTCTTCAGCTCAAGGCAAGTGCTCTACAGCTTGAGCCACAGCACCACTTCTGGTTTTCTGGTGGTCTATTGGAGATAAGAGTCTCACGGAGTTTCCTGCCTGGGCTGGCTTTGAACTGTGATCATCAGATCTCAATCCCTTGAGTAGCTAAGATTGTAGGTGTGAGCCACCAGCACCTGGCTTGATTGTTTTTTTTTTTTTTTTAATTTTAGTAACATATACATAACATAGCATTTACCACTTTAACTATTTTTAAGAGTGAATTCAGTAACAGTAAGTACATTCACAGTGGTGTGCAAATCTATTACTAGAGCATTTCTAGCCTCCTAAACTGAAACTTTATACTCCTTCAGTAATAATTCTCCACCCCCACTCTCCTCTCTCCTGAGACAATGGCTACTGCATTCTGCCTTCGGACTCTGAATTCAGTTACTCTAAGTATATCATAGGAAGATAGAAATCATCTTTTGCATCAACAGTGCTTTGAAGTACAAGGTTACTATTTTAATGAAGTCCAGTTGATCTATTTTTTTTTTTTTTATGCCAGTCCTGGGCTGGAACTCAGATTCTGGGCATTGACCTTGAGCTATTATACTCAAGATTGGAGCTTTTCCACTTTAGCCACAGCTCTACTTCCAGTTTTTTTTGTTCGCAAGTTTGCTTTAAACCAGGATCATGTGATCTTAGTCTCTTGAGGAGCTATGACTATAGGTATGAGCCTTTGGTGCCCAGCTGATCTATGTTTTCTTACAAGCAATGTATTTAAGAAACCACAGCCATAATCAGTGAAGATTTATCTCTGCTTTCATATCATAATCATTTATCAATGAAAGAAACTAGTGCATAAATATTGCCTTATTCTGTTCTATGCATTCCCCAAAGTTTAAGAAGAAACCTGAAATAATATTCAAAGTATTAAAGTGTGTGATTTTTGTTTTCAGTATACAACTGAAGATTTGCTTGATAAAATTCAAGCAAGTGAAGAAGAAATAATGACTCAGTTGCAAGTTCTAAATGCCTGTGAGATTGGAGGTAGTGTTATTTACTATTGCCATTTGTAATGATGGAATTGGGTGTCACATGAGAGAAACTATTGCATCTTCATTCTTCTTTGGGGCTCAGAGATGATGACATTAGGAGCTGGGATATAACTCTGTAGAGTGCTTGCTTAGCATGTACTCAATCCTGTATTTAAGCTATAGAATCAAAAATGAAAGTGGTATTTTTGGGGGAGGTGGTAGGGAATAGAGACCATGTGTGATTCTAGAGGTCAGTCTATCACTGTGACATTAACCATTCCTTTGGATTATAGAAGAGCCATAATAGAAGAGCTACGTTTGATTGAGAAGGGTCTTTAGATATTAGGTATTCTAATGATTTCATTTCCTTAAAATATTTTTTAATAGATAAAAACATTAAGGCCTAGGAAGGAGAACTAATTTGTCTAGGGCTACATGTTGGGTTAGAAGGTAGGTCTTTGAACTAAATTTTCAGAGTGAAAATGTAATAATCTCATTGTACTGCCAAATTGTTTGGAAGATGGAATTCTGAAACGAATGCTAATAATTGTGTGTGTGTATGTGTGTGTGTGTGTGTGTGTGTGTGTGTGTGTGTGTGTGTGTGTGTGTGTGTGTGTGTGTGTGTGTATGTATGTATGTGTTGTCCTGTTTTATTCTTTGTGCCAGTACTTGGGCTTGAACAAAGGGCCTGGATGCTCTCTCATAGTATTTTTGCTTAAGGCTGGTGTTCTATCAATTGAGACACGCCTCCACTTCTGGCTTTTTGGTTGTTAATTGGAAGTAAGACTCTCACAGACTTTTCCTGCCCAGGCTGGATTTGAACCATGATCCTCAGATGCTCAGCTTTCTGAGCAGCTAGGATAATGAATCATTAGCACTCAGTTCGAGATAAGGCTTTTAATTCCTGCCATATGGATGCCCTAAGTAGTAAAGTTAAAAGGGGAGCAGACAAACCAAACAATATATTGATATATAAGCTTTCTGCATCATTTCCTGATGGCCAGAGGAATGGATAGTTTTCTTATGGTAGATATAGATTCCTTCTAGCTCTCTTGTTTTACATCACACAGTCTACTTCCCTTCCTCCCTTCCTCTAAATTCTTTCCTTCTTCCTCTCCTTTCTTCCTTTCCCATTTCCCTTTTTCCCTCCCTCCTCTCTTCTGCCTTCCTTCTGTCTGTCTTTGTGTCTTTCTGTCTTACCATTATGCTTGAACTCAGGATTTGTGCTTGCAGGGTCTTTACTGCCAAGCTACATCTCCACCTCACAACACACAACACAATATTAAATGATTGGGAAGGCAAGGAGTATACCTCAGGAGTAGAACATGAACTAGTATGCACAAGGCCCTGGATTCAATCCCAACACCAGAACTAAAACTAAAATTAGAATGATTGGGAGAAAAGCTAAAAAGAATCATTTATAAAGAAAATGAAGACTTTCAAGTGTCTTTTTTTTCTTGCAATGGGCAAAGATTATACTACAACTTTATTCATCTATTATCTGATTTATTTAAGATCTGTTTTTATTTAAAAATTTGTTATCTTTTATTAAATAAGTTTTTATTGTGAAGATACTGTACAGAGGAGGGGTTACAGTTACATGAGCAAGGTAGTGAGTACATTTCTTATCAAGCATTGTTGTCTACTGCTTTGTTTTTCTCCTACCATCCTTTTTTTGGGGGGGGGGTGGTGGGTCTGGTCGTGGGGCCTGAACTCTGGGCCTGGGCACTGTCCCTCAGCTCTTCAGCTCAAGGCTAGCGCTCTACCACTTGAGCCACAGCGCCACTTCCGGCTTTTTTTCTTTTTGCTTATGTGGTGCTGAGAAATCGAACCCAGGGCCTCAGGCATGCAAGGCAAGCACTCTACCACTGAGCCACCTTCCCAGCCCCCCCCACCATCCTTTCTATGTAAGATGATTTTTGGTAAATTGAACTTTTGGGATTTGTAGGTTATTGGAGGATTCTTGAATTCGATTATGAGATGAAACTTCTCAGCCATATAACTCAGCTTGTGGATTCAGAATCTTGGTCTTTTAATAAAGTTCCTTTGAACATATGCCTTCAGGAACTTGGACCATTGGAGCCAGAGTAAGTATCTTAATTATTTGTTCCACTACAGATCCTAAAGGGGAAGAATTCTTTTTCAGACTAGAACTCAGTCCAGGTTATATACTATATATATTTTGAGAATATAGAAAAAATTTAAAATACACAATCAGACAAGATTTGAGAATTTTTATCACTGGGATGGATAATTCTTTTTTTGTCATAAAAATGTAAAGAAATAATTGTTATATTTAAACTATTTAATAATAGTAAATATGTGGTGACATAACTCATAATGTATAATGTGGAGATGAGACATAGTGGCTTCCTAGAATATTTTAGTTAGTTCCTGATTTAAATAAAATATTATTTGGCAACTACATAATATTTCTCAGATTTATATCTTAGCAATGGGGTTTGAAATATAGACTGAAAAATGTTGATAATTTTTCAAATGAGTGGTTTTAATTTTTCAGGGAAATGATAGAGCACTGTCTTAAATGCTATGGAAAGAAATATACAGATGAAGGTAAGATTTGGAAAGTACTCAAATGGGTATTTTAATTTTTGTGTGTGAAAATTAAGTAGGCTTTTCTGAAGTGTGTTGGTGTTGAAAAATGAGAATGGGGTGATATTGACCATGACGCATTATGCTTACTCTGAATTGAAATCCTTTTTTTATAACAAGACTAAAAAAAAAAAAAAAAAAAAAAGAACCTCAGGACTGTGGGAAGTGATTGGAGATGTGTAGTTCCTTTTGAAAACTGCATTGAGGAAAAGAAAATGTCAATATTGTAATTCTTGAAACTCTAATGTCTTTTCCATAGGTGAAGTTTACTTTGAATTAAATGCTGATAAGATATGCAGAGCCACAGCACAAATGTTACTTCAGAATGCAGTGAAATTTAATCTTGCTGAGTTTCAAGAAGTGTGGCAACAGAGTGTTCCTGAAGGAATGGTGACCAGACTTGACCAGCTCAAGGTAATGCCAATTGGGGTGGCTCCAGACTTGACAGATGGTGCTAGGTGAAATGATACTTCGTTGTTTTTTTTAAAGTGTAGTGCCCTGTTTCTCTCTTTCTTTCTTTTCTTTTCTTTTCTTTTCTTTTTTTTTTTGTCAGTCATGGGGCCTGAACTCTGGGCCTGGGCGCTGTCCTTTAGCTCTTCAGCTCAAGAGTAGTGCTCTACCACTTGGGCCACAGCGCCACTTCCGGCTTTTTTTGCCTGTGTAATGCTGGGGAATCTAATCCAGGGCTCATGCATGCAAGGTAAGCACTCTATCACTGAGCCACCTTCCCAGCCCCATGATACTTGTTTAGAACTGAATTTGGAGCCAATTTATTTTTCTAGACACCCATTAGGAGTACAGGGTTCATTCAGTAAAGCTTCTTAGAACCTTAAAAACCTTCCAATACTTTAGGGAGATAAAATTTACATATAAAGCCAGGCACAGGTGGCTCATACCTATAATTCAGGAATATGAGATTTGAGGAACTTAGTACAAAGCCAGTCCAGGCTGTATAGGCTATGAGACTCTTATCTCTAACCATGAAAAATGCCAGAAGGGGAGCTTTTACTCAAGTGGTAGAGTACTAATCTTGAGAAAAGAAGCACCCAGGCCCTGAGTTTGAGCTCCAGGACTGGCACACATACAAAAATTTACATATAAAGTTCACTTTTAAAAATTTTTGTTTTAAGGCTGGGGGGATATAGCTCAGTTGGTAAAACATATATTTGGCATGCACAGAGCCCTGGATTCAAACCCCACCAAACAAATTAATGAAAACTATTTTTAGCCAGGTGCCAGTGGTTAGCTACTCATGAAGCTGGGATCTAAGGATTGAGATTTGAAGTCAGCCTGGGCAGAAAATCAAGAGACTCTTACCTCTAATTAACCATCCAAAGGATAGAAATGGAGTTGTGGCTCAAGTGGTAGGGCTCCAGCCTTGAGCAAAAAAGTTAAGGGAGAGCACCCTGGCCCTGAGTTCAAGACCTAGTACTGGCACACATGTGCACCCACACCAATTTTAAAGCCAGTCATGGTGGCTATTCCTGCATATCCAGTACTTGAGAGGCCTAGGCAGGATCACAATTTTAAAACCAGCTTGGCCTAACTAGTGAGACCCTAAGATGATCAGAAAAACCCAAAGAGTCTCAGTAAATTTACTAAGTTACACAGCCATCACCACAAACATCTCGATAAGATCCCTTGACCCCACTTATGATTAATCCTTGTTCTTAATGAGTATTTCTCAGTTTATTCTGTTTCCTTTTCTGCTGTCCCAGTTCAAACCACCATGACCTCCTGTCTCTATGGGATCAAGAGTATCATTTAGAAAGTCCCTGCATTCATCATTTTGTTGCTCTTTAATCCATCCTCTGTGATGCTACTAAAATGACCTTTTCTTTTCCCCCAGTCCTGAGGCTTGAACGCAGGGCTTTGGGTGCTGTCCTTGTGCTTTTGAGCTCAAGACTAGCGCTCTACCACTTGAGCTTTGGTTCCACTCTCAGCATTTTGGGGTTAATTGGAAATAAGAGTCTCATGGACTTTCCTGCCTGGACTGGCTTTGAACCAGCATGAGCCACCAGTGCCTGGCATAAGAAAAAGGATAGGCTGGGCTCTGGTGGCTCACACCTGTAATCCTAGCTGCTCAGGAGGCTGAGATCTGAGGGTTCCAAAGCCAGCCAGGGCAGAAAAGTGTGTGAGACTCTTAACTCCAATTAACCATCAGAAAACTGGAAATGGCACTGTGTTGCAAAATGATGGTACTAGCTTTGAGCAAACGAGCTCAGGGACAGGACCAGGCCCTAAGTTCAAACCCCACAGCTGACTTGAAAAAAAAAAAAAGCAAAAGAATAGATGGATAGAATGTTGGTTGGGTTAGAAAAACGAATTTTCCAGGCTTTCCACACTTAAATACTGTGTTTAAAAGAGTGCTGGACAAGGAATAGGTAATGGCAGGTGGTTTGAGAAATCTTGAGGCTTTAACATCTGTCGTATAGGATTTTTGTGGGTTTGTTTTGTTTTATTTTGTTTGAGACAAGATCTCACTACATAACTCCAGCTACCCTTTAACCTTCAATATTCCTGCCTCAGCCTCCCAAATGCTAGGGTTGCAGGCATGTACAACCATATCTGGCTATTCAATTTGAATATTAGCATCTATGATAATACCTGTATTTCTCATTTTCCTAAGGTTTGCGTGATAAACATAATGAGTCTGTCCGATGATTTGGATATATAGGGATTTGGGACTTGGGGATCTGAGCAGAAGATGCAGATATTACCGTCATTGGCCAGGGCATGGAAAGACCGCCCATTAGATGGAAGTTACCTGGGATACAAAGACTGGACATTAGAAAGGTCAGGATAGAGGCCCAAGGAATTACCATATCAAAATATTTTCTGCCTAGAAAGTAGGACAGTGATATCAGAGTTGGAAAAAGATGTGAAGAGAGGGGCTGGGAAGTTGGCTCAGTGGTAGAGTGCTTGCCTTGCATGCCTGAGGCCCTGGGTTCGATTCCTCAGTACCACATAAGCAAAAAGAAAAAAAGCCGGAAGTGGTGCTGTGGCTCAAGTGGTAGAGTGCTAGCCTTGAGCTGAAGAGCTGAGGGACAGTGCCCAGGCCCAGAGTTCGGGCCCCACGACCGGACCCAAAAACAAACAAACAAACAAACAAACAAAAAAAAGATGTGAAGAGAAAGGAATACTCAACATAAACGAGAAAATAGGGCTGGTAAGGAGGATCCAAGCAGAAGTCTGCTGCAGTTGCCATTGACAAGCCACGGTGATCCTTAGAACTAAAGTGGTCTTGATAAATTGGTTGTGGTAGAAACCAGACTTAGAGGGAAAAGAAGTCCTTGTTTAAAAGAGTCCTTTTAAAAATATTTTTGGAAAGGTTCTTATAACTCTGGATAGTCTATGTAAGATTCATGATTGTCATTTTAAATTTCTTGAGCAAAGCTAAACCTAATGGAAAAAGAATGAGTCCTATTTAAACATTAGAGCATTATTTTTAAAAAACTATTCTTTCTTGTAGGGTTTAGCACTGGTGGATAGACACTCGAGACCGGAAATCATATTTTTGCTGAAAGTAGATGATTTGCCTGAGGGAAATCAGGAACGTTTTAATAGCCTATTCTCACTAAGGGAGAAATGGACAGAAGAAGATATTGTTCCATATATCCAGTAAGTAAATTATTAAAAATGGATCTTAGCCAGATGCTGGTGGCTCACACCTATAATTCTAGCTACTCAGGAGGATGAGTTCTGAGGATCACAGTTTTGAAGCCAGCCCGGCCAGAAAAGTCCCCGTGAGACTCTTATCTACAATTAACAACTCAAAAAACAGAAGTGGAGCTGTGGCTCAAAGTGGTAGAGCGCTAGCTTTGAGCAAAAGAGCTCAAGGACTGAGTTCAAGCCCCACAACCAACATAAAAAAGGGGGGAATCTTGAGTGGAGCCATGGCTCAAGTGGAACAATACTTTACCTAACCTAAGGCCCTGAGTTCACCTCTAATTATTTTGTTCAAAGAAGTTTTGAAGGTTATTCTTTTTTGTAGAATGGCATAAAGGTTTATAAAGAACGCTGCGTCCTTCAACTCTTTCTCAGGGGGGTCTTCTCTATTATTGCCTATAATAAGTTGACCTTGGAGTTGGGTTACTACTCCTTCTAGATTTACTACTATTCTCCTTCCTGCACAACTGTGGCTTCAAAGAACAGACTATCTAGCCAGTAGGACTCAAAGGAAAACACCATTCTGTGATTGCTACCCCTGATCTTTCCTATTGCTTTTGTATTTTATACTTTATGCTATCTTGTTATTTTCTTCTATCTTTTACACAGGTCTCATTGTGTGGCCTTCTCTGGCCCTAAACTTGCTATATTTAGTTCAGGAATTTCTAACAGAACAGGTTTAGAGCAGAACCATTGGCTCTCCTTTCTTTACCACCCAGTTTCTTTATCATGGTGAACAGCATCTCCACACAGCCCATGACTCAAGCAACAAGTGTAACAATGAGCCTGGCATTGTGGTTCAAGGGAATAGTCCCAGTTACTTGAAAGATTGATGAAGGATCACTTGAACCCAGGCATGCAAGAGCAGCCTGAGCAACAAAGGGAGAATCTATTTCCAAATAAAGACAAAACTAAAGTCTAGGAATCACCCTTATTCTTTCCATCTTTCACCTCTGATTTTATCTTTTTTTTTTCTTTTTTTTTTGGGGGGGGGGTCTGGTAGTGGGGCCTGAACTCTGGGCCTGGGCGCTGTCCATCAGCTCTTCAGCTAAAGGCTAGCACTCTACCACTTGAGCCACAGTGCCACTTCTAGCTTTTCTCTGCTTATGTGGTGCTGAGGAATCGAACCCAGGGCCTCAGGCATGCAAGGCAAGCACTCTTACCACTGAGCCAACTTCCCAGTCCCTCACCTCTGATTTTAAACGATGAACAAATTTTGATGGACCTTCTTGTACCTAACCTCTGTATCGGTCTCCCTATGTCTACTTTGGCCCCTTTCTCCTTTTTTGCTGCCTATTTTGGAAATTTTAAACATTTAAAGGGGACAATATAATGAACTTCCCATATATCTACCACCTAGTTTCCATAATGATTGTTTCACTGCCTCCATTTAGTTTTTTTTTTCATATAGAGCACATAATGTTTCAAATATGATGTGAAACCTCTCTAGTGAGTTCCCATTAGAATTAAATCAGAACCTTTTTCAGGTCCTTCATGGCCGTCCACAACACGATCTAGCCCTTGATCCCTTCTCCAGTTCATGTTCTCTACTCTTGTTCCAGTCATGCTCTCCTTCCTTTTGGACAGTTGAAGCTAAAATCCAGGAAGTGTAGGTAACCTATACAAGTCTACACAAGTATCCAGGCTTGCTGACTGTCTCCCCCAGTGGGCCACATTGCTTGTGTGAGTTCATATATTATACAACAGAAATAACATGAGCTTTGAACTCCTAGTGATCTAATGACAAAATTTGACACTTATTTGTTACTTGTTTAAGTCTGTCTTCTTATCAAATACAGGGTTAAATAATGTATTGCTCCTACTTTTATTATGGAAGATTAAATGCAATAGTACATGTAATCTACTTAGCTCAATTAAGACTTAATGCCAATTTCCCTCCTGTTTAACATTATCACCATCATGCTTATCAGAAAGGGTGAGAGAAAATAACTAGTATTGTGAATATTGTATGCTCATTAAAATATTTCCATTATTCCTATTTTTGTTCTCACAGAGATTTGTGCGGAGAAAGGCAAACCACAGGCGCATTGCTCACTAAATATTCTCGTTCTTCTATGCAAAATGGAGTTAAAGTTTATAATTCCAGACGACTTATTTCTTGAAAGACCAATTTTCTTTTCTTTGGGATTAAGTTGTTTTATAAAGCTACTGGATATAAGAAAAATATTCTCATCTGTATTTTATTCCTCAAATTTTAACCTACCCCTTGAATTCATTTTAAACATCTTAATACTAGTATCATTTTTTTTTGTTTCTAGAAGACAACAGGATATTTCTTTACTTCCACTTTTTAAATTGTCTTCAAATAGTTACACAGGAGGGTTTCAGTTGAAGATGTCCATTGCTGTGTACAGTGCATCTTGTTCAGTGTTACTCCATCATCATTCCTCCCCATCTATCCCATCGCCACACATCCTAAAGTTTCCTCGTTCCATTTTCTCATATGTACACTGAGTGTTATGACTGTATTTGCTCACTTATTTCTTTCTCCATTCATTTGCCCTCTTCCTCCTAGCCCTTTCCCGCTCTGAGAAGACATATTTGATTAGGATATTTCTATATCCTTCAGATTATAGTTATAATATGTACACTGCACACAAACAAAAGAATTACTTTGTGTACTTAATACGTCTGAGGTAGATATACATAGTTCTCTTTATCCAAAGAATTTTGCTTTTTAGGGGGGAGGGGGGAGGCTGGGAAGGGATGTGAAGGGATGTGAAGGAGGAGGCTGCAATGCTTGGTAAGAAATGTATACATTATCCTGCCCATGTAACTGTAACTCCTCTGTACCAGTATGTTCACAAATAAAATTAAATTAAATTAAAAAAAAGAATTTTGCTTTTTATAAAAGCATTTGATGATCTGGTCATTTATAAAGTTTCTAGAGAATTAAACAGCAGTAGTTTCATAGAGGAGATATTCACTTAAATTCCATTTCTCAATTAAGTAGGCTTTTACTTTTCCTTCCACCAAAACAGGAAGTCACTAAGTGCTGTCATTTATCTGATTTGCATTGATGAAACTGCTTAATAATTACCTGTGTACTTTGGACAAAATGCTATGTGAAGAATACTAATAGAGTAGTTTCTAATCCTAACATAGGTAATATCATTAGGAAAACTACAGCTATTTGTTTTTGGAATGCTTGATAAAGTTCCTTTATAGCTATGTTTTCCTAATTTGCTTGGGATAGACAAAAGTTTGCATTGATTTGAAATTACCTAATGATTTTATCACCAGGACAGTTGTATAGGCCAAGTTAAATCAGTCCAAGGTTAAACAAAAATGTTAATAGACTGCAGGATACTGGTGGTCAACATCTGAAATCTTAGCTAATGAGGATGCTGAGATCTGAGGATAGTGCTTCAAAATTGGCTGGGCCAGTAAAGTCAGTGAGACTCTGATCTCCAGTTAACTACCAAAAAGCTGAATGGGAACTGTGGCTCAACTAGTAGGACACTAGACTAGAGCAAAACAACTTAGGGTTGGTGCCCAGGCCCTGAGATCAAGCTTCAGAACTGGCATGCACATATGTACACATACACAGATTAAAATAATCCACAATTAACCAAGTTTTAGCTCTTATTGAAGTTTACTTGTTTTGCCCTGATATATACATATGAGTGTGTGTATATATATATATATATATATATATGAAATGCATAAGGGATGGCTTCAAAGTATTTGTCTTTAGTTTCAACAAATCCTAATCCATTATAGGGATTATATGGTTCAGTATTTATCTATAGGTTTACATATAAGAAATAAAGCATGCTAGCCGGGCGCTGGTGGCTCACGCCTGTAATCCTAGCTACTCAGGAGGCTGAGATCTGAGGATCGCGGTTCAAAGCCAGCCCGGGCAGGAGAGACCGTGAGACTCCTATCTCCAATAAACCACCAGAAAACCGGAAGTGGCGCTGTAGCTCAAGTGGTAGAGCGCTTGCCTTGAGCTGAAGAGCTGAGGGACAGTGCCCAGGCCCAGAGTTCAAGCCCCACAAGCGACAAAAAAAAAAAAAGAAAGAAAGCATGCTGTTGGTGAGGATTCTGGTGTTGTACAGACAAGTAGGATTTACTAATTTATTTTGTAGTTCAAGTCACTGGGTCATAGTGAATGAATTTATGGTGTCCACACACAGTGAAACAGATGCAAAGCCCTTGGTTTCCGGAGATTACCCCATTGGCTCCTCCTGCTCCTCCACTTATTCCTACTTGTCACAAAAGTCCAAGTTTCTCAGTGTCCCTAAGTCCCCTCTCCTCCTCCCCACTTTTTTTTTTTGGTGCCAGCCCTGGGGCTTGAACCCAGGGCATGAGCACAGTCCTGGAGCTTTTTTTTTTTTTGCTTATTGATGACTCTACACTTGAGCCACAGCTCCAATATTTGCTTTTTTGGTAGTTTACTGAAGATAAAAGTCTCACGGATTTTCCTATCCAGGCTGATTTCGAACCGCGATCCCTGGATCTCAGCCTCCTGAATAGCTAGGATTACAAGCATGAGCCACAAGCACCCGGCTTAGAGCTTTACTCTATTTCAACAGTGTCCTCTCCCCTCCTACCTGCTCTGCTTTACCGAGAGAATATTTTCTTGGATCTCCTAATTGCAAACAACCTCCACCCGCAGAGCGTCTGTACTCTCAGACCTGGACAGAAGGTGAACGCTAAACACTAGGTTCCTCGCTCTAGTCCCGCCCACGGACGCAAGGCTTCCGGGTTCCGTCCACGCCCCGGCCTCACTTCCGCCGGCGTCCTACGTCAGGGGTGACGGGCAAGATGGCTGCCGGCGGTCGCTTTGAGTAGTTGCGGACCAGAGAGTCTCCGTGTGGCCGAACCTCGGCGGAGGCGGCTGAGGAAAACCGAGTGGTTGGAGCGCGCTTGAAGCGGCGGAGGCCGGATCTGGGCGTACCGAGCGTCCGGACCGCGGGGCGGCCCTGCTGGGGGCGCGAGGGGGCGCGGAGCGCGCGGAGCCCGAGGCCCGCCATGCCCCGCTGCCCCGTGCGGACCCGGGATTCGCAGCTCCGCGGGGCCGCCGCGCGCTGCCGGCGGGTCTGAAACCTTCCACGATGAACCGGAAGAAGGGAGACCGGGGCTTCGAGAGCCCGCGGCCGTACAAATTATAAGTATTCTTTCCCTTGGCTCGTCTCGCTCGTCCGATCTTGTTTTCAGTGCGCCGTGGCGGCTGCCTGAGACGGACTCGGCAGGGTGGGAAAAGTCTCGTCCAGATGGTGTGTGTGGCCGGAAGGAGGCGCCGAGTGGGCGGTGCCTTCGGTAGATGTAATTCCCCTGACAGGTTAATGGACGTGAGTGCGTCTGTGTGTCTGTGTCTGTCTGTCTGTCTGTCCGTCCGTCCGTGTGTCCCAGTGCTCGGGCGCACAGTCCCTGAACATCTTTTACCCAAGGTTGGCGCTCCACTGCTTGAGCCACACTTCCACGTTTGGCTTTTTGGTTAATTTCACACGAGAGTCTCACAGACTTTTCTTGCCCAGGCCGTCTTTGAACCGCGAGCTTTAGATGTAACCTCTGGAGTAGCTAGGATTACAGGCGTGAGCCTGTAAGTTTTTTTTCCCCCTTACCTGTTTGTTTGTTTTTGTTTTTCATATACAACCCATCAGGTCGTCTGCATCAACAACATAAACTTCCAGAGAAAATCTGTTGTGGTAAGTTTATTTCCAATGACTATAAATAGTAGTAAGGTTACCTTTCATGCTACTTAGAAAACTTATATTCTTCCAGATAATGGGATTTCAAGAATAGATGAGTAAGAGTTAGAATTCAGGTCTGTTTGCTCAGAGTCCCATATTAATTCTTCCATTCATCCATTCTTTCTTTTTTTTCTATTTTTATTATTCCAGATAATGGTATTTCAAGAATAGATGAGTAAGATCAGGTCTGTTTGCTCTGAGTCCCATCTTGATTCTTCCATTCATTAATCCTTTTTTTTTTTATTTATTCCAGTGTTCTTCCTTTTAATCTCTTGTGAGATAAGCAGCCTGCACAGCCAGGCATTTTAGAGTTGTATTTGAAAGAAGGGGATATGGCTTAGTTGTAGATTGTACTTCTTGGTTGTATGAGGTCATTGGTTACATCTGAACCACTGAAAAGTATTTAAACAAGAATAAGCCCCCCCCCCCCCCCATGTAATTGTAACCCCTCTGTATGGTATTTTCACAATTAAAAAAAAGAAAAAGAATAAGCTCATGATAGTTCCTCCCATGAAAATACAATGATAACTATTCTCATAGACTTGACAGCTTCCAAGAGACCACATTTGTTTTCTGATTCTTGTTTGTCTTGATTTAGTGGTACTGATATGTAGTGAAGTTTGAGACAGTATTTGAGATATAGTTAGCCCCCATTCCATCCATTTAGATGTATGGGTTGCTGATACCCACTGTGGGAGAATATCTGAAAGCATAAATACTTAATTTACCTTATCTGAGGGACCTGTATTACAAAGACTTAAATCTTACGAGTTGGTTAATCTTGAATGCCAGTATCAATTTCAGTTTTTAATCCCAGGATGTTAAAAGTTGCACGTCCTCATTTATGCCCATTGAGCAGACACTTGAACTTGTTAGATTCAGTAGTTTTAGTTTTGTTTTGTTTTTACTGTTCTTTGTGTGTGGGCTAGTCCTGGGGCTTGAACAGGGCCTGGGTGCTCTCCCTGAGCTTTCATGCTCAAGGAGGTCCTCTACCACTTGAGTTACAGCTCCATTTCTGGCTTTTAGTGGTTAATTGGAGGTAAGAGCTGCCTCCCGAGTAGATAACAGAGGTGAGCCACCAGTGTCTACCCCTATTTTGGGGAAGGAGGAGATTGTTGTTTTTTCACTTACCAACCTCTGATGAAATAAAATTCTCTATCATTTTTTTCCTGTTCCCTGTTTGGGTTCCTCTTCCTAACGGGCTTAATTTTCATAGATAGTGCAGTTGAGCCATCAAAATGATAAAGTATAAACATAACTGTATCCATTCAGTCACTAGCACAATTATGTTTGAGATTAAGATATTTGGACAACATTTGTATATTGGTAGATTGTAGTATATGTGTTAAATACTTAAATACCAAACAGAAGAAATATATTCCAAAGCATACTGATCTTTATAAGGAAATTATTATTTTTCTTTGCAGGGTTTTGTGGAACTGACTATATTTCCTACAGTTGCAAACTTGAATAGAATCAAGTTGAACAGCAAGCAATGTAGAATATACCGAGTAAGGATCAATGATTTAGAGGCTGCTTTCATTTATAATGATCCAACCTTGGAAGTTTGTCACAATGAATCAAAACAGTAAGTTTAGCACTTCATTAATTGTATAAAGAGAATTTATATAAGAAAAAAGTTTTTATTAGAAAAAAATGTGCTGAAGAGAAACTGGATAGGCAGTTTGAATAGGAGGTGGACTTCCTTCAGATTATCAGCATTTGGCATTTCTAGAATTCATTAGAGTCAAGTTCTTCAGTGTCTTGAAATCAAGGTCTTGGTGTCCCTCTAGAAATGGCTCAAGATAGAGTATGGACCTCAAAGCGAAAAGTCTTGTGTTCAACCTCTAATACAAGTACCAAATAAAGGTGTTATTTGAGAATTTCAAGTAAAATTTTAAAATCATTTTTAATGTTTATATAAGTATTTCATAAATATTAAAATAATTTTCAGAGTTTAGTAGTAATAATAATCTTTAGATCTCTAAAATCCACGGGGGAAGGGGGGGGAAGGAGAAGGATTGGGATTGGGGGGGGAGGGGGGAGGCTGGGAAGGGAGGTGAAGGGTAAACAAAGGAGGAGGCTGCAATGCTTAGTAAGAAATGTACGCATTATCCTGCCCATGTAATTGTAACCCCTCTGTACAGTATGTTCACAAAAAAAATTAAATTAAATTAAAAAAAAATAAAATAAAATCCTTTGACTGCTTAAAAACACCTTAAAAATATTATGTGAACTATATTTGAGGGTATTTATTTTTTAAAGTTTAACTGACTTTTGTTCTTTTAATAACTTTGGTTTTAGTTTTGCTTTAATCATTATGTATTGGGTGTAAAACTAGTCTTTTAACTAGGTGAAAAGCTAAGGGAATGTCCCTAGCTTTACCTGTGGCTTACCTTATGGGAGGTTGATAGAAATAAAGGTGGACAGAGAAAAGGATCATGTCTTTCATCTTGTTTTCTTATTCTCTCTTCCTTTCCTTTTTCTTTCTGCCATATTCCTCTAACTGATTTCAGTGAGCAAATGTATATTTAATATGTACTTTTTTAAAAAATGAAATTAAGGTAGAAAATAGAAGAAAATTATTTTTCTATTTCTATAAGACTTTTGTTGCATCCAGTAGGAAATCAGGGCATATAATTATCAAACAAATACTATTTTTCAATTTTACATTTTCTCTTTACAGTTGTATCAGAAAACTATAGAGATCTTAGCATTCCAAAATTAATTTAAGAAATAATGATCATAGAGCATTGGAGAATATGTATGCCATTGTGTTTATACAGTTTAATAGTTTTTCCTTGGTGAGTAGAGTACCAGTTACTTGATTAAAACTTAACTCCTATGACTTGTGTGAGAAGATACAATGTTTATAAACAAACACTGTCCAAGTATACTTTCGAAAAATATTAGCAAAATCTTGACTTACTGCTAATAAACTTGGCTTTTCCTCCTGTAGGCGAAATCTCAATTACTTTTCTAATGCTTATGCTGCTGCAGTTACTGCTGTTGATCCTGATGCAGGAAACGGAGAACTTTGCATTAAGGTTCCATCAGAGCTGTGGAAACACGTTGATGGTAAAGCACCAAGAATAAATGACTATACATTAAATCATGTTACATTTAGAGGCCAGAAGAATGACATGAAAATTCTTGTTATCTATGTTGCAAAATAACTTCTTGAAATATAAGGGGTTGGAAGCTCTTTTTTTGTAATTAGCATAAATTTATTGTCTCAAAGCTGTTTTATTGTGATTGTTTCCATATATGCCTATAATGTACTTTGATCAGATTTACTCCATTTCATAAATTCTCTTCTTTTTCTTAAGGCCCACTAGCTAACAGGAAAATACTAATCGTGGGCATGACAAAAACACATAGTTTCATTTGTTTAGCATTATTTTTTTTTTCCTGGTTTACTTTTTGTCCTGTATGATACAGCAGATTGAACCCAGGGCTTCAAGGAAACTATGCAAATTGTCTGCCACTGAGTTATATCCTTTTTATTGATTGTATGTGTGCATGTGCGTGCTGTTCCTGTGTCTGGCACTATCCCAAGCTCCTTTGCTCAAGGCTCACACTCTACAACTTGAGCCTCGGCTTCTCTTCTGGACATTTCTGAGTAGTTTACTGGAGATAAACAAGCCTTTCCAAGGCTGGCTTTGAACTGCAATCCTTAGATCTCAGCCTCAATCCTTAGATCTCAGCCTCCTAGGTAGCTAGGATTAAAGGTGTGAGCCACCAACCTCTGGTATTAAAGATATTTTTTAAAAAGTCATGGATGTAGCAGTGTAAAGATTGGATATTCTATGCAGTATCAAATTGGTTTAGAATTAGAATATTTTAGTAGGAAAATGATTAAAAAGTATCTAGTTTAATTCCTTCCTTTAACAGGAGAATAGCCTGAAGTCTGATGAGATTTCTGGCATTCTTTTTTTGTTTTTGGTCGGTCATAGGGCTTGAACTCTGTGCCTGGGTGCTGTCCCTCAGCTCTTCAGCTCAAGGCGAGTGCACTCCCACTTGAGCCACAGTGCCACTTCCAGTTTTCTGGTGGTTAATTGGAAATAAGAGTCTCATGCATTTTCTTTCTCAGGCTGGCTTTGAACCAAGATCCTCAGATCTCAGCCTTCTGAGTAGGATTACAGGTGTGAGTTACCACCAGCGCCTGGCCCTGGCACTTATTCTGTATATTCAAAGCATATCTTTTCTAAATCTTCATTTTCTGTTTTTTAAAAGATGGTGCATATTGTATACAGTTTCTTTTCCATTCCAGGCAGATGTACTACCAATGAGCCATATTATCTACCTCTTCATTTCCTTCTCTATAAAGTTTTATCCTTAATAATTATTATGCTTTTGCCTATTTTTATTTAATCTTATAAATTAATCAAGAAATTAAAAGACTTGTTTGGTTTGCTTTCTGTTTTGGAGGCAGGGTATATAGAAGGGTTTTTATGTTTTATTGCAGGGCACAGAATGGAGTTTATGTGTTTAGGGCAGAAATTGGTTCATCATTTGTGTTTAGATGGTTGTAATCGCTGGGTGTTAAATAATTTTAATGTTAATGAAAACAACACATTTATTCTAAATCAACTAGAATTATCAGTTTTGAGAGAAACACAGCAGGAAAAAAACTTGAAAAGTTTGCAGTTGTATTTGAAAGGCCTTAAGTGTATATTATAGGGGTTGGGTTTGTTTTGTTTTGTGATACTTAGGATAACCCAGGGCCCAGAACATACTATGCAAACACTTCACCAGTAACTTACATCCCCAGCTGTACTTTGTTTTTTGGTCGTGGTCGTGGGGCTTGAACTGTGGGTCTGGGTGCTATCTCTCAGCTCTTCAGCTCAAGGAGAGTGCTCTACCACTTGAGCCACAGCACCACTTCCAATTTTCTGGTGGTTAATTGGAGATAAGAGATTCACAGACTTTCCTTCCCTGGGCTGACTTTTAACCACGACCTCAGATCTCAGCTTCCTGATTAGCTAGGATTACAGGCCTGAGCCACCAGTGCCCGACATTCCTGCTGCACATTTTTCCTTTAATACATTGAAGTTTGTCAGAAACATTGAGGGGTATGACTTTATAGAAGACTATGAGCACTGATTAGATTAATTGGAGATAGGAATACCTATGGAGTAGGGCATGGTATTGAGTAGACAGAGAAATGATAAATCCTAACACAAGTCATGATTTTTAATATAAAATTCAGGTTTTGATTCTCATTTTGTATTCACTGTCTTTAACCTTATAATATAGATCACTTTATATTTTTATGTGTCACCTGATACGTATATATGTTTATTTCTTGCAGAGTTAAAGGTCCTGAAGATACACATTAATTTTTCTTTGGATCAGCCAAAAGGAGGTCTTCATTTTGTGGTACCCAGTGTAGAGGGGAGTATGGCTGAAAGAGGTGCTCATGTCTTCTCTTGTGGGTATCAAAATTCCACAAGGTAGATTATAAACTATTTCAGTTCATTTGGTTTTCCAATTGTGTATTTGTTGTGTAGATATTTTGTACATTGTGGCAAGTATAAACTTATACCTCTTCCAAATCATGTCCCATTAATTTTTTTTGTCATTCTTGTGTCTTACTCTTCTTTGTTTCCTTTCAAGTTGTATTCCGACATAATCATTTTCCTTGGTTCTTTTCTTTACACTGAAGTAGCACATACGTACAGAAAAAATGCACAAATGTTTTGTGTAATGCTCAGAAGTGCACAAGACCACAGCATTACTAGCATTACAGATGCATTTCCTACTTGTTCTCATTCACCATCCCCCACCCCAAGCATGTTTCTCTCCCATGATCCTATTAACTTCATGTAAATGGAACTATATTATATTTTTCATATTTAGTATTCTTGTTTGTTTGTTTGTTTGTTGGTCATGGGCCTGAATGCTGGGCCTGGGCACTGTCCCTCAGCTCTTCAGCTCAAAGCTAGCACTCTACCACTTGAGTCATAGCACCACTTCTGGCTTTTTTTTCTGCTTATGTGGTGCTGAGGAATCGAACCCAGGGCCTCATGCATGCAAGGCAAGCACTCTACCGCTGAGCCACCTTCCCAGCTCCTATCTAGTATTCTTTATATTTAATTTTTTTGGATCAATTGATAGTGACATTTACTTACATCTTTGGTGTGGAATTGTAGTTCATTGTCGTAGCTCTGTAGTTAGCTTTATGTTATTAAATTATTTATAAAGAATACTTTTCTCACATTATTTCTATAAGCCAGAGATAATGTCTTAGGCTCATTTTTGTTTCAGTATCAAGTCCTAGCCCTGACAGATATTAAGACCCAACCTGGACTGATAGAAAAGCAAAAGTAAATTTCCAATCTGGCTTTATCAGCACTCATTTGGGTTACTGCAATTCTTGAGATCAAATCCCAAGGACTGCATTCCTGGCAGACAGTCCTCCACTGAACTGTATCCACAGCCCTTCTTTTCTTTTTTCTTTTTATTCTTTTGTTCTCTCTCTCTATTTGTCTCTTTCTTTTCCTTTTTTACTGTAGTACCGAGGCTTAAATTCAGTGGCTCATACTGTTACACTTGAGCCATACCTCCAACCTTGCTACTTGCTGGCTATTTTGGTGACAATTGCAAGTCCTCTGGATCTCAGCCTGAGTAGCTAATATTATAGGCATGAACCATTATGAGCCATTAATGCCTCACAAACTCATGGTTTGTCTGGAGATAGAGCTTTTTTTTTTTTTTTTGTAAATTGTGAAAATACTTACAGAGGGGTTACAATTACATGGGCAAGATAATGAGTACATTTCTTATCAAGCATTGTAGCCTCCTTTGTTTCCCCTTCCCATCCCTTCCCATCCTCCCCCCTGCCCTCCCACCAAAGTTGTAAAGTTCATTTTCGATATAATGACTTGTACATCTCAGTGTTGCAATGGGTCCACCTGTATCCCTAGTTAAACAATCTTATAAATGTGTTAGAAACAATCGCATGAAAGAAAAAAACATTTGAATATATATCTTAGGGTTCATTTCTCTAACATCAACTTATCTAACCTTTTCTGCTTGACTCAGACATAGACTAGTTATTGCAAATAAGGGAAACCATGGGACCTATGTTTCTTTGGCCCCGGCTTACTTCACTTAATATAATTTTTTCCAAGTCTTTCCATTTCCTAACAAATGGGGCAATGTCATTCTTTCTGACGGAGGCATAGAATTCCATTGTGTATATATACCACATTTTCTTGATCCATTCATCTACTGAGGGGCATCTGGGTTGGTTCCAGATCTTAGCTATGGTAAATAATGCTGCAATAAACATAGTCGTTTTGGTAGCTTTAGTGTGGTCTGTTTGTGAACATTTGGGTAAATGCCCAAAAGTGGGATTGCTGGGTCATAGGGGAGCTCTATGTGGAGTCTTTTGAGGTACCTCCATACTACTTTCCAAAGTGGTTGAACAAGTTTACACTCCCACTAACAATGCAGTAAGGTTCCCTTCTGTCTGTATCCCCTCCAACATCTGTTGTTATTAGAGTTCTTGATTATAGCCGTTCTAACTGGGGTGAGGTGGTATCTCAATGTTGTTTTGATTTGCATTTCTTTTATGACTAGAGAGGTTGAGCATTTCTTCATATGTCTATTGGCCATCCTTCTTTCCTCTTCAGAGAAGTTTCTCTTTAATTCTTTAGCCCACTTATTTATTGGGCAGTTGTTTCTTTGAGGATTTGTTGTTGGGGTATTTAATTTTTTGACTTCCAGGTATGTTTTAGATATGAGACCCTTGTCCGTTGTATGGCTAGTGAAGATCTTCTCCCAATCCGTGGGCTTTCTATTGATCTTGTTAGCTATGTCCTTTGCCGTGCAGAAGCTCTGTAATTTCATGCAATTCCATTTGTCCAACCTTTCTTTGATTTGTTGTGTTTCTGGGTCTTTATGAAGAAAATTTCAGCCTGTGCCAAGGAGACCTAGGGTTTCTCCTATTCCATCCTGTAATGTTTTCAGAGTGTCTGCTTTGACTCCGTGGTCTTTGATCCATTTGGAGTTGATTCTTGTGCAGGGTGATATATAAGGATCTAGCTTTAGTTTTCTAGAAGTAGTTAACCAATTCTGCCAGCACCATTTACTGAAGAGACTGTCTTTCTTCCATTCTATTTTTTTAGCTCCCTTATTGAAGATTAGATGACTATATGTCTGTGGGTTCATTTCTGGGTTTTCAATTCTATTCCATTGGTCCTGAGGTCTGTTCTTGTGTCAGTACCAAGCTGTTTTGATTACTATGGCTTTGTAGTAGAGTTTGAAATTTGGTATTGATATTCCTCCAGCACTGTTCTTTCTGTTGATCGTTTTTGCTATTCGGGGTCTTTTATTGTTCCATATGAATTTTTGGATTGCCTCCCATTTCTTTGAAGAATGAGGTTGGAATATTGATGGGTATTGTATTGAATTTGTAGATAGCCTTGGGAAGTATTGCCATTTTCACGATGTTGATCTTTCCAATCCAGGAGCATGGGAGTTTTTGCCACTTTCTAAGTTCTGTTTTGATTTCCTTTTTCAGGTTTTTAAAGTTTTCATCATAAGAGGTCCTTCACTTCTTTGATTAAGTTAATTCCTAGGGAGATAGAGCTTTTTATGGAGCTCAGGCTCCTGGCACTCAGTGTTCCGTACTTTTCTTCCCTTTAGTTTGTGTTTATACAATGTATTATATACTCTGGAAAAGTAGTCTCTTAATTTAGAAACTAGATTCTGAGTATTCATCTAGTATTCATTATCTCAAAAACCTTCATGTTAAGCTGGGTGCTGGTGGCTCAGCCTGAGGAGGCTGAGATCTGAGGATCCTAGTTTGCAGGCAGCCCAGGCAGAAAAGTCTGTGAGACGCATACCCCCACTTAACCACCAGAAACAAGAAGTGGTGCTGTGGCTCAAAGTGGTAGAGTACTAGCCTTGAGCCAGAGACCTCAGGGACAGTGCCCAGGTCCTGAGTTCAAGCTCCATGTCCAACATACACACACACACACAAACTTCATTTTAGTAAGTGAATGCTCTGTAACTGCTGGCTAACCTAAATATGTGAGTTTAAATTACCTTTCAGTTGAAAATTAGAACTAAGAATTATATTTTAGGATTTGAACTGGAGTTGCCATGTGATAGTTTTTTAATAATTCCAAATACCAGTTGTGAACAGATCTTATTAGATTTTTTTTTTTTTTTTTTTGGTCTGTTTTGGGGCCTGGGCACTCCTTGAGCTATTTTTGCTCAAGACTAGTGCTGTACCACTTTGAGCCACAGTTCCACTTCGAGATTTTTGGTGGTTAATTCAAGATAAGAGTCACAGGTACTGGGAATATAGCTTAGTGGTAGAATACTTGCCTAGCATGCCAGAAGCTTTGGTTTTGATTAGTCAGTAACACATAAACAGAAAAAACTGGAAATGGCACTGTGGCTCAAGTGATAGTGCTAATCTTGAGCAAAAGAAGCTCAGGGTCCTTGCCCCAGACCCTGAGTCCAAGCCTCAGGCCTTAAAAAAAAAAGTCTCACAGACTTTCCTGCCTTAGCTGTCTTTGAACTGCAATACTCAGCTCGTAGCCTTCTGAGTGGCTAGGATTACAGATGTGAGCCACTAGTGTATATAGAGATATATACTAAAAGGCTTTATTAGCCAAATACATGCAGTTTCCTACATGTTATCTAGAAATGTCAAAATAACTTGTATGGGAAAGCAATATTTTCCATACTGTCAATCTTTTTTTCTAGATTTTGGTTCCCATGTGTTGATTCATACTCTGAATTGTGTACGTGGAAATTGGAATTTACAGTAGATGCTGCAATGGTAGCTGTGTCCAATGGAGATCTGGTAGAGACAGTATATACCCATGATATGAGGAAGAAGACCTTCCATTATATGCTCACCATTCCAACAGCTGCCTCAAACATCTCTTTGGCCATTGGACCTTTTGAAATACTTGTAGATCCATACATGCATGAGGTAAGTCCATTCTTCCTCGCATTTACATCTGTCCTTCTACTCTAAAAAGAAAAGTATTAATAAAACAGGGTCTTCTTTCCTTCTTTTCTTCCTTCCTTTCTTCCTTTCTTTCTTTTTTTCTTTCTTTCTTTTTCTCAGTTGTGGGGCCTGAACTCTGGGCTTGGGCACTGTCCCTCAGCTCTTCAGCTGAAGTCTAGCACTCTACCACTTGAACCACAGTGCCACTTCCTGCTTTTTCTGCTTATGTGATGCTGAGGAATTGAACCCAGGGCCTCATGCATGCAAAGCAAGCACTCTACCACTGAGCCACCTTCCCAGCCCAACAGGGTCTTTTTTCTTTTGGCAGTACCAGGTTTGAACTCAGAGACTTCACTCTTGCTAAGTGTAAGCCACTTTACCAATCACTTTTTCAGTTTTCTCACTAATATAAGCTGCCTGGAGCTTTCAGAATATATTTGAAATGTTAGAGCACTACAGTGATTATTCTTTATTACAATTCTTTGGATTACTAAGATACAGGGACTTAGGATATTTCTCAATGTAGAGGACTTAGCTAGCAATTCTAGCAACTTACAAGTTGCTAACAAATTACTATGAAATGTACTGTTTTCACTAAAGTAGCTACTTTTGAATGAGAGGTAAGTTTACAATAAGCCCTAGAATTTAATTCCTTCTGTGCTATATGTGTGAAAGAAGAAATTCTAATTTAATTTGGAACCTAAGTTTTATTTTCAGGAAGTTTAAGTATTTCTCTGATACATAATACATCTTGATCAAAATTTCAGAACTGTGGATAGTTTGTGAATATAATCCATAAACATCAATAATTTTTGTTTCAGCACATTTTTTTTTGGTCAACATCATGAAATTGCTAAAAACAAAATGGATTTATCTAATTGTTTAGGAAGCTTAACATTTTGAAATTACCTTGTACTTAATCTTCCCTGCTTTTTATTTTCAGGTAACTCACTTTTGTTTACCTCAACTTCTTCCATTGCTTAAACATACAACATCTTACCTTCATGAAGTTTTTGAATTTTATGAAGAAATTCTTACGTGTCGTTACCCATATTCCTGTTTTAAGACTGTGTTCATTGATGAGGCTTATGTTGAAGTAGCAGCCTATGCTTCCATGAGCATTTTTAGGTTAGTGTATCCTCAAATTTTAAATGCCTAAGAAAATAGGAGGAGGTAAAATTGGTGTAATGATCATATAAGGATTTTTGATTTTTTTTTGCTCTAGTATAGGTGTTGTTGACTATAAAAATGTTTACATATGAGCAAATGTTCAAATATAGAAAAAGATGAAGAAAAACTTAAAGAAGACTCATTCTTGCCGTGTACCAGTGGCTCACATCTATAATCCTGGCTACTCAGGAGGCTGGGATCTGAGTGTCACCATTCAAAGCCAACCTGGGCAGGAAAGCCCATGAACCTGTCATCTCCAGTTAACCTCCAAAAGCTGGAAGTGTAGATGTGGCTCAAGTGGTAGAGCACTAGCTTGGATCACAAAAGCTCACAGATGGTGCCCATGCTGAGTTCAAGCCCTGAGAACACTGCCAACAACAACAGCAAAATTAACAGATACTAATATATATATTAATATGTATGTGTTGTGTGTTAGTATATATATATATATTTATTTATTTATTTATTTATATGTGTGTGTGTGTGTGTGTTGTTGTTTTTTTTTTTGTTGGTCATGGGGCTTGAACTCTGGGCCTGGGAGCTGTCCCTAAGCTCTTCAGCTCAAGGCTAGCGCTCTACCACTTGAGCCACAGTGCCACTTCCCATTTTCTGGTGGTTTATTGGAGATAAGAGTCTCACAGACTTTCCTGCCTGGGCTGGCTTTGAACCGAAATCCTTAGATCTTAGACTCCTCAGTGGCTAGGATTACAGGCATGAGCCACCGGCGCCCGGCTATATACTAATATTTTTCATGTTTGTTTTACTAGATGTTTATAAAAGCTTAAAGTCATAAATTAATTTGCTGATAGCAGAAATTTGTTGCTGAAAAGTTAGAAAATATTTCTTTTTCATTTTCCTTTCCATTTTCTTGTTACCTTTTCTGCTTCTGTTCTTTCCTTTCTTTGGAGAGCTACAAATTTACTCATTTGTGTCTTAAGAAGAATTTTACCTCTGTTTCTGAATTTTCTTTTTTTGACCAGTCCTGGGGCTTGAACTCAGGGCCTGGACACTATCCTGAGCTCGTCAGCTGAAGGCGAGTGCTCTACTGCTTGAGCCACAGGGCCACTTCCCATTTTCTAGTGGTTTATTGGAGATAAGAGTCTCACTGCCTTTCCTGCCAGGACTGGCTCTGAACCGTGATCCTTAGATCTCAGCCTTCTGTGTAGCTAGGATTACAGGCGTGAGCCACTGGCACCCAGATTTTTTTTTTCTTTTTTGACACCAACTTTCTGTATAGTTAAGGGTCCTCTGGCTTCACCCTCCAGTGTACAGGCATGTGCCACCATGTCTGGCAGGGGAAGATACCTTTTCCATTAGATGGCCCTTTCATATTAGTACCAGTTTCTGATTAACAGCAGTTTCTTCCCACCCTCTTGAAAAGTTACATTTTTTTGTTTTTAATGGAAAGCATTGAGAAACCTTCCTATAAATGAAAATTACCAAGATGAATTTCAGTTAAGTTTTTTTTTCAGAAAAGATTTATAAAGTTGTTTGAAAGGATATTCTGGTTTTTATTTTTTGAAACTAACTTAAGTTCTTTTGTCTGTTTGAAAGTATGACTCTTCTATTCTGACTAAATGTTTCTTGATTATAATTAACTTTCCCTCTTCTTTTGCATTTCAGCACAAATCTACTTCACAGTGCTATGATTATAGATGAGACACCTCTGACTAGGAGGTGTTTAGCCCAGTCCTTGGCCCAACAATTTTTTGGCTGTTTTATATCCAGAATGTCTTGGTAAGTAATTCCAGAGTTTAAAACTACTGACAAAAAGGAATGATTTCGTGGGCTGGGAAGGTGGCTCAGTGGTAGAGCGCTTGCCTTGCATGCATGAGGCCCTGGGTTCGATTCCTCAGCACCACATGAGCAAAAAGAAAAAAGCTGGAAGTGGCGCTGTGGCTCAAGTGGTAGAGCACTAGCCTTGAGCTGAAGAGCTGAGGGACAGCGCCCAGGCCCAGAGTTCAGGCCCCACCACCGGACCAAAAAAGAAAAAGAATGATTTCTTTGTTTTGTTTTCTTTTTCTGCAAAGTAAGTTGAGTTTTGCCCATTTTGTGGATACCTGTTACAGAAAATGTTATTTGGAGCCTGATTATGGTGACAGCATGACTTTAATTATGGTATGAGGAGCACATTTTTTTTGTGTGTGTGTGTCAGTTGTAGGGCTTGAACTCTGGGCTTGGGTGTTGTCCCTGCATTCTTCAGCTCAAGGCTGAAGTGCTCTATCACTGGAGCCACCGGGCCACTTCTCATTTTCTAGTGGTTTATTGGAGATAAGAGTATTATGGGCTTTCCTTCCCAGGCTAGCTTTGAACTGTGATCCTCAGATCTCAGCCTCCTGAATAGCTAGGATTACAGGCATGAGCCACTGGCACGAGTCTAAGGAACACAATTTTGAAGTTTTCCAAGACTACCATAGTAAAACCTCATTCCAAAGAAATAAAACAGAAAAAATATTTTCTATGTAGCTCATGAAAAATAGTTTTAAGTTTCATCTAAATTTTTGGCCTTAAAATCAGTATAATTACTTCAACAATGTATCTTAAAAAATGAAGTATGACACTTCCCTAATTTGGGGAGGGAAAGGAAGGGAGGGGAAGAGCAAAAACAAAATGCTTAAATAGGGATACAAGTTGACCCATTATAACAATGAGATGTACAAGATACTCTGTTGAAAAATGAACTTTACAATTTAGGGGGGAGGTGAGTGTAGTTGTGGAGGTAGGAGGGAAGATATGGTAGGGGAAATATAAAGGAGGAGGCAACAATGCTTGATAGGAATTGTACTCATTACCTTGCTCTTGTAACTGTAACCTCTCTGTATAGTATTTTTACAATAAAAAGTATTAAAAATTTAAAAATGAAGTATGAATTTTGTTAATAGTGTCCTAAAAAAATCTGAATGCTAGCCAGGTATTGGTAGTTGTGCTTACAATCTAGCTACTAAGGAGGCTGAGATGAGGATTGTGGTTTGAAGCCAGCCTGGGAAGGAAAGTGCACAAGAGTCTTTCCCTCCAATTAGCCACTGAAAAGTGGATCTGTGGCTCAAGTGGTAAAGCACTAGCCTTAGCAAAAAAAAGCTTGGGGACAGCATCCAAACCCTGAGTTCAAGCCCCAGAATCAAAATGCAAACAAAGAAGTCTGAATGCTAACTGGGCACTGTTAGTTCATGCCTGTGATCCTTGCTAGTCAGGAGGGGCTGAGGTCAAAGGGTTGCGGCTCAAAGCCAGCCTGGGTAAGAAAGTCCTGTAGACTCTTATTCTCTAATTAACCACCAAAAAAGCTGGAAGTGGAGGAGTTGTGGCTAAAGTGTTAGAGTGCAAGTCTTGAGTTAAAAAGCTCAGGGACAGTGCTCAGATTCTGAATTAAAATCCCAAGACCAACATAATACATGCACACACACACAAATCTGAATGCTACATGAATGTGTGAATATACAGAAAAATATAATTAGAATTCTAATATCAGAGTAGTTGGGAATGTTCCAGGTAACATTTAAGATAAGGTAATTCTCCTGTACAGTACTGATATTGATAGGCAGGTTTTTTTTTTTTTTTTCTAGTGTTTAGTGTTATATCAGTTTAATTGAAACATGCAAGTATAACATTTTGTGGGCTGGAGGTATAGCATATTTGTAGATCACTTGCCTAGCATGGGCCAGACCTTGACTCCCTTAAGATTATAATCTTTCATTGTTTACATCTTATACCATATATATTATATAAATCTTAGATTCTTTTTCTGTCTTGCTGCAGGGGAGAGGACAGGATAGGGCTTCTCGATTTGATTGTCCTAAAATTACATCTAGTTTCATTAAGGTATAATACTTAAAACATAGTAGGCAAAATGTTCAGATAGATGAACATAGGAATGAATAAAGGAGTGAATGGTGCTAATTACCTTCTGGAGAAACTAAAATATAATTTACCATTAGGTTTTAGAATATTATTGGAAATTATGTGTAGGATTGACAATATTAGAACATGAACTTGTTAGTTGAGCAGTGCCATCTTGATTGTAGGCAAGTCCTTCCCTAGAAGCAGACAGTGAGCAGAATTGGGCAGGAAAGTTTCACTGGGAGGATAGAGCATATATACTTTGGTAAATTTTACTTGAAATAATACTTATGAAGCGAAGCTTTTTTTCCCCCCTGTACTGGCTTAGTATAATACTTATAAAGCTTTTTTTTGTTTTTCCCTCTGTACTGGCTTAGTTCATGCTAGGCAAATGCTCTACCACTGAATTACATTGTTCCAGCCACAACATAGTCTTATAATTAAGGTACAGCCAGATATAAAGACAGCTGAATGGCAGCTCAGCCAGAGGAATTTAGGAAACCTAATAATTTGTTAATAACATATTTTTCTTTTACAAAGCAGAGAAATACAACTATTTTTGCTGACCTCATGTAAAGAGTTTTTATAATTAAAAAAAAGTTTATTTTGATGTTTTTGCTTAGGTCTGATGAGTGGGTGCTGAAAGGAATTTCAGGCTATATTTATGGACTTTGGATGAAAAAAACTTTTGGTGTTAATGAGTACCGTCATTGGATTAAGGAGGTAAGAAGAACTGGGTCATTTACTTACAAATCAGAAAACTATATTATAGTATTTCCTTGATTTCTAAGTTATCCTATCCATGTAAAATAATTTAAAAATGTTACTGAAAAAAGCTGATTTCTTTTTCCTCACATAATGAGACTCACTTGACTGAGAAGGACTAATGATCTGTCACAATTAGGTCTTGAAGACTTTACTTTTCCCGAAGGAAGAAAACACTTTTAAAAACATTTTTATTGTTATTATAAAGGTGATGGATACATGAGTAGATGAGTTACTGTTTCATAGTCAGGTAGTGAGTACACTTCTTTTTGGACAATGTTATTCCATGAAGCAAACGTTTAAACTATAAATTACAAGTTGGACATCCCAGCTTCTCATTGGGATGATTTATACCATTTCCTAAATTTGTTTAGCTTCATGGTCAGTTAATCTATCCAAGTCTTATCTTGGTGTTTACCTCACAGGCAGAGATTGTGACAGATATATTTCTATGCACACACACATTAATATACATGGTGCTTTTTTTTTTGGTTTTGTTTTTTTGGGCCCATTTGTAGGGCCTGAACTCGGGGCCTGAACTCTGGGCCTGGGTGCTGTCCTTCAGCTCTTCAGTTCATGGCTAGTGCTCTACCACTTGAGCCACAGCACCACTTCTGGCTTTTTTCTTTTTGCTTATGTGGTGCTGAGGAATCAAACCCAGGGCCTCAGGCATGCAAGGCAAGGGCTCTACCACTGAGCCACCTTCCCAGCCCACATGGTGCTTTGTATATAATAAAACCAGAATTTTGGACCTAGGCCTAAACTCCATGTGTTTCTTCCATATGTCATAATGAAGGGTAAAGTAAAGAGATTTATTACATGATCCTGGTTGCCCTGGGAAGAATATTTCAGCAGTCTTCAGTCATCTTCAGAGTACTGACATGAACTTTAGCTTAAAAATGATGGGAAACTGGGAGGGGTGGGGGGAAAGGTATGCTTGATTAAACCCTCCCAGTCACTGCTGTGGCCTTGTTGCCCATTACTTCAGTCTCTGGAGAGGTCAGTGTGAACAGGGACAAAGTCTGTTGCCTGGCTCTGGCGGTTTGTCTTAAGCTTTTGGATGTTCTCTTCTTTTGGTACAATTTAGCCTTCGCCATGAGATGATAAGGCATTGATTGCCTGAGGGGCAGTTTGCCTTTTGTTACAACATGCTTTTCTGTACCTAAATACTGTCCTTTCTAGAGCCCAAGGTGATTTCAAAAGTTGCTGCAGGAGAGAATGACTCAGATCAAGACACAAATGCAAAGTGAGGGTTGGATATACAGTTTCAGTCATTTCATGAGCCTAAGAAAGGAGTTTCTCAGTTAAAAAGTAATTTAAGTACCTCTTATAGTTAGTAAACGGTTTATTAGATGTTAAGTAACCTTTTAATGAATTTATGTTCTATCACTGTCACATCTTTTTCATATTTTTCAAAGATTTGATCAAAAATTAGGTGGCTCAGTGGTAGAGTGCTTGCCTTGCATGCATGAGGCCCTGGGTTCGATTTCTCAGCACCACATAAGCAAAAAGAAAAAAACAAGCCAGAAGTGGCGCTGTGGCTCAAGTGGTAGAGCGCTAGCCTTGAGTTGAAAAGCTGAGGGACAGCATGCAGGCCCAGAGTTCAGGCCCCACGACCGGATCCAAAAAAAAAAAATTAATTGAATTACTTTGCATATACCATTTTGGTCATATGCATATATACTTTATAAGGCTAGTTTTACTGCCCTTATCAAATTTGCCTTTTTTTTTTGTTTTTTGGTGTGTTTTTTTTGTCTGTCGTGGGGCCTGAACTCGGCCTGGGCGCTGTCCCTCAGCTCTTCAGCTTAAGGCTAGCTCTCTACCACTTGAGTCACAGTGCCACTTCTGGCTTTTTCTGCTCATGTGGTGGTGAGGAATCGAATCCAGGGCCTCATGCATGTAAGGTAAGCACTCTACCACTGAGCTACCTTCCCAGCCCTTCCTTTTTTTTTTTTTTTTTTTTTGTCACTCATGAAGCTTAAACTCCCACTGTCTCTGAGCTCTTTTGTTCAATAGCACTCTACCACTTTTAAGCCACAGCTCCACTTCCAGTTTTTGAGTAGTTGATTGGAGATAAGAGTCTGCCCAGGCAGGCTTGCAGCCATCATCCTCAGATCTCAGCCTAGGATTAAAGGCTAGACGATTGTTGCTGGCTTCTTCTCCTTTCTTATTTTCCATGTTTTTATCAAATCCAATCTTTAACAAAAGTCATAAAGTTAGGGTTGTTTCTCTTTTTGCTTAAGGCTAGCATTCTACCACTTGGAGCCACAGCACCATCTCCTTTTTTTTTTTTTTTCCTGTTGGTTAATTAGAGATAAGAGTCCAATGGATTTTCCTGCCTGGTCTGGCTTTGACCCTTGATCCTCAGATCTCAGCCTCTGAGTAGTTAGAATTACATAAATGAGCCACCAAGAGCCAGGTAAAAAGTTAGTTATTAAAGATCTCAAGTACCTAGGATGATGAAAGCATTTATACATCTGGAGTAGTTAGCATTCATGTTCTTCATTTCTGAAGAAAAAACTCAAAAGGACATACATACACTGTATCAAACATTGTAATAAATTATCTAACAATTTCATATACTGTTTATAACTTTTCTGTGCTGTATATTACTGAGTCTAGTTTTGAGTTTCGCACACAGTCGTAGTGTCTTTTTTTTTTTCTTAAAACTTTCATTTAAGCATTAAGTAGTATGTTGTATTACAGAAAACTTGAGAAGTTTTAAAGTGATGGGTTTCTGATCTCATTCCCATTACCTTAGTCTCCAGAACCAAAGTACTAAGAAGAAATCCAGTTGGAAGACAGATCAGAGAGAATGAATATTAAAAAGTTGCCAGGCTGCTAGCCTGTTCTGAAGTTATGAATTACAGAAGACTGGTACTTAGCAGCCAGGCAACTGTGTAGTTTGCTTCTCTAAATCCTTTACACTTAATTTAAATTTTGATTCCAAGAATGAGAATTTAAAGTTGACTTCTAAAATTTGTTGTGTGGCAAAGGTTTTACTGACTTCTGTTTTTGTATCTTTTAGGAACTAGATAAAATAGTGGCATATGAGCTGAAAACTGGGGGAGTTTTACTACATCCTATATTTGGTGGAGGAAAAGAGAAGGATAAGTACGTTTGTTTTTCAGATGATATTAGAAACCTTGTTTTTATAGAAGCACATGTGTGATGTTTCTTAAGGCTAACACAAGCCAAAGAAGGAGTAATAGTAGGCAAAAATATTGATGCACAGCTGGGCACTGGTGACTCACACCTGTTATTCTAGCTAATTAGGAGGCTGAGATTTTTAGGATTGCAATTTAAAGCCAGCTCCTGAGACTCTCATCTCCAAAAAACCTAAGTAAAGCTGTGTTTCAAGTGGTAGAGTGCTAGCCTTGAGCAAAAACTCTCAGGTACAGTGCCTAGGCAAGTTCAAGCCTTTGCATGTGTTTCTTTTCAGCCATATAACTTACATTAAATTCATTTTAGAGATTTATTACTACTAAAGAAACTAGTTACATTTTCTCATGAGGTGTTTTTTTTTTTATCTAAAGTCCAGCATCCCACCTACACTTTTCGATAAAGCACCCGCATACTCTGTCCTGGGAATACTATACTATGTTTCAGTGTAAAGCTCACCTTGTGATGAGATTGATTGAAAATAGGATCAGCATGGAATTTATGCTACAGGTAAGTAATAAGAGAAAATGGAAGGTGTGTGTGTGTGTGTGTGTGTGTGTGTGTGTGTGTGTGTGTGTGTGTGTGTGTGTGTGTGTGTGTGTGTGTGTGTGTGTGTGTGTGTGTGTGTGTTCGTTCGTTCTAATTACTGTGCTGCAGAATGGAGTCTGGATTTTAGCTTTGCTTGTCCATTGAGTAGTCTTTCCTCAAATGCAGAATGATTATTAGGAAGATAAATTAGAATGTGAGAATGAAAACAAGGCCCATTCATTTATATGATTTTATGTTCTGCCATGCAGGTTAGGTCTGAAATTATATTTTGAAATGTTTTCAGAAATAAGATAGAGCCAATTTAAATGATGTTTATTTTTGTTATTGCTAACTTTCCCTGTATTTCTAAACAAGTTTTAATATAAGAAGTTATAGTGTAGGAGATGAGTTTGTAGAAACCAGACAAGTGCATTATAAATGTTCGGCCAGTTTTTCTATTGATAGCCTTCTTAGATCCAAGCAAGTGTAACTAATTTCATAAAAGCATTTTTTTTAGCTGAGTGCAATGGTTTATACTATAATCCCAGCTGCTCAGGAGGCAGAAATTGGGAGGATTGCAGTTGGAGGCCAACCCAGACAAAAGGGAGACATTGTAAAAGTGGCAAAGATTGAAGGCCCTATCAAAAAACAACAAAATCATAAACAGAAGTGCTGGGAACATGTCTCAAGTTGTAAAGTATTTGCTGAGCAAGGAAATGTCAGCCTCTAAGTCGTAATATAGCTCCCAAAATTTTAAAAAATAAGTAGCATTTCAAGTTTGTCCTAAAGTTTTTTTTATCCTTTTGTGTTTCATGTTACCTTTAGATTAAAAAACAAGTTTTTTTTTTTTTTTTGGGGGGTCCGGTCGTGGGGCCTGAACTCTGGGCCTGGGTGCTGTCCCTCAGCTCTTCAGCTCAAGGCTAGCGCTCTACCACTTGAGCCACAGCACCACTTCCGGCTTTTTTCTTATGTGGTGCTGAGGAATCGAACCCAGGGCCTTGAGCATGCAAGGCAAGTGCTCTACCACTGAGCCACTTTCCCAGCCCCCAACAAGTATTTTTTAAAATGAGAAAGATTGTCCATAAAATACTCACTCTACTTTTTATAATGGCATAAATGCTAATGAAGTTTTTGTTTTTTGGTGCTAGTCTTGGGGCTTGAACTCAGGGCCTGGGCGCTGACGTTGAATATTTTGCTGGAGGTAAATGTTAGTGTTCTGCCACTTGAGCCACAGCTCATTTTTGGCTATTTGATGGTTAATTGGAGATTAAGAGTCTCATGAACTTTCCTGCCTAGCTGGCTTTGAATTTTGATCCTCAAATCTGTTTCCTGAGTAGCTAGGATTACAGGCATAGGCTACTTGTGCTTGACCCTAATGAGGATTATCATTTATGTACTTGTTATTTTTTCCAGTGATGGTGATTGAGCCAAGGTGCTCATGCATCCTAGGCAAGCGCTCTATTACCAGTGTACTCACTCCTTGCATTTTATTTTATTTTTTTGTCGGTCATGGGGCCTAAACTCTGGGCCTGGGCGCTGTCCCTCAGCTCTTCAGCTCAAGGCGAGTGCTCTACCACTTGAGCCACAGCACCACTTCCCGTTTTCTAGTGGTTTATTAGATATAGGAGTCTCATGGTCTTTCCTGCCTGGGCTGGCTTTGAACCTTGATCCTCAGATCTCAGCCTCCTGAGTAGCTAGGATTACAGGTGTGAGCCACCGGCACCCGACAACTCCTTGCGTTTTCCTTTCTCCACCTTAACAAAACATTACCATTATTATTATGTAGTTGTACAAAGGGGTTTCAGTTCCATAAGTCAGATTATGAGTACAATGCTTCTTGGTCTGTGTCACCCTTTTCTTTATTCTCCCCCATTTGCCTCTCCTGTGTATACCCTCAAATTATGTAGTTCATTTTTTACATGATATATGTTTAATATAATGACTATATTTGCCTGCCCTTCCTTCATTCTTGTGGCATCCCCCCCTCGTCTATCTTCTAAAACATGTTTCTGCTTCCTGGTGTTCATTTTAATAAACAGTACATTAGTTGATCAGAAGAGTTACGTCTTTGGATTCCTCCCCTGAGTATACCTTTCTTTAGTCAGTCTGTTGCTGTATAAATGCCTTGGCATAGTTTTATTTTAGATCTACTTTTTCTAGAGAAAACCTGTGTGCCCTTTCTCTCTCTGAGCCTGCCAACTATTTCCTGGCAAATGACATAATATTTTGATGGATGAGTAAAATTCCTTTGTGCATATGTACCACATTTTCTTGATCCACTTAGCTGTTATAGGGTATCTGTGGTTATTGTGAATAGTGAAGCAGTGAACATGGATATGCAAGTGTCTTTATGGTATCCTGGCTTGTGATGTTCTGGGTTGATGCCCGTCTATCCCCCTTTCCCAAGTAGGAAAAAGAATACAAGAACATTACATGTCTCAGATAAGGGAGTATTGGGCTCCTAAAAAGTATTCTTAAGTTGTTAATTTTTAATGTCTATATAAAACTCATAACAATTTATAGACAGTAAGTGTACTGTTCTTTTCTTAATAGTATTCTTTGATCAGTATATCATTGACATTGAATAATGTTTATATGAAGAACACTCATATTTTGGTTGATGGAATGTGTCATGTTTCTGTTGCATGTAGTCTTAACCTGAACAACCTATGTAATAAGTTGTGAAATTATCATATCATAATTGATATGATAAAATTGTAGGGCAATATGGATATTAACTTAATAAATGATACTTTTATTTTTAAAGGTTTTCAATAAGCTGCTAAGTCTGGCTAGTACTGCTTCATCTCAGAAGTTCCAGTCACATATGTGGAGTCAGATGTTGGTTTCCACATCTGGATTTTTGAAATCCATTTCAAATGTCTCTGGCAAAGACATCCAGCCCTTAATAAAGCAGTGGGTGTATCCTTTCCAGTGAAATGGGGAAGATGGGAGAAGAGGGATGAGGTGTGGGGGGAAAGGAATATAACTTGTTGATATTACTAAAAAATACTGAAAATAAATGAGCTGTGAATCATTTGGTGTCAAGCTCCCACTGATCATTGAGATAGCATACATACACATTTGTTTATGTTTATAAGCTTGGATATGTTTTGGAGCACTTTTTCTTAAGTGAGTTAAAGATGCAAGTTTGAAGGTAAATGACGTAAACAATCCTACAGACAGGCCTGTAGTATAACTTGTGATAGGAAATGGACTCCTGACTTTCAGATGTGGTTAAAGGTTGGCACAACTTAAGTAGTACTTTGGAATTTTGCAATTTTTGCTTTTTTCATTTCAAAACACTGTTATATTAATAATACAGTAGAGTGGTTTTGCTTTCAAAACACAAATTTCTCCATGTTTCCGAAATGTTTTCCCAGATGTAAACAAAATTTTCATAAGAATTTTGAATACTTTGCCGCCTGGAATATTATAAAGTATATTTTGAGGCTTTGATCTGGTGGAAATACATTTGAAAACTTTTCATACCAGGATGGGTAATCTTATAGTATATATTTATTTCAGTGTGTTAGATTTCCTTTACTATTCCTTAGAGACCAGAGTGGAGTAGTAAAATTTTATGGAAGTTTTGCATTTAATAGAAAACGAAATGTCTTAGAACTCGAAATAAAGCAAGATTATACATCCCCTGGAACTCAGAAATATGTGGTAAGTGTTACTTTTTTACAAGAGGTTCTTTTGCACTATTATCCAGTTTCAGTGTAGAAAGAATTTAAGATAGGATTGACGATTAGAAGATTTATAAGGAGATTTTTTTTTGGTAAAGAATACTCAGAAAATACCATATATAAACAAAGAGAAGAAGGGCTACAGAGGAGAATTTCAAGGAACTTAGACTAATCATTCCTCATTAACTATCAGAAGATACCCCATTTTGTTTAGTCTTAGTTTATATCTATTTTAAATATGTATATATAAATACATACGTATATGTCTGTGCATATAAGTATACAGTGGTATGTATCCAGTACTGTCTTTGAATAGTATTTTTTTTTTTTAAAGGGACCACTTAAAGTAACAGTACAGGAGTTAGATGGATCTTTCAATCATACACTGCAAATTGAAGAGAACAGCCTTAAACATGATATTCCCTGCCATTCCAAAAGCAGAAGGTAGGTATTGAGTCGTAACTATAAACTGGTTCTTGAACTACGGATACAAATACTAGCATAAAAATCCTGCTGAACACCAGGTTTTTTAGGTTAAATATTTGGTATCCTTTTTCTTACTATATTAGTTCAAGGTAACATTACCAAACATACTTTGTTTGCATTCTGTCTTGACATTTTCATCTTTATGTTTAATAGCTAATTTTTAAAATTGGGTTTGAGTATAGGGGAATGGAAGTTTCAGTCTTTGGAGCTAAGGAAATCTTTAAGCCAAATCACTTATTTGATTAGTCTTGTTAGATTAATATCTACAGGAAATACTGGAAAAATGATCATTTAAAGCAAATAGCTAAATATGCTATTATAGGCTCTTGCATCTTAAACTCTTGATTAACTATCACCTTGTCCTCCAGAACTTTTTTTCAGACGTTTTATTTTATTGTCAATAGCCAAATCTTGTACATCCAGAACTCACTTATGCATTGTGTAATTCTTGACAAAATGCTCACTTTATACTATAGCTGAATATAATACTTTTGAACTAATTGAGAATATGCCTTACTCCAGCCTATAAAATATGTGTCTCTTGTTTGAGTGTTCCTTGCCCCAACCCATAAAGCATGTCTCTCATTTGAAAAAAACATTTTTTTCAATACTACATTGTATAATGTTTAAATCGTGTTGTGCATACCTATTTTTTTTTTTTTTTTTGTCGGTCGTGGGGCTTGAACTCTGGGCCTGGGCGCTCTCCCTCAGCTCTTCAGCTCAAGGCGAGCGCTCTACCACTTGAGCTACAGCGCCACTTCTGGTTTTCTGGTGGTTTATTGGAGATAGGAGTCTCACGGTCTCTCCTGCCCGGGCTGGCTTTGAACCGCGATCCTCAGATCTCAGCCTCCTGAGTAGCTAGGATTACAGGCGTGAGCCACCAGCGCCCGGCCATACCTATTTTTTGAACATGTCATTTCCTTATAAAAATATTCCAAAAGCTGAGCACTGGTGGCCCACGCCTGTAATCCTAGCTACTCAGGAGGCTGAGATCTGAGGAACTTGATTTAAAAAGCCAGCCAGGCAGTAAAATCCCTAAGATTCTTATCTCCAGTCACCCACCAGAAAAACCAGAAGTGGCATTGTGACTCAAAGTGGTAGGATGTTAGCCTTGACCAAAAGAGCTCAGGGACTGCCCACAGTCTCTGATTTCAGCTCTATGGCCAGAAAAAAAAAATTCAGAATAATTTTTATTCTGGCTTTTTGAAATAAACACAGAATTGTTAGTCTCCCTGTTGTACATTACCAATCAGAACTACTTTCTCCTGTCTGTCTACAACTTAGTGACCACTGAGTAGTTTTTCTCTTCTCTTTTCCCTGTTCTCCCAGCCTCTGATAATGCCATTCTATTTTTCACGTCTGTGAGATCAACATTTTTTTTTTTTTTTTTAAACTGGTCGTGGGGCCTGAACTCTGGGCCTGGGCACTGTCCCTCAGCTCTTCAGCTCAAGACTAGTGCTCTACCACTGGAGCCACAGTGCCACTTCCGGCTTTTTCTGCTTATGTGGTGCTGAGGAATCGAACCCAGGGCCTTATGCATGCAAGGCAAGCATCTTCCCAGCCCGAGGTCAACATTTTTATGTTACACATTAAAGTGAGCATGAGATACTTGTCTTTGTGTGATTAGTGTATTTAACACAGTGATCTTCAGTTTATCCTACAGTGTTGCAAATAATAGGATTTCATTCTTTTTTATAATTGCAGAGTATACTGTGTTTTCTGTACTCATCCATCAGACAGTAGGCATTTTTATTTCATGGCTATTGGGAATATTGATACAATAAAAACGGGAGTACAGATGTCTTGTTGATAGTTTCTTTGGATATATAACATCAGTAGAATCACTGGATCATAAGGTACCTCTTTTCTTTTTTTGAGGAACCTCCATATTATTTTATAATGACTACATTAACTTATGTTCTCACCAACAGTGCAGACCTCCTTTTTTTCACGTCTTCTCCAACACTTTCACCTTTTTAACCTAAGAAGAAATGGGCAATAGACCTAAGTAGATTTCTCAAGAGAAATATTCCAGTGGCCAATAGATATGAAAAATATTCTACATTACTAATTAGGAAATTCAGAGTGAAATCCCTTTTGTTTTTGTTCTATGCACCTTGGAAATTAGGAGCATCTAATTGCTATTTCCATAACATTTCCTCATTTTTTTCTTCCGTAATATTATGTGATTTAAGTATTTTTTAGATTAAGGAACACAGAAGACTCGTTTCTTATTTTTGTTTTCCCCCAGTTTTCAGTGTATGATCCTTAAATAGGCTTCATGAGAAAGTAATAATTAACAGGATAACAGTTCCTTTTGTTTTTGCTAAAGTCTTGTGAAGGAGCCTTGTACATGTAACACAGTTTGATCTGCAATTACTTGTATCTCATTTTAGTCCTGGTTATAATTCTATTGGTTAGAAAAGATTTCTTTATTGATAGAACTTTTTTTCCCTCTGTAACACTGTGCCTGCTCGTTCTTGAGAATGTGCATATTTTAAATTGTAATTTAATCATATAGTTCTAATTTTCACTAAACTTTGGTTAGGTAAAGATTTCAAGATTTACTTCATTTACTCTAGCTTCAAAATAAACTTTATTGTTTCATTACATTTCATAATAATTCTTCCATAGGATATATGTTGTTTAAAATCATTTCTTTGAACTTTAAAATCATTTCTTTATCTCCATTCAGATTTGGAAATCTCAGTTTTCAAACTTTCCCTTAAATACAGGAATAAGAAGAAAAAAATCCCACTGATGAATGGAGAAGAAGTTGACATGGATCTTTCTGCAATGGAGTAAGTTAATTAAAAGTATATAATTATCCTCAAAATGAATGCTTTTAAGATTTTTCATTTTAGTTTTTGAGTCAGGGTCTCAGCTTTGAACTTATGATTCTCCTGTCTTAGCCTCCCAAGTTCTTGTAGTATAGGTATATACTATACTTGGCTCTAAAACTTTTGAAAGTCAGTAGAACCTTTGTTAGAAGTAAATTTTAAATAAAATCTTAATTCCTTCAAGATCTAAAAAGTCTTAACTAGATTGGATGAGGTGAAATTAGGAGGATGTTACAGTATTAATTGTGGAAGTGGGCATCTGATTATTCATTACTTATTCACTACTTTATTTTTACTTCCTGGTCTTTTGTGATCGACCTCTTAAGCAGATTTCTCAAACTGTGAAGTGCATGTGAATCATTTGCCATCTTAAAAAGCAGTTTCTAATTCAGTACTGTGGGACCTGATCGTTTGTATTTGTAGTGACTCCAGGTGATAGCAGTCAGTTAATATTCAGTGTATTTGAAACACAGCTTCAGGCAACTCTTTGTGTTTTTCAAAGCCCAATTTACAAAATACTCCTAAATTTTATGTGGTAATATTTATTGATTGACAGTGCTTCATTTTTAAATAACATATGGTACAAACAAATTTGTCCATCCTGTATCTTCATGCTTTTTATGAAATATATATGTATTTGCTAAGTTGGATGACAAACTCACTATTGTTTACATACAGGTTATGTCCACTTGGCCTTCCAGATCGATACTGTTGTAACTTTTTCCATAGCAAGTTCCTTGTCAGTAGTAAACACACAATGGTGTTTGTTGAATTGATTTAATATTATAGATGGTAGTGTTTTGATGAAAATATTGACATAGACTTTTTTCAAGTGCTTATTGAGAAGTCATGAGGATAAAGTCAGGGTAGGCCTTTGAAATGTGTCATACCTTCTAAAGGTTAACATTTTTGAAAAGTGTTAAGTCTGCTAAACAAATTAATTAAATGATTTCATTAGTCACAAGTTGATTTTTGTTTGTGGATAGTATGCCTAACCATAGTTAACAATTAGGCTACAAGAAGTCAAATGAAGAAACATTTTTTCTTTCTCACATAATCTCAAACTAATATTTTAAGATGGAAAATAAGGACTTTAATGTGCTATCTGACAACTCTTCTTATCCTTGAAAAAATCTCTTTAGCAAGATTGATACAGATTAAACATTTCGAAAAAGTTAACAATGTAATAAGAATAATGAAAGATTTGTTAATACAGTTTAAAAAAAGAAATATAGCTGGGCACTGGGGACTCATGCCTGTAGTCCTAGCCACTTGGGAGGCTGAGATCGGAGGATTACAGTTCAAAGCCAGCCTGGGCCGGAAAGTCCATGAGACACTTATCTCCAATCCACTACCCAAAAATCTGGCAGACCCTTGAGCAAAAGAAGCTTAGGACATTGTTAAAGCTCCAGGATTGGCCCACACACAAACTCCAGTAGAAGAACTCCAATCTTGAATACTGTGTCTGAAGGTGAATCTGATTATTCACTACTTTATTTATACTTCCTAAACGAGATTTAAGTATTAAAATGAGAAAATTGTATTTTCTTTTAGTGCAGATTCTCCTTTGCTGTGGATAAGAATAGACCCAGATATGTCAGTACTGAGGAAGGTAGAGTTCGAGCAATCTGATTTTATGTGGCAATATCAACTCCGCTATGAAAGGGATGTTGTGGCACAACAGGAATCCATCTTGGCGTTGGAGAAGTTCCCTACACCCGCGTCTCGCCTTGCACTCACTGACATCTTAGAACAAGAGCAGTGTTTCTACCGAGTGAGAATGTCAGCTTGCTTCTGTCTTGCAAAGGTGTGGTCAACATTGTTGTTTATTCTACACAAAGTATCTGAAAATAAGTTCATTGTAATTTAAAGTTTTTTACAATTTACAGTTCTCCATCTCTCAGCCTCCCATATGCTGGGATTACAGGCATGCACTATAATGCCTGGCTATATAAAAAATTCTTAAAAACCTTGAGTACATGCCAGGCGCTGGTGACTCAAGCTTGTAAGCCTAGCTACTGAGGAGGCTGAGATCTGAGGATCATGGTTCAAAGCTAGCCCATGCATGAAAGTCCGTGAGACTATTATCTCCAACAAACCACCAGAAAACTGGAAGTGGTGCTGTGGCTCAAGTGGTTGAGCACTAGCCTTGAACTGAAGAGCTCAGGTACAGCGCTCAGGCCCAGAGTTCAAGCCTCACAATCAACAACAACAACAAAAAACCTTTGAGTACACTATATTTGACTTAGTTTTCAATTGGTATATTGAAAAACCTTGTTTAAAATTGGTGATGTTTCTATCTGATGCATGTAAAATATTAGAATAGTATCAACCTAAGTGAATAGAAAAAAGTCTGTTCAGAGGATATGCCTTTTAGAAACAGGAGCCTCCTCAAACATGGGAAAATACGGCAATTTAAACATATAAGAATTTTTTTGGGAGAGCAAGTTTGTTTTCTTGGAAATGAATGGTGAAAACCATGTTCAACTGTAGTAGTAGCTTTTAGAAAGCTTATTTATTTAAAAACTGTTTACAGTAGTGATGGAAAATATTTTCCAATTATTTTCAGATTGCAAATTCAATGGTGAGCACATGGACAGGACCACCAGCAATGAAATCACTCTTTACTAGGATGTTTTGTTGTAAAACTTGTCCAAACATTGTGAAAACAAACAACTTTATGAGCTTTCAAAGTTATTTTCTACAAAAGGTACAGTTTACTTTTCAATATTCTTAGGCTCTTTTGACAATTATCCTAATTTAATTCATGTTCCACTTCTAAAATTTGTCTTTTTAAATTAAACAAATTCAGGTATGCAGGCGGTTTGTGGTACCTGAAGAGTATATTTTCTAAGCTGGATGCCAGTGGCTCATGCCTGTAATCCTAGTTACTCAGGAGGCTGAGATCTGAGGATTGCAGTTTGTAGCTGGCCTGGGCAGGAAAGTCTGTGAGACTCTTACCTCCAATTAGCCACTCAAAAACCAGAAGTGGCGCTGTGGTCTAATGTGGTAGAGGACTAAACTTAAGTCTAAAAAGCACCCTAGCTCTGAGTTCAAGCCCCCTGATTGACCAAAAAAAGTATATTTTCTATAAATGATAGCTTGAAGTAATGATACAATATGTGTATAGTAGTGTCACATTGAGGAAAGGGAATTGGAATGGGAGGGTGTCCAGCTTTGAGGTGGTTTAGAAATAATTCCTACAGTTTTTTGAGTCATACAAAAATGAAGACAGTGGATTAACTAGATTAGAGCAGTTAGAAAACCAAGGAGCCTATTCCTTTATGATTTTAGTTGAAGAATATTAGAAGACCTGAGGTTAAAATAGAGTTTGATAAAAGGGATATTTGAGGCTTATTTTGCTTCATACAAAGGAAAAGAATAAAAACTATTGGAAAGGGAGAGATGAAACATTTAAGTGGGAGAAAGTAAGTAGAGAAGATGGATCAAATTTTGAAAAGGAGAGGACAGAGCACAGTTAGGAAGTAAACTGTAGCAATGATAGGAACATTTCTTTTTCTGGATTAGGGGGAAAACACTAAAAACAACTGAAAAGATAGATAATGAAGAGGTTATTAAACAAGTTTAGATTTATATGTGATAAAAGGAAAAGGAAAAGGATTACCCAGCAAAGTTGGGGAGGGAAAGTCAAGATATATTTATATTTATATATTTATAGAAGATTTAATCAGCAGAGTAGAGTCTGTATGATCTAGATTAGGAACGGTAATGTAAGTGTGACCAAAGAAACCTTTGGTGTATCCTTATTGTATTTTGAAGAACTGAGCATTGGATATTACTTAAATGTGTGGTCTGCCCTTGCCTCTTGTGATATGGGAAATGATAACTTAGTGTGTACCTGATACATTCTCTTCAGTGTTACATTGTGCTTTCCCTATTCCTTAGGTGAATGTTTCAAATTGGAGTTGTGAACAATGAAGAGCCATGAAATCAATTTAGAGGCTATTGTGGATTTTACTTGTGTTGCTTTACTTTTACTTACTTGTTACTTTTTTTTCTTCTTCCTTTTTTTGCCCATGCTGGGGAATGGATTCAAGGCTTTGAGTTTAGGAGGCAAGTGCTTTACTACCAGAGCACCAGGCACCCAGCCCTGTTTTTATTTTATTTTATTTTTTTAATGAAAGAAAACAGAATAGACAGTATTATAAAGCATGGTGTATGAATTTTTATTTTTTTAGTTTGTATACATTGCTTGTAAAATTGTGTATGTGGGTGGGTGTGATGTGTGTCTGGTACGTGTTATGAAATTATTTCTTATTATGGATTAAGGTAAAAAAAGAAAACAGCTAATGCTATTGGTACTAGGTAGAGAGTGAAGGGAAGGAAGGAGATGACTGGTTCATAACCCTTCAAAGTTGAGTTACAGAAGGACAGAATAGGCATATGATAGATACTTTATATGGAAAAGAGCTTTTCCTCATTAGGTTACAGAATTATTGCTGACTGTTGCTGCTTCTATTATTTATGGTCTTGTAGGCAAGAAAGTAGCCACTTCCATTCCAGCTCTCCCTTTTAAAAGAAATAGTCCAGATCTCTCCATGTTCTAAGGACTAAGATATCTGTCCATCTGCCCTTCTGCTTAGGAGTTAATTGGCTTCATTTTAATTCTAGAATTTGCCATTGTGTGGGGGCAGTGTTTCTACTATAGAAAACTTGCAGAAAACTTGTGGCAGAGGAAGGCTTAGTTTAGCACCTTTCCTTAGTGTGAAAGTTGGGTCTTACTGGAAAATTAATGTTTTCAAACTGATGATTAAGCACTACCATATGCTACATAACTTTATTCACTAACTTAATCACTTAACTCCAAAATTGGCTGGGAGAAAGGAAGGCCTCCTACTCAGTAAACAACTAGCTAAAGACATCTTAGCGTAGAAGATAGTTGAGTCAGCAATTAAATACTTGTCTGATGCTAAAATTCATAACCTTTTCCACTGTATTGCTTAGAACTAAATCTGCATAACTTACATTGTAAGTACTTTCTTCCAACAAATGAGTACCAAGGCACATGGCCTATAGAGTATGTCCAGTCCTGCAACTCCTTCCGGGATTTTCTAACTTCTTCGAGTTTTAGAAATGTGATCTCAGCACATTTGAGAGAGGATTAGTGTCCATTCAGATACCTGTGCCAACTCAAGATGAACTTTTTCAATGCATAGTTCAAATAATTGTAATAATGAATAAGTTGAATTACGTGCTTTAAAAAATTCTTTTTTTTTTTGTAGACTATGCCAGTTGCAATGGCTTTGTTAAGAGATGTTCATAATCTTTGTCCTAAAGAGGTCCTAACATTTATTTTAGACCTAATCAAATACAATGACAACAGAAAAAATAAGGTAAGGTATTTTGTTTAATGAATATTATAAAACTACTCAATGACATTTTGTTGAAAGAAATACATCAAAGCCTAGCACTGCAAAAAAATGTTTTATGTTTGTAAAAGTCACTGCTGATCCCATGGTACTTTTCTAGATCAATTAGCATACAGTTTCTCTGCTTTTTTAGCTGTCCTGTCACCTCTTTTGTAAATCCTGACACACTTTCTCTGTTTTTCTGATGTAGTCTATCTTTTGCTACCTGACTCTCCTCATTCAGAGTCACTTGGAGGAAGCTTCTAATTCACTGTCTTACCCTGGAAATCGCAGCCTTTGGATTTTTGTGTGGCTCAAGCTGGCTTTGAACTCCATATTTTCCTGCATCAGGCCCCCGAGCACTAGGTGCTGCCAGGAGGTCTAGCTTTTCAAGGTTTTGTTTTGTTTCTTGTAATACTAAGAGTCACACTCCAGGCCTTATGCATTCTAGGGAAGCCATTACATTCCTACCCCCCACCCCCTTTATTTCCTTTTATAAAATGACTTTTTATAAGCACTCCAAATTATCTTATTTATTTGATGAATTTGACTGTAAAAAGTCATATTTTTATTCATTTATTTAGAAAATACTTATCGGCTACTATTCAAAATTTATTCACTACTTGTTTTCAATTTAACAGTCAGCTAATAACTTTGAGAATATATGCTGTAGCAGGTAGTGTGTAGTGTTAAGTAGAAAGAAGAGATGCCTTATTTTTACCATTAGTAAACATTTATTGAGCAGCTGCTATATAGCATGAGTCTGTGGTGATTATTATATTAGGATGGCCTCATAGAAATATCACTCATGTAAACAGTTAACAGTCATTTATGGTAACCGGTGCTCCAGAGGCATATGTAATTTTGTGAGCAGATCATAGAGAAACCATTTCAAGGATGTGAGAGGAAAGATTCAGGGAAGTTTTATATAGAAATATGGAGCCAAAGACTCATGTTTAATCCTAGCTACTCAGAAGGCTGAGAGCTGAGGATTGTGGCCTGGGTTCTGTCTGCTTTTTTGCTCAAGGCTAGCACTGTACCACTTTGAGCCACAGCTCCTCTTCCAGTTTTCTGGTGGTTAATTGGAAATAAGAGCCTCACCAGCTTTCCTGTCATGGCTGGCTTTTAACTGTGATCCGTAGATCTTAACCTCCTGAGTAGCTAGGATTATAGGCGTGAGCCATCAGCTCATGTGTGAAAACCACTGGTTTCTGTATTATAAACTTTTCCATAAAAGGTTATTATGTGACTACATATATCTTCCATCAATAATTATTTCTGTGTTCATCAGCTTTTATTAATAAGACTATTCAGGCTCCTATCTGCTTTAGTCTTACGATTGGATATAATCATACCCTTTCATGTATAGCAGGGCTTCTCAATTTTGGCACAAATTAATTTTGGTGCTTATACTGTGCATATTTCTTTTCTTTTTTTCACTGTTATCCCAGCTTTATTATTTTTGGGTTTTTTTTATTGTAAAAATAGTTTACAGAAGGATTACAATTACATAAGTAAGGTAATGAGTACATTTCCTATCAAGCATTGTTTTTTTTTTCTTTTCTTTTTTTTTTTTCTATCGAGCATTGTTACCTACTCCTTTGTTTTTCCCCTACCATTGCTTCCCTCGCCAACTCTTCCCTCCCCCTACAAGTTGTAAAGTTCGTTTTCTACATAGTGTCTTGAACATCTCATTGTTACAATGGGTCATCCTCTGTCCTTGTTTCAGCATTTTGTTATTTCCCTTCCCCTCCCCAAATTAGAAAAATGTATATACAAGACGCAGGGCATTGACATCAAATACAGTGAAAACAGGAGTTATATTGTCGGGGAAGAACATACAAGAGAAACAAAAAAATCACATAGTGCATTTTAGATACATTAAAAACAATAGCAAGAAAGAAAAAACAAGTTGTGTCACTATCTTGGGGTTCATTTTACTTAACATCATCATATTTCTTTTAAAAAAATAATTAGGTGCTTTTGGAATGAATATCATCAGTTATTTCTAGACCAAATTAATGATAGTTTCTGAGATTTCTTGCCCCCTAGTGGAATTTTTTGTACCATGCATTCTGTATGTCTTCCACATTGCTTTTGTTTCTTTTCATTCCAAATTATTTTCTCTTTGTATTGACAGTCCTTGTATGCTGTATGTTCGCGTTTTAAGCTAGAGCTGACTTGAAGTTTTGTATTCAGGCAGGATTTGTGGACTGTAGTTAGTCTTCCTGAAATGTATCTGGCTAGGTTACTACAAGAGTGTTGTACATCATACACATAATAAACATTTATTTAGCATACTGATAGGTCAGTGATTAATGAATCTTTTTCGCTTTGTTTTGAGAGTGTGACTATACAAAGGACAGAGTTGAATATTTACTGGAGAACTTACATTTCCTGGTGGAATATGTTTTTATTTTTTTGTTTTCTCTTGTGCTGTTCAAACTAGAGGTCTTGTGAGTGCTAGACAAGCATTTTACCTCTGAGATACATTGTCAGAGCAAGTCACGTTTTCAGTTTACATGTATTAATTTTTTTAGAGTTAGTTTTATCTTTCATTATTTTTTGTCTTAGTTTTCAGATAACTATTACCGTGCAGAAATGATTGATGCTCTGGCCAACTCTGTTACACCGGCAGTCAGTGTGAATAATGAAGTTAGAACTTTGGATAATTTAAATCCTGATGTGCGACTAATTCTTGAGGAAATCACCAGATTTTTGAATATGGAAAAACTACTTCCAAGTTACAGACATACCATTACTGTCAGGTACTACTAAATTCTTTGCCTTTAAAAATACTTATTTTTATACCTAATATGCACATTCTTGCTAGATAAAATTGGAAAGTGTACTACACAGGGAAATAAAAATTCTATTCTGTCACCTATTTATTCATATCTGGAGAATACCCTTTTAAATTTTTTCCCTTTGTATCTATAGAAGTTTTTATTTATTTGAGGCAATACAATTTATTTAACAGTTGTATCATAAATATTTTTATTTCATCAGAAATTCTCAATGAGCATTATTTTTGGTGTCTGCATGATTTTTTTGTTTCAAGTCTGTTTATATATGGCTTGTCAGTATTTATTTGAGTTTGTTAACAGTTGATTACTATTTCAAACAGGAACAATTTTAACCTTCCATTTATATAATGAACAGACTATGTTATTAAAAATTTTGGAGAAAATGTTTTATTTAAATTATATTTATGCTAATACTTCTTTCTGAAGAGTATTCCTGTTCTAAGTATAATAATGAATGTTATGAACCTTTGAGAGCCCAAACAAGTTTTGAATTTTGTTTTCTTTTTTTTTTTTGGGTCCGGTCGTGGGGCCTGAACTCTGGGCTTGGGCGCTGTCCCTCAGCTCTTCAGCTCACGGCTAGCTCTCTACCACTTGAGCCACAGCGCCACTTCCGGCTTTTTTCTTATGTGGTGCTGAGGAATGGAACCTAGGGCCTCGAGCATACAAAGCAAGTGCTCTACCACTGAGCTGCCTTCCCAGCCCCGGATTTTGTTTTGTTTTATAGAATTTAGATAATTTAAATTTTTTATCATTATCTAAAAGTTGAACATTATGTAACTGAATGTGAATTCAATTCAGATCAGTTTTTAAATTTACTGAACAAATGAGACTAATATTTAGGAAACAAATTTGATTCATAATACCTCAGTGAAAATGTTTAACTTAACATTTCTTTTTTTTCCTCCAAATATTTTTAAAATTGAGATTAAGTAACTACATAAGTTTCACAATACTGTGGCATAGTTATACTTTGCTAAAGTCACAAACACATTCTTAACCTTCACAATGACCATCATCATTATCTTAATCTACAAAGTTTAATGAACTCTCTGAACTTTAACAGTAAAACTATTTCTTATGTATCAGGTGATATGTACATTTCTTTCCTTCTGCTTATTATCAACTATTCCCTTTTTTAACTTAACATTTTTCCCTAGTTGCTTGAGAGCCATAAGGGTGCTTCAGAAAAATGGACATGTGCCAAGTGATCCAGCTCTTTTTAAATCTTATGCTGAATATGGCCATTTTGTGGACATCAGGATAGCAGCTTTGGAAGCAGTAGTTGACTATACTAAAGGTAATGCTTTAGAGATATAAACATATGTCATTTTATGAAAAAAAAATATATATATATTTTTTGGGGATCCGGTCATGGGGCCTGAACTCTGGGCCTGAGCGCTGTCCCTCAGCTCTTCAGCTCAAGCTCAAGGCTAGTGCTCTACCACTTGAGCCACAGCGTCACTTCCAGCTTTTTTTCTTTTTGCTTATGTGGTGCTGAGGAATTGAACCCAGGGCCTCAGGCATGCAAGGCAAGCGCTCTACCACTGAGCCAACTTCCCAGCCCATGAAAAAATATTTTAAAAGCTATTTTCTCTTATTTTTAATGGCATACTGAAGTTTCCTTGGTAGACATGAGCTGCTGCTATGGAACTGCACCTTGTTTTTTGTTCATTGTTTTCAAGATAGAGTCTCCCTTTCTGCCCAGAGGTTAAGGAAGTTGTTTAATACATATTGGCTCATTTTTTAATGTTGAAAAGAACATATATGTAAATCATTACACTTGTGTGTGCATTGTGAGTTAGTTATAGGGCTTTGAAGTTTGGGCCTGGGCACTGTCCCTGAGCTTTTTCACTCAAGGCTAGGGCTCTAACACTTTCAGCCACAGCTTCATTTCCTGTTTTCTAATGATTAAAAGTGTGATCCACTAGCTCCCAGGCCTTTCCACTTTATAAATGTCAGTAAAAATACTAATTTATAGTTAGTGAATAAAGAGAAATATGTATGAACTACACATGTGAAATAACAGAAAGAGCTGTTTTTTTTTTTTGTCTAAAATATGCTTACATTTAATTGATTGGTGGTATATAGTGATCTGTTGTCATTAAATGGGTCATTTGGGAAGAAAACTATATATATAAAATCCTCTTATCAGGCTTCATTTCTGCTTTGACATCACCCACTAAATGTGTTAGGATGCCTCAAACTTCTTTCTTTTTTTTTTTTGTCCGGTCGTGGGGCTTAAACTCTAGGCCTGGGAGGTGTCCTCAAGCTCTTCACCTCAAGGCGAGTGCTCTTCCACTTGAGCCATAGTGCCACTTCCGGTTTTCTGGTGGTTAATTGGAGATGGGTTTCATGGGCTTTGGTGTCTGGGCTGGCTTTGAAAACCATGATCCTCAGATGTCAGGTTCCTGATTGGATAGGAATAGAGGCATGAGCCACCAGTGCCCAGCTCAAACTTCTTTCTAAAACTTTGACATAATATTGAATGTCTCATAAACATGAGGACTAATATAGGAGTTAGTACTACCACCTGAAATGAAATAAGGTGCTATTTATATGGTTTCCAAAAGAATGCTAGTCTATTTAGGGCATTATATTTAAATGTGAACCCTGAACAAGGCTTTATTGTTAAGCTGTAATAAATATTGAATATTCATTCCAAATTTGAACCTAAAAGAATAAAAACTATAAAGAATAAAATTTTAAAAAATAAAGCCTTTTCAGTAACAAAAGTAAAGCATATTAAACAAATGAATAGAACTTAGCTAATGAATCATTTTTGATAGTTTTTGTAAATTATGTGGGCATAAAACAGTCTACCATGTTCTGTCATAGAGTGGATATTAAACTTATCACTTAAATATCTAGAAATAATTTGGACAGTGTTGGTCCCAGTTAATCATCTCTAATTTAGGGCTGCTAATAAATTGCAGTTTGCTTTATGTTGCATTTGCCATTGATTTAAACTTTAGCATAAAAAAATAGCTATATGTACATACACACATAGGTGTATGTATATGGCCAGATATGGTGGCCCATGGTTATAGCTACTCTGGAGATTGAGATCATGGTTAAAGCTGGGCAAAACAGTATTTCAACCAATAAAAACCTTGGCACAGTGGTGAGTCACTAGTGCCCAGCTACCAAATGAATTTTTTAAAAAATCGTAAAAAAATATGCTTGCCTATACCCTTGAATTCTGCATGTAAAGTCAGCTAGATAGTTTCTTGCTTAAAATATGAACTCTCTACTTACCACTTGTTAATTATTTAATTTGTTATAGTTGTCACTAAATACATTTCTTTATGTTTAGTGGACAGGAGTTATGAAGAACTGCAGTGGCTACTTAATATGATTCAGAATGATCCTGTACCCTATGTAAGGTTAGTTTATGTACTATACAGTATTTTGTAAATTTTAAAGTAAGTTGAGTAATCTCAGAAGACTATTCATAGAACAGTTATTATTTTTGAAAGTATGGGAATATGTTGTACATTTTTTCATGTCCTTATCTGATTAATGTGCAAATATATTGTTAATAAACTAAAGTTTTACTCTGTGTAATTTTAAGAGTGATTTCTGTTGAAACTTCAAGAAAAGCTTATGTAACATTTGAGTGAACTTGGGTTGTCCGTAATATGTTTCAACCTTTTTATTGACTGATTAAACCATTTTAAAAGTAATTCAGAACATTGTTGTCTCAACTGAAATAGACATTCAGAAAGACAGGAACTTGTGTTCTTTTACCATTGTATAACATAACATGCTGTATTTTTTTTCTTCTAATCATATATGTACGTATATAATGTAATTCACACGTGAAAGAAATTCTCTTTTTATTGTGACAATTGCATATAGAGAAAAAATTAAGATGTATAATAGTTTTAAAATATTTTTGGCAATTCTCAGTCTTTTGTGTTAGATTAATATCTTAAATATGGTGAGACAGGAATATTTTCTTCTATAGTCTTAGGTTTTTGTTTTTTTTTTTAATTTATTTTTTTATTGTGAAAATATTTTGTTTCTTTTTTGAGACAGGTTTTCACTAGCGCTCAAGCTGACTTCTTAACAATTCTCCTTAGTTGCCTGGGTTCTGGAAAACTCAAACCGTGCTGGCAAGTTGGTTTAGAGTTTCAAGCTGCCCTTCATTAAGGTCTTTTATGAATTTCTACTAAACAAATTCATTTTGGTTAACCTGTAGAGTCACTTGACAAATTACTAGTGCTTTTCCCCACATAAAGTTTACTGTTAGCCAGGCATTGGTATGGCTCATGACTATAATCATAGCTCCTTAGGAGGCTGAGATTTGAGGAACATGGTTTGAACCCAGCCAAGGAAGGAAAGTCTGTGAGATTCTTACCTCCAGTAAATTACTTAGAAAAAACCAGAAGAGGCACTGTAGCTTAAGTGGTAGAGTGCTAACCTTGGGCAAAAGAAGCCCAGGGACAGCACCCAGACTCTTGAGTTCAAGCTCCAGACCAGGAAAAAATAAAAAGTTTTCAGGTCTATTAGAATTAAAAAAAAAAATGTGTATGTATACCTAGCTAGCTAGCTATAGATCACTATAGATAGAATTTTAAAATCTATGCCTGTTGTTTTTACAGTAAAAAATCCAGTTTGTAAATGATAATTGAATAGGAATGACTTTTTAAAATAGTCGTACTGATTTTGGAAAAGTACAGAGTCTCTAGAAGTTCTGTGCAATAACATAGTTATATCCAGAAAGATTTCTTATATGTTTTGTTTTATTCATTTCTGTTTTTTTCTGTGCATGTTATTCTATTTACATTGCTAAGTAGCACCATTCTTTTTGTTTCCTTTAGATTATATAGGATTAAAGATGCCACGGATTTATCCTCATACTTCAGAATTATATATGCTCACAATCCCTCCTTGAGGGAGGAGGGGGCATATCATTATGCAGTGCTTTTTCCTCCTGAGATTTGAATATTTTTCATTGGTTTTTGTTGTGTGCCTTTTGTTTTTTTGATTCAGCTCTGTTTCTTACAGTTACTGGAAATGTACTTGGCAAAAAATTCTCAATTGGTTAGGCAAGTAATGATGTTTTTGTTGTCATAAATGTCATAAGCCTATGACTTGAAATTTGCTTCATTTCTGTTTCAGATGTATGAATTAGATACCTGTGAATTTCGATGTTTAATACCTGAAAAATTAAGAATAGGCTTTTTAATTGTCTGCTCTCCTTTTGTTTTGGATCTTTAGTTGTTTTCCAAAAACAGTTAATGCCTAAGCTTCAAAGAAAAACAAAAATTTTCCATTAATATTGAGTCTGTTAAAAGACACAGTTTGACTGACCAGGATTTTGTGTTTCAAAGATGGGGATGTTTATTTTTAGGAAACAGGATCAGGAAAAGTAGTTAAGATTATATAGGCAGATTTCTAATTACCTGATTGCATAGTAAATTGATTTGAGGAAGAAAAATCCACAAGAATTTTTTTTTCTTTTTTTTTTTCGGGTCCGGTCATGGGGTCTGAACTCTGAGCCTATGCACTGTCCCTTAGCTCTTCAGCTCAAGGCTAGCGCTCTAAAACTTGAGTCACAGTGCCACTTCCAGCTTTTTTTTTCTTTTTGCTTATGTGGTGCTGAGGAATTGAACCCAGGGCCTCATGCATGCAAGGCAAGCGCTCTACCACTCAGCCACCTTCCCAGCCCCAAGAATTTTTTTAAGTGGAAAACAATATTAGAATGTAATATATAAAGTCTTCTGAAATTAAACATAAAGCGAGGCCTATTGGAAAATGATAAAAAGAGAAAGGAAGAAGTGTAATTTTTGAATATTCTGTGGTGTCTCCTACTCATAGCAACATATTCAGCAAAAAAAAATTTCTTCTTCTTTTTTTTAATCTTTTCAGGCATAAAATCCTAAATATGTTGACTAAGAATCCACCATTTACGAAGAACATGGAGTCTCCCTTATGCAATGAAGCCCTGGTAGATCAACTTTGGAAACTTATGAATTCTGGTGAGAGAGCAGTAATTTTTCAAAAACAGATTATTAAAGAATTTCCATTTTAAAACAGGTTTTCAGTTGAATAGTACTTGAAAACCAAAGTTAAAGGTTTGTCTTTTTCTCTGTTTTTAAGTAAGTTATCATACCTTCACATTTGTTAAGGATATGTTCATTTTGCTCCATAGGGTAGTTGGGGGCAAAAAAAGGTAATTTAGTAGGAAGTGTTCTAAATGGTTAAAAGATTGCCAAGAATTAGTATTTATTTTTATTTCAAAAATTTACATGCAAAATGAGTCTGTCCATTGCTTTTTCTCTAATTGGTAGCATTTCCCAAAGGAAATACAATTTCTTGTGTATCCTTCTAGGGGCAGTTAGTACATACCAAAATATTGAATTAAAAAATATATATATACTGTTCATATTCTATACTATGGAGAATGTGTTGTTCTCACCATAGTTTCAACTTACATTATTTGACTTAGGTAAGGTGGTGGGATAATTACCCTTATGGGCAATAGTTCTGGAACCATTTTGCTCAGGGGTATATATTAGTAGTTCAATTATTTATTCACTTTGTAACTTGCATAAACATTTCTCAATTACAAAATGTAAATGATTATTTCAAGTTCTGCATACTCATAATTAAGCGAGTTAGCATTTGTTGTAAAACACTCTCTGGCTCATCAAATTATTAAATATTAAAAATATTCTTATGATGTTTCATATATTTTACCTATCTGAAGGATTTTTTTGTTGTTTTTAATGTGCTGGGAATCAAACTCTGGACTTTTGTGTTTGCTAGATGATTAAGCACTTAACCATTAGACCATACCCCTAGCTCATGTATCGTGTGTGTGTGTGTGTGTGTGTGTGTGTGTGTGTGTGTGTGTGTGTGTGTGTGTGTGTGTGTGTGTGTGTGTGTGTGTGTGTGTGTGTGTGTATATGTGTGTGTGTGTGTGTGTATTCTGGGGCTTGAATTCAGGGTCTGTGCACTGTCCCTGAGCTTTCTTTGCTTAACTCTAGCACTATGCCACTTAAGCTTTACTGGTGGTTTTTTGGTAGATAATTCTAGGCAAGTGTTTCAGGTTTCAGGGTAAGAAAATTACACACACACACACATACACACATAAACATTAGCAGGTTTCAGAGTTCTCAAGGTAAGAAAATTACACACACACACACACACATACACACACACACACACACACACACACACACACACACACTAACATTAGCAGGTTTCAGAGTTCTCCCCTTGTATCTCTTTTTCTCCTCAGTACCTTCTTTCTTAGGGATAGAAATGACAGAGGAAAATCTAAACACACTAATTCATCTTTGTAGGAATTTTGCATGTATACACACAGCTATAAAAGTTGATCATTTTACTGTTTTGCATAATGTAAAATGGACAGGAGAATTAGGACATTAATGCCCAGTGGCAATTGGGCCAACTTAGTACACATTGGTAAGCTTTGATAGTCAATAAGAAGGGCCAAGTTTATTCAGAAATGTGCTGAAAACAAGTGATTTTCAAATTGAATTTGCTTCTTAGCAGCTTTTTTAATAGCAATTTTATCAGAAATGAAGGGACTTTTTTGGTAGGAACAGAGTGCATTTTTTGACTTGAACAGAGAACATTATTTTAGAGCAGGAAAAAAACCATACGGGAATTTCAAGAACAAAAATGTTCATTTTTCAACCCACCCAAGGCCTACCTACCAAATAGCCCAAATAGAAATGAAAAGGCAGAAATCACACTTAAGGGTTTTTGTGTACTTAGCAGTTTTTGTTGCCTACATATCTTTAAGCTTATGTTCCAAACCAAAACTAGTTCATCAGAGTATATTTTCACTTGTTATTATCAATACTTTAAGCATTTAGAAATTGACAATTATGTGGCTTGCTTTCTTGGTATTTATATCATACAAAGGTTTAGAATAGTTATTTCAGCACGCATAAGAGGACAAAACTATCTTTAAAGTTTAGCTATCTTCCACTCTGCAAATGCACACTAGAAATGAAGCTATTCCAGTTTTCTTTATTGATAAAATACCTAACATTACTCTTTTTCTTGCTATCTCTTAAGACAGTGGATAGAAGATCAGCTGTAGTTGGCTGCTGAAGACTTTACTGCTCACTGTCCTCATCTTTTCCTTGCCTCACGGGTTCTGCCCCTCCAACCTTTGCTTATAGAAGTCTCAGGAATTTGTTAACATGCCATTTATGGAATCTTCACATACGTAAAATGCTTTAAACAAGAGATTAATGGGTGCCTATATAACAATAAATACGTCAAGTTGTCTTAACTGTCCACATATTCATACTCCAGAGAAGGAAAATTATTTCCAGTGCAAGATTACTATTTTCACTCTATCCTGTTCTTTCCATATTTAGTATTTTGTAATTCTTTTTTTTTTTTTTTTTTGGGTCTGCTCATGGGGCTTGAACTCTGGGCCTGGGCACTGTCCCTCAGCTCCTCAGCTCAAGGCTAGCGCTCTACCACTTGAGCCACAGCGCCACTTCTAGCTTTTTTTCTTTTTGTTTATGTGGTGCTGAGGAATCGAACCCAGGGCCTCAGGCATGCAAGGCAAGAGCTCTACCACTGAGCCACCTTCCCAGCCCCAGTATTTTGCAATTCTTACGTTAAAAACCTGATTCTCATAAGAAGCTTTTGCTTCTTTCTGTTGCTTCTACTAGCATTGTATGTCTTACCTCATCATAGGAGCAGCGTTGAAACCATCTCAGATAGGAATAATGAGAGTTGTTTCATACAAAATGGAATGCAATGTTCCCCATAGACTCATGTACTAAGCTGGTGGTGCTGTTTTGGGAGGTTATGAAAACTTTAGGTGGTAGGGCTTAGTTACAAAGCCTGGGAAGTCACTAAAAATGGGACCTGGATGGCTTTGGTTCCCAGTCTCTTCCTTTCACTCTACTTCCGGTTTGCCATGAGATGATAGGACGTTGTCAGATGTTTTTGCCTCCATGTTGTTCTGCCTCACTTGTGAGCCTAGCATCCTCAGAGCTAAGGACTGTAGACTGAAACATCTGAAGCTGTTACCTAAAATAAAATTTTCTTTCTTATATTGGTTTGTCAAGTATTTTGTCAGAGAAATAAAAAGTCTAACCAGAATATTCATACCAGAGAAGTTGAGTCTTTGGTGCAGAGCCTTTGGGACTGTGTCGTGGGAGGAATTTGGAACTTTGAAGAGAGGGCTAAAGAAGTCCTAGCATACTGTAAGCAGAGCTTATGGACAATTCTGGCAGTAGCTAGGAAGACCAGAATGCCCATGGGAATAAGGATAGTAATAGCTGTGCTTGTGTGGTTTCAGATGGGAACAGATTTCTGTTGAAAATTGAATAGAGGCCATCCCTGTTTCAATATGGCAAATAACGTAGCTACATTTTGTCACGAGACTTCACTGAATACCGAGTTTAAGGAAGACAAAGGAAGACAGACTATCAGGAATTTTTAACATAGTTTACCATTCAGTCTGGCATGGATATTGCTGCTGCTTGTATTATTTTGAGAAGTGGTAGATACTTTAGGAGGGAGGGCCAGTCTGAAGGGAGTGGATACTGAGCGTGTTTTCTGAATGGTTATGCCTGGTTCTCAGGCTCTTCTCTGCCTCCTGTCTGCCATGAGGTGAGCAGCCTCTGTCATGTGCTCCTGTCATGATGTTTTGCCTCAGTTCAGGCCCAGAGTCATGGTCTGTGGACTGAAACCTTGAGCCAAAATAAACAATTCCTCTTTTAAATTGTTTTGTCAGGTATTTGGCCAAATCTATGAAAAAGTTTACAACTGCAGATTTCATTCATATATTGTGAAATAGTTATTTGCCTGTTAGGACACATATATCTCATTAGTATTATTACTGAATTATTATTAGTGTTTACTAAGGCTAATATTTGTGTTTGGAAACTACAGAGTTTAATGTTTATGATGTGCAAAAGGTAATATAGCCCTTTCTTCCTTTTTTCTTTTTTCTTTTTAAATGTCATGCCACTCTTTGGAAACCACAGTTCTCAGTCAGAATGAAGTCTTTCTGTGTTTTATTTTCCTTATCAAGAGTTTCCATAATTAAAATCTCTAGATAATCTTCGGTTGTGGGGCTTGAACTCTGGGCTAGGGCACCCGGCTCCAGATAATCTTAAACTCCAGCTGTAACTCAAAGAGATCATATAACCCTGGGTTGGTTGTTGGTCAGTTGTATTATATGGCAGTGTCTACCTAGAGTGATCTACTAGGAGGGAGAGGTGAGAAAGAAATCTGCTATTATTGTGTCCTGGTCTGTCATTTTGGTGGGTATAGTATGATCTCAAACCCAAATTTCTTTATTTGAAACCAAAGAAATCCAGAAACCTACTGGTCGTCTCTCAGCTAGTTTAAACTGATCTACTTATTTCTATTACTAAAAAATACTCAGTAGATAAAATTGTTTAACCAAGTATTTTCCTTGTATATACTAAGTCTATGTTGAGAATTATGTTATTTCAAGTAGCTGTACCCCCCCAAATAATAATTCATTCCAGCATTAGAAGAATGTGTTTCAGTGGTAGGATACAAGAAGGCTTGTGGAGTGCTGTTTTCCTAATACACTACTAATGAAGAAAGGCAAACAAGGTAGATAAAGAATAAATGAATGAGTGAGTTGAGTGGGTGGATAAATGGTAATTACTGAGAAGGAAGAATGAAAAGGAAGTTTTAAGGCCAGAAAATGCCTTTTTAGACCATCAAATTTTACCTAATATCTAATATTAATTTCCTATGAATGAAAATATAGTAATGAAATTTCCTATGTTCTTCTTAGGTACTTCACACGACTGGAGGTTACGGTGTGGTGCTGTGGACTTGTATTTCACACTTTTTGGTCTCAGTAGACCTTCCTGTTTACCCTTGCCAGAGCTTGGGTTGGTTCTTAATCTAAAGGAAAAAAAAGCTGTGTTGAATCCTACCATAATTCCAGAGTCCATAACAGGCAACCAAGAAGTTACAAGTAATCCAAGCAGTCACGCACAGCAAATTGGATTTCAGAACCCAGTAAGAATCACATGCTTTACAAAACATGTAGTATATTTTGTAGAGCTATCTAGAAAGAGTTTCTTGTCAAGAACTGGTGAGTTTAAATCCACTAAGACAGTTCATTGTGCTATTTAAAAACCTGGCTGACATTTGTTAGCATTTTACAATTCATAAAATGCGGCTATCAGTTACATAACTGAGTGTAACAAGTGGTGTGATGCTGGCTTCCTTCTTTTGTGATGCTGCAGTAATACTTTGGTACATGAGCATAGACTTTCTCCTCTGAATAGTATAATAGAAAAATGAGTAATTAACTTACTACCTATTAACTTATTTTAGCCATATATGTTAATGACAATTGTTTGAACACAAATTGTTACTCTATAATAGCTTAATTCTGAACATAGGGTAAGTATTTGGCAAATGGTTGTTGAATGAAAGTAAAACAACAACGATAATTAATCAGGTAAATGAATAATCTGCTGGATAGAGAGGGAGTTATATTTTGAAATGTTACATATTTGTGGGTGTTTTAGAAAAGCTTTTCTTTCTAACTGCACTATAAAATTTCTAGACTTTTAAAAATAAAAACCTTAAGATATTAGTCCTTTTATTGTTTTCTGGAAATAATTTTCAGCCTTTGTTTTTCACCAATATTTATAAGACTTGCCTAGTCATTTCCTACTGGTGTTTTGATACTCTGAAACTCAGATTCTTTCATAATAGGCATTTTAAAGTTCATTTACCAACATTTCTGAAATATAATCACACGAATTTAAAATTTGTCCTAGAGTTTCTCCAGTGTCCTAGAGATCCTTACACAGAGAGTTTCCTTAAAGAGCTCTATCAGATCTAAATCTTTTATAAACTGTAGAAATAGATATGTCTATAATTCTGACTCACATACGTTAATCTATCCACATTTACACTTCTGAAGAGGAGAAAGTAATAAAAAGATAAATTCTTTTGGAAAAACCATAGGAGATTAGTTAGTACTTCCTTTCTTCCCTCCAAAAAGAACAGACAGGAAGCCCATTTAAGCCCATTGCTAATTATTTTTAGCCACTGGGCATGCTCGATTCTGCATGATTGTTATAGCTATTAGATTTTAGCTATAATATGAGCTACTATCTTCAAAAATCTAATTTTGATCTTAAATATTGCCACAGGAAGATGATCACCTTGCCAAGGAAGCATCATGTAATATATCAGCTCATCAGCAGGGAGTGAAGAGGAAGGCTGACACACCACTGGGGTCCCCACTAGAACCTGGTCAAATTCTGGAGAAGAATGAGGATAGCAGTAAAGTCAAACTCAAAATCAGAGTAAGAAATACAGGTTAAACCTGTATTAACAGTGTAGGATGAATACCCACCTTCTTATACACCTTGTTGAATACTTGTGATGGTTTTTCCTTAGCAGGAACACATGGGGCAGTTGGAATCATAAAAGAACCCACATGTCCTTCTAAGGCATTCCAACCAATTATTTAACTTCTGGTATCACGTATTCTCTGTTCGGACAAGGAACCCTTGTACACATTCCACCACAGCTTACCATTCCCACAATATAGGAGTAGATTTTTAGTTGCTATTGTATTTCTAGTAAATTCTAACCAGTTTCTTTTGTTGGAGCCTAAACCAAGTAGTCTTTTCTTTTTCTTAATACTTTTTGAGGAAGAGTACGATTCCTTTTAAGATTATATGAGGGTATATTTTATAGTGTCTCAGCTACTTTTCTTGAAAGCTAAGATTCAAGTGTAAAGTGATGTAATGGCTCTTTTATGCTTTCATTTGTGTGTGTGTGTGTGTGTGTGTGTGTGTTTCAGTTTTCAAGTTCTCAAGATGAGGAAGAGATTGATATGGATACTGTTCATGATAGTCAGGCCTTCATCTCCCATCATTTGAACATGCTTGAGAGGCCATCAACTCCAGGTGAGATTAACATTACAAGCCAAGGAGATGGTACCTCAATTTTAGGGATATCTCCTTTCTAAGTGTGCCTTCCCTCCCTTCCCCTCCTTTCCCTCCCCTCCTTTACTTCCCCTCCTTTTCCTCCCCTCTTCTCTCTCCTTGCCCCTCCCCTGCCTCTACTTCTTTGTTCTTTCTCTCCCTCTCCCCTCCCTCCCTTCCCCCTTTCCTAGGGCTTGAACTCAGGGCCTGGGCCCTGTCCCTGAGCTCTTTTGCTCAAGGCTAACATTACCACTTTAACCACAGCTTCACTTCCAGCTTTTTTAGTGTTTAATTGGGAATAAGACATTCTGTCCAGGCTAGCTTTAAAAAGTGATCCTTAGATGTTCGCCTCCTGATTAGCTAGGATTACAGGTGTGAGCTATGGGTACATGGCTAAAATGATGTTTTGATTTGATATCTTACTTTCGTCCTTTAAAGTGTTTGATATGCTTTTGTATTTTTTAATTCATTCATTAGATTCCTTATCATTGGTTTAATTTCTTATCTGTGCCTATCTGAGGTAGATTTAACATCAACAAAAAATTTTATATCTGGTTTATATGTCTGTAATATAACTATTATTATATTCAATTTCTTAAAGTTAATGCTTTCCATAACACAATTTTCTCTTTTTGTCTATGTCATGTAATATTATATCTTGGAGTTTTGCATACATTTCTCAAATAGTATTAGGGTTATTTTTGGACTATGACACTGTTGAACTGATATACTATAATTTACTTTTTCTTTATTGGTAGACATTTAGGTTGTTTCTGATTTTTTTTTTTTTTTTTTGTCAGTCGTGGCCCTTGAACTCTGGGCCTGAGCGCTGTCCTCAGCTCTTCAGCTCAAGGCTAGCTCTCTACCACTTGAGCTACAGCACCACTTCCGGTTTTCTGGTGGTTTATTGGAGATAAGAGTTTCACAGACTTTCCTGCCTGGGCTGGGTTTGAACTGTGATCCTCAGATCTCAGCCTCCTGAGTAGCTAGGGTTACAGAGTTGAGCCACTGGCACCCGGCGAAGTTTTTTTTTTTCTTTGTTAAATTATATTCTTAAAATGTTTTAGATTCCCTAAAATGTATATTCCAATGGATCTTGCTGTGTAGTTCAGGCTGGCCTCATGTGTGATCTTTCTGCCTCAGCCTCTTGAAAATCAATAACATGTGCATACTACCACATCCAGCCTTTTTTTTTTTTTTTTGCCAGTTAAGGGGCCAGAACTCTGGGCCTGGGCACTGACCCTCAGCTCTTCAGCTCAAGGTTAGCACTCTACTTATCATTTGAGCCACAGTGCCACTTTTGGCCTTTTCTGCCTATGTGGTGCTGAGGAATCGAACCCAGGGCCTCATGCATGCAAGGCAAGCACTCTACCACTCAGCCACCTTCCCAGCCCAATCCAGCTTTTTTAAAAGTTTGTAAGGTATAAGTGAAGCCTTTGATAGTCATAAAATACAGTAATCCAATGCCTGCCTCTCAACATGTACATTCTGCTCCATGAATGGACATTTTTTGCAGACTTCTTTAGTCCTTTTTTCCTGATCTATGATAAAAATGATGTGGTTTTCTTCATTCAACATTGTTTCTGAAATTCATACTTATACCTAAAGTATAGTGCATTAATTTTCAATTTTTGTATTTTATATCTGTTTTGGCATTATTGTATTAAGAGTCTAAGTAAATAACTATAATATAATAAATTCATGCTTATGAATTTTTCTACATGATTATTATTTTTTCTTTTTCTTTTTTCCTCTATCTTTGTTTTGTCTATTTGAAAATTCTAACTATATGCCTTGGTGGTTTTATGGTATTTGCATTTGAGCAAGTTTTATTTATTTATTTATTTATTTAGTCGGTCATGGGCCTTGAATGCTGGGCCTGGGCTATGTCCCTCAGCTCTTCAGCTCAAGGTCTAGTGCTCTACCACTTGAGCCACAGTACCACTTCCAGTTTTCGGGTGATTTATTGGAGATAAGAATCTCACGGACTTTCTTGCATAGGCTAACTTTGAACCTTGATCCTCAGATCTCAGCCTCCTGAGTAGCTAGGATTACAGGCATGAGCCACTGGCACCCAGCTTGAGCAAGTTCTTAATGTACTTTTTAAGAAGTTTAATTTGTGCTCCAGCTCTCATTACTCACCTCAATTTGCTTTTTGTTTATGTGACTTTTTGTTGTTGTTTTTTTAATTTGTTTAATTTGTTTTAATTTTATTTAGTGATTGAAATTGTTTTTTACTACCTAATAATCTGAGATAACATAGAATTTGAAGAGTCTTCAGGTAGAATATGAGCCTAAGAAATATTTGAAACTGATCAGTCATAAATTCTTGAGCACAATCTTGATGGTTATCTGTTCTGCCCATTTTTGAGATCTAAACCCAAATATGAGGACTGTTCTGTGTTATAAGTGACAGAACTGATACATAAGCAGATAAACTTGTTCAGAATACATTTCTAATTTGTAGGTAAGGTTAGTATTAGAATCTGGTCTCTGAATTCCTACTGTAATCCTCCTTATATAAAAACACCTGGTGGGTTTTTTGGTTTGTTTGTTGTCGTTTTGGGGGGGACTTGGTACTAGGTTTGAAATCAGGATCTAAACTCATGGGTAGGTGCTTTTGTGTTCAAAGCTAGTCCTCTACCACTTGAGCCACAGCTCTACTTCTTGCCTGTTGGTGGCTAATTAGAAGTAAGTCTCATGGTCTTTCCTGCTGGCTTTAGATCATGATCCTTACATCTCAGCTTCCTGAGTATTAGAGTTATAGTATAAGAGTGAGCCTACCTACCAAGTTCTTCTTTTAAATGTCTTCTATAATACCTAAATAACCTATTTTTTAATAGTTCCTACACTGGAACTTATCAACGTTTGGGAGAGCCATTAATAGAACATGAATAATAAAACATGAAATGGTTCCTACAGGTCTGATTTGTTTGTACAGGTACTCAGCTTACAGTCTTTCAAATGTGAATTATCTTCACATAATCCACCTTTTACTGTGGTTGAACTGCTTCTAATTTTAAGGCTAAATTGTAGAAACCTGTCAAGCCTTTTTCTCCTTTAGGAAACTAAGAAATCCATCTTTTTCCTATCATTTGACATTTTAGGGCTTTCTAAATACCGACCAGCTAGTTCCCGATCTTCTTTAATGCCCCAGCATTCATCAGGCTGTGACATCACACCCACCACAAAACCACAGTGGAGTATGGAACTTGCCCGTAAGGGATCAGGTAATACTAACTTTTGTTTGACTTAACTAATCTATAAACTTCATAGAATTACTTTTATTAGTTAAAAACTCATTGTAATAATGAGATGTACAAGACAGTATGTTGAAAATGAACTTTACAACTTTCGGGCAGGGGGTGGTGAGGGGGGTAGTTGGGGAAGTGAGGAGGGAAGGGATGGTAGGGGAAAAATAAAGGAACAAAGGAGGGTGTAACTGCTCAATAGGACATGGGCTCATTACCTTTCTTATGTAACTATAACCCCTCTGTACAGTATCTTTGCAATAAAAATATATATTAAAAAAGTGCTTTAAAATACAGATTTGAAAACTTGCTTTTCTTGCACTGTATTAATTTCATAGTCTCTAATCTTAAAGGCTGTTCTAGTTAGTTAGCTTATTTATTTGACATTACTGGAATTTGAACTTGGGAGCTTGCACTTGTTAGGCAAGTGTTCTCATTTGAAGCATGCCTTCAGCCCTTCTGTTTTTCATCAGGTTGGCCTCAGACTTTAATCCTAGGCTGGGTTTGAACGGAGATCTTATTTTTTCACCATCTAAGTAGCTGGGATGATAGACGGGAGCCACCACACCTGGCCCTACTATTTTAAATTAAAGTTTTTTCTTTCTTGCTTTTCTTTTTTTTTTTTTTGTCGGCCATGGGGCTTGAAATCTGGGCCTGGATGGCTGGGAATATGGCTCAGTGGTAGAGTGCTTGCCTTGCATGCATGAGGCTCTGGGTTCAATTCCTCAGGACATTAGCAGAAAAACCCAGAAGTGGCTCTGTGGCTCAAGTGGTAGAGCACTAGCCTTGAGCTGAAGAGTTGAAGGACAGCACCCAGGCCCGTGTGTGTGTGTGTGTTGTGTGTGTGTCCATAACTGACAGGAAAAAAAAAGTGTGTGTGTGTCCCCATAACTGACAGGAAAAAAAAAGTGTGTGTGTGTGTGTGTATATGTGTAAACCTGGGCACTGTCCCTGAGCTCTTCAGCTCAATGATAGCACTCTGCTAAAGTTTTTTCTATATCACAATTAAAGTTCTGTGGCTCAACCCTGTAATTGTAGATACTTGGAGAATCAGAGGATCAGAAGCCAGTCCACTAGTGACTACATCTCAACTCAACCAATGGCTAGGTGCTGTGGCATGTGCTTGTTAATCCCAGCTAGATGGAGAAGCCCAAATAGGAGAGATTTCATCACGTGCTAGTATAGAGACATCCTGTCTCAAAAATAACCAACACACAAAATGGGTTTTGGTGGCTGGCTTAAGTGGTAGAATGCCTACCTAACAAGTGTTAGGCCTTGACAGTCAACTCTCAGTACTGCCAAAAATACATAAATAAGAGAAAAATGAGAAAAAGAATCTTCCCTCCTTATATCTGTACATCTCTGTGTGTTAGTGTGTATGTTAGCATTTTGCTGTTTGCTTGCAGTAATTTTTCCTAATGTATGAAAAAATTTGAATTCCATTAGGAATCATAAAGTATGTATAACATTATATCTTTATAAAATACAAAAATGAATCCCATATCTCCCACCCAGTGTTTATGAATTGGTGATTAATTCTTAACAACTGATACTAAGGAAGCATTTAACATGTCCTGTCTTTTAAGTTATTTCATACTAATTATGCTCTATTTATGAAAAGTACGTCAGATGTGATTGACTATTTTACATGATCTCTCTTTTTTTTTTTTTTTTTTTGGCCAGTCCTGGGGCTTGAATTCAGGGCCTGGGCCCTATCTCTAGGCTTCTTGTGCTCAGGGCTTGTACTCTACCATTTAAGCCATAGCACTACTTCTGGCTTTTTCTGCTTATGTGGTACTGAGGAATTGAACCCAGGGCTCCATGCCCTGGGAAAGCACTTTGCCACTAAGCCATATTCCCAACCCCTTACATGGTCTTTTGCTTATTCTATTCTATTGCTTATAAAGAGAAGCTAATCCAAATAAAGAGTAAATGTTGGATACAGATGAACAAAGATTAATTCTTCAAGAGTTGAAAGATCAGGGAGTTAAAAACAAGAAACACAAGGAAAATCATTTTTAAAGAATAGTTTTTCCAAAAGTTGTTGAATTTTAAAAATCTGTGAATTTCTAGTTAAGTTTGAGTTGATGGATTTTTGCTTATATGAGCTATGTTTTCCCCTGATACTAAACAGAGTACTGTTATTGGTTTGAAGATCTTAACAGTTGACTGATTAATAGAATACTTCAGACAAAAGCAACACCTCAAACAAAATATTTTGATGTCAAGACCACAGTCTGTTATTTGCTTATAATTCTGTCTGTACTGCATGAACCTATTGAAATAGCTTTGTACAAAATATATTGTAAAAGGAAGTCAGCTGGAGACTGGCACTTGTTTTTTTCTTTCTTTCTTTTTTTCTTTTTCGGTCAGTCGTGGGCCTAAACTCTGGGCCTGGGCGCTGTCCCTCAGCTCTTTAGCTCAAGGATAGGGCTCTACCACTTGAGCTACAGCGCAACTTCTGACTTTTTCTGTTTATGTGGTGCTGAAGAATCGAGGCCAGGGCCTCATGCATGCAAGGCAAGAACTCTACCACTGAGCCACCTTCCCAGGAGGCACTTGCTTTCATGAGTGACTTTTTACCTTGACTGTGGTACTGATGATCAAACCTATGACCTTCTATGTACTAGGCAAGCAGCATTCCGCCACCAAGCTACATTCCCAGTCCCTGCTTCTTTTGGATTTTATTTTATTGTAATTTTGCTTTATTCCTGTACTTGTTAAATTTTTACTAGAAATGAAGAATTTTCTATATTTGTAAAAGCTATAAGACTTATATAGCGTTTCAAACTTGTTGATTTAGCTTGTAGCTCATGCTTCTGCATGCCTTCCTGGCTTGTAAAAAGTAAATTCTGTTTTAATTTCCAAGTATTTCACCTGTTTTATTTGTTGGTTTGTTTTTGTTTTTGTTGGTCATGGGTCTTGAACTCTGGGCCTGGGCACTGTCTCAGCACTCTTCAGCACAAGGCTAGCACTCTACCACTTGAGCCACAGCACCACTCTCATGCTTGGGCTGGCTTTGAACCTGGATCCTTAGATATCAGCCTCCTGAGTAGCTAGGATTACAGGAGTGAGCCACCAAGTATATCACTTCTTACTTTAAAAAGACAATACATTCATTTGTTAGGATTTTCTTAGTGATGGGGCACATTGACATATGTAAAACCTGGTCTTTAACTCCTTTTGTGTTCCTAGTGTGCCAGTGTACTTTTATACTGTTTTGTGTTCTTTTTTTTTTTTTTTTTTTTGTCGATCATGATTTTGAACTCTGGGCCTGGGCACAGTCCCTCAGCTCTTCCACTTGAGCCACAGTGCACTTCCACTTTGTATTGCTTTTAAAAATACATTTTGTTTCTTTTAAATCTTCCTCCTTGATGCTATAGTTCATATCACGTCATATGCCAAGACTAGGGGTGAAAGATGCAGGATAGTTATAGGAAATAGGAAAGTACAAATTTTAGCTGTGCCTTTTTTATTATGAGGCCCTATAGAATAGGGTTCAACCTATTGGAGCTCCTTCCTCTTCATCACTGAGCTGTCCTGTCCTCTGTATTGGCCAGTGGTAGTGGAGACAAAATCATTTCTAGGTTCTCTCAGGGACTGCAGTGATGAAGCAGAGAGGAGGAGGAGTGAGAGGAAGGAGGAACAGAGGGAATTTCCTAGTGGGTTCTGTGGGGGGAAAGAGAAGAAGCTCCTACAGCTGCCTAGCTCTGTCTGCTGTGTTATGTAACCCCTTCTTGTGTAGTTGAGGACACAATTCTAGAACTTTCTTTTTCTTTTTCTTTTTTTTTTTTTTTAAGAGACATGGAGTTTGGCAGCTTTCTCTAGAGTTCATTTTTCTGAAAATCAGTATAAAAGCAGATTTTGAATTTCTGTCCTTAAATTATAATGACATAATGTAACAGTAGTTTTTGGTTGGTTTTATTTTAACTGAGATCTAAATGATCCAAATAACAGATTTCCTTTCCTAACAATATCTGTAGTTTTGTCTTGAATTTAAACATACTCACGTATGTCCAAATCTGAATTAGCAGATTATTCACTGCTTGTTATCCGTACTTTCTTCATCAGATGAGCTGAAAGCCTCCCATATTAGGCTTCCATTAAGTACTTTGTTTTACATTTGTTAACTGTAGCTACCACTTATTCATGTTACAAGATTGTATGTCAGATTAGCAAAACAATAAATACATTTCTTTTCCATATAAAACAGGGAACTTGTAGTATTTTTAATTATATGGGTTTTTTTTCTTCTTGTATATCTACTGTCTAAAATAAAAATACATATCTCAAGTAACTCAAGGGCTTTGGTGGGTAGTGTTTCCTGAGTTTGAATTTAGGGCCTTGTGATTAACTATGCAAGTGCTCTACCACTTGATCTATGCTCCCAGCCCCACTGAAAGGACTTCTCTAAACTTAGAATTGAGCCTGGACTGTGGAGTGGGTCTCAAGTTCCTAGGTATCTTGTGAACCCCTGAAATGATGTTAAAATTTTTTATGTAAGTGTGTGTGTGTCAAGAGGATGGTAATATATGCGTTTTTCTTGATAGAGTTTCCATTGGTAACTTCATTACATTACTGTGAAAGTGAACTAATATATGTCCTAATTTTGGTTGTTTTTATGACTCATATGCAAAGGAAATTGTGCTTCGTGTAACTTTTAGATTAGATTAGACCTCGCAAAATATTTTCAGGAAAGATAGAAAAAAAATATGTGTATGTATGTTTATATGTGCTCATTTTTGTTCTCATTCTTGAACTTGCATACTGGGTAACCTGGCTGTTGTCCTTAGCTTTTTCATCAACGCTGGTTCTCTCCCACTTGAGCCACAGCTCTGCTTCCTGCTTTTTGGTGGTTAGTTGGATATAAAAATCTTAGACTTTCCTTCCTTAGGGCTGGCTTCAAACCACAATCTTCAGATTTCAGCCTCTTGAGTAGCTACGATTATGGGCCTGAGCTACCAGCACAGAGCTTGTATTTTCTTAATAAATAGAATCTTTTTTGGGGGGGGAGGGGTCCAGTCATGGAGCCTGAACTCTGGGCCTGGGCACTGTCCTTCAGCTCTTCAGCTCAAGGCTAGCGCTCTACCACTTGAGCCACAGTGCCACTGCCGGCTTTTTTTCTTTTTGCTTATGTGGTGTTGAGGAATTGAACCCAGGGCCTCAGGCATGCAAGGCAAGCGCTCTACCACTGAGCCACCTTCCCAGCCCCAATAAATAGAATCTTAAGAGCCAAAGATTGTAGTGAACACTTAATTCCTGTGTCTTTATACACACATATTAGCATGTAATTGTGTATATTTATAGAAATGATCTCTGTAAATATGTTTTTTTTGTTTTTTGTTTTGTCGGTCATGAGGCTTCAACTCTGAGCCTGGGCGCTGTCCCTCGGCACTTGAGCTCAAGGCTAGCGCTCTACCACTCAAGCCACAGTGCCACTTTTGTTTTTTTCTGCTTATATGGTGCTGAGGAATCAAACCCAGGGCCTCATGCATGCAAGGCAAGCACTCTACCACTGAACCACCTTCCCAGCCCCTGTAAATGTACTCTTACTTGTTTCACAATTCAGTCTATAATTCTAAGGGATAGCATGTATAGATTATAACCATAGTAGTATTAATATTCCTAAAATTTCATAATTTTCTCATCATTAAATGTCTACTCCTTATTTAAAATTCAGTTGACTCATAAATGCAATTATTTTTATTTTTAATTGTGCACTTGTTTAGGTCACTGTTCCCAAAAAGTCTGGATTGCAGTTGGCTAATCCAAACATTTATCTTTTTAAATCTAAAGTTTCCAGTCTCCATATGTTTTTCTTTTTCCTCCTTTGTACCTTATTTGTTAAATCAGACTTTTTACTCTGTAGTTTCTAAGTCTATTTTGCTAATTGTTACTAGTGGTACAAATGAGTTACCCTGTCGTTTCTGCAAATTTGTAGTTGTATATAGGAGTTATATTTGATTGAGGTTTATAGGTGGTGGTCTGATCTTTAATCTGGAAATATCTACTGTCTGGTTGACTGTTCTAAATGGTTAACTTTTATTGACATTTGGCATCTTTCCCTATTAACTCGGTAAGGATTGTAAGATGAAAACATCCAAAACAAGCTGAATTCCTTAACTACTTGAGTTTAAGCTGTCTATTTTACAATTTTCAAATAATGAATTGGCTGACTAGAGTACAGTTTCAGTTCATTATAATTACTCTCCTTACCAGTGTTCAAATTGTTCCATCTTTCAACACCAAGAGCCTTTATAGTTGACTCCTAAGTCAGTTGACAAGACTTAAACATCCCTTTGTGTCTGTGTCTGTCTGTGCTGGGGCTTGAACTCAGGACCTGGGTACTGTTTGTGACCTTTTTTCTCAAATGCTCTACCACTTGAGCCACAGCTCATTTCTTCCTCTTTGGTGGTTAATTGGAGGTAAGAGTCTCATGAACTTTTCTGTCTGGGCTGGCTTCAGACCATAATCCTCAGATATCAGCCTCTAAGTAGCTAGGATTATAGGCATGAGCCACTGGCCCAGATGGTTTCACTTTTGAAAAGGTTGTAAGTATTCTTTGGCGAAGTGTCTTTTTGGCACTTGACTCTGCTGAGAAGTACAGGTTCCAAGATAATTATTAGCTTTTCTGCAATTTAAGTAGGTTGGCAGGTGTTAGGACCTCATACCCCCAGTGCAAAGAGCCAATAGCAAGATGCAGAAGGCTGTCTGAAGAATGACTGAATGATCTGGGAGCTAAATTTTTCATGTGGCTTTAAAGTCTATTTTTCTAATCATTACCTTCCTCTTTATTCTGTTTGATATGGGTCTATTTCCCTGTATTTATAGCATCAGCAGCATGTTTATGTGATTTATTTCTAATTGATATTAAGATTATCTGATAGCACATTTGATTCAAACTTTAAATCAAATCATTTCAAAAGTTCCCTTTTTCTGGACAATATCTTGGTACCAATTATTATGGACAATATAGACCTCCTAAGTTTGTTTCTGTAAAATATTTATTTTTTTCAGTAATACTAAGGTTGCCTTACAAAAAATGGAAAAATAAACATGGAATATGAAAATATTTTTCAGTGGTATGAATAATCTGTGAGGATAGAAACTGTCTCATTGGTTCATTTGTTTTAAAACATATGTCAAGCCAGGCGCCAGTGGCTCATACCTGTAATCCTCCAGCTACTCAGGAGGCAGTGATCTGGGGATCGTGGTTTGAAGCCAGCTTAGGCAGGAAAGTCCATAAGAATCTTATCTGCAAAAGCCAGAAGTGAAACTATGGCTAAATTGGTAGAGCTCTAGACTTGAGCAATAAAGCTTACAGACGGTACCTAGGCTCTGAGTTCAAGCTCCAGGACTGACATAAAACTAATAATAATTATAATAATGTGAGAAAGAGCGCCTAACACAAAGGCATTATAGTAGTCAGAAAGTACCATGTGAATGATCTTCATTGGGTTTTCTGCCTTCTTCCTGTCCTCCAAGATCAGTGGCCTTCAGATTGCATTTTTTTGGACTAAATTCTCATAACATCCTGTTTGAAAAGAAATGTGACTATATCATCCTGTTAAATTAATTCATTTGTTTACCAAGCTTTGTCAGGTGTGGTAAAGTATGTTAAATACTGTGTTGTACACCAGACAGAGATGAAATTAACTCCTTCTTATGAAGTTGTCAGTCTAATGGAAGAGAATATTAATGGAAGAGAAATACTGCAGCCTCTTTATATGAAGGTGCACAGTGGTGTCCATCTTAGAGCTACATACCGCAGACTAAAGTCAGGCTCTGAGTTTCCAGCTCAGATCTGCTAGTATCACTATGGTCAAGTTACTTCTTTTTGTGTCTTAATTTCCTCCTCTATATTATGCTGTGAAATACGAAGGAAAGTTTGAGAAAATGTCCTAAAAGAACATAGGAGTTATGCTTTATTAAGGGATGATTTTTCTTTTTTCAGGTAAGGGGTAGGTTTATTCAGTAGACCTGCTGGGAATGAGGGAGGGCTGGGAAAGAGAGGGGAAAGAGGGGGAAGAGAGAGGAAAGAGCTAGAGCAGAGAGAAAGCAGAGAGAGCTAGAAAGGAGCAGCAAGAGAGAGCAGGGAGAGCTAGAAAAGAACAGGGAGAGAGTCAAGAGAGCTAGAAAAGAGCAGCGAGAGTAAAGGATGATTTTTTTTCTCTTTCCCTTCCATTAGATTACAACTTTACTGTTACTTTGAGGAAAACTTTGCCCTCTGGTTCTTCCTCCAAACTAATCCAAGCCCCTTCTTATCCTCTTTCCTTATTGATTTTTTTTCTTATTCCCCCCCTCCCCTCCCCCTCCCCCAAGTTGTAAGGCCTGGGCTTTTTTGCTCAAGGCTAGTGCTCTACCACTTTGAGCTATACCTCCCAAGCTCCATGTCTAGTTTTTAGTTGGTTAATTGGAGATAAGAATCTCAGGGACCTTCCCCCTTCCAGGGCTAGTTTCAAACCACAATCCTTAGATCTCATTCTTCTGATTAGCTAGGATTACAAGTGTGAGCCAACAGTGCCCATCTTGTTTTGTCTTCTTACTACTCAGCCTTTAAAAGTGTCATTAGAGCTGATATCCCATATCTCTCTCTCTCTCTCTCTCTCTCTCTCTCTCTCTCTTTCTCTCTTTACTTGATTTGTAGTTTCTAATGAGTCAGACGAAGTAAAGGATGGGTCTTTTCAGGAATAGGATTGGCATTTAGAAACACATAGTGGTATGACAGGTTGACTAAGAGAATGTGGAGGGGAAGAGTGCAGCATAAAGCTAGAAAGGCAACTTCAGGACAAATTGTAATTGTCAATAAAATTAGTGCTGTAGTGTAATTTTTAGAAAACATCTGTAGTGATGCCTGTTTTGGTGAAAATCATGGTTTGGATCAAAATTAGTGCTGAAAAATTACATTTTTACAAAGAAAGGCAACTGTTGAGGTCTATTTTAGTAAAAGTTCTTTTAAAAAATCATTTTGGATAAAAAATATATGTATTAGAGATTCCTCCATTGAAGCTCACTCTTCAGTAGAACCAGCTGAGTTTTTAAGCAGATGCCATCATCAGCTTAAAGAACTCACCTTGCAGCAGGATTTCCCAATGTGGAGATCAAGGGATGCTTCAGGCATTCTGGGGGGAAGGGTGGGGTTGGCTGTCTTGTACATTATATGTGATGTTTGGCAGCATCCCTGGCTTTCTACCTACAAGATGCCGTAACATTTCCTCTACCCAATTTTGATAACCAAAAATGTCTCAGATACTCTGTCAGCAACCTTTGGAGGGGCAGAATTCCCTCTGGTATTCTGAGAAGCACTGATCTGTAACTCTGTCAAGTATAAATTAGGCTATGAGACTAACATTGGGCTCCAGATGAAATGAAGGGATCTGAACTCTTACAGTTGCAGACAGGATTGGGTTGGGCACAGATTTAGAAGATTACTTGTGAGAATCGGCACGATTTGGCAGCTAGTTAGATCTGGAAGGGAAAGGATCTAAAGTGAGTTTCATGCTTTTTATTTCATTGAGTGCATTATAAAACAGTACCACTAATCTATAGTAAAATAAAGATCATTGTTTTGGGGAACAAGGTCTGAGCCCATGGGTTCAAAGGTAGGAAAGTTTTAGAACTACTATTAGCGATTCCTATTCTGATAGATTGTTAGATTTAGAAAGGACAGTCTAAGTAAGCATTTGATGTAGGTTTAGATTGAGGACTAGGCCAAGAGAGAAATGACATACTTTAAGGCAAAGAGAATGTCTCCTAAATCTCAGTTCTTGGTGTGTGAGTGGAAGGGGAGGTAACTAGGGCTTATACCTAGGTCCTCACATTCCCACTCAGCTTTCTTGTTCATAGCTAGTACTCTACAACATTATCTTCAGACTGGCTTTTTGTTTACTGGTTAATTGGAGATGGAGACTGTTCTGCCTGGCCTGACTTTGAATTTCTATCCTTAGATCTCAGCTTCCTGAATAGCTAGGATTACAGGTGTGAACCACAGTACCTAGCTATTATTTGTGTATTAATAGTTCCTTAAGTGATGCAAGTCAAGTAACTGCCATTCCCTTTCTACTCAGACATACTCTCTGTAATACATTAGGAGAGAGCTTTATTTGAAGGAATTATATTTTCATTGACCCATGTAGGTCTTAGTTAAAATATACATGTGAGCATTATTGTTTCTTTTTCATGTGTGTGTGTGTGTGCATGCACGCATGTGTGTGTGTATGTGTGTGTATGTATGTGCTTGCCTTGGGACTTGAACTCAGGGCCTGGGCACTGTTCTTGAGCTTCTTTTTGCTCGAGGCTAGTGCTCTACCACTGAGCCACAGCTCCACTTACAGCTTTTTCTGAGTAGTTTATTTATAGATAGAAGGTCTCACAAACTTTCCTGCATGAGCTAGCATCAAACCTTGATCCTCAGATCTCAGCCTCATAAGTCACAGTCACCCAGCTTATTTTGTTTCTTCTTAAAATTTACAAAATAGTAATGCTCAAGAGGTGATTTGGTAACACACTGGCATATGTCATAATTTACATAGACTTTTAAGGAATTAAGACACTCAGTTCCTGACCAAAATGCTGAAAATTCTGTGAAACTAGTTGTGTATGTGTGTGTCTGTATCTGCAGGTACTTATTTCTCATTCCTAGGAGAAGTAGTAAACACTTAGGATTTCCTTTTTCCTTAATATGTCATCAGCCCCCTTTTTCTTGAATTTTCCTTCCCTTATTACCAACAGGAATTTACTTGGGTATTTTTAATCTTGAAGGTAAAGAGCAGTCACCTTTGGAGATGAGTATGCATTCTGCAGTAGCGGCTCCTCTCTCAGTATTTGCTAAGGAATCTGCATCCTCCAAACACAGTGACCACCATCACCATCATCACCATGAACACAAGAAAAAGAAGAAGAAGCACAAGCATAAGCATAAACACAAGCACAAAACCCAAACGTAAAGTGAGAACAAAGACAAGGACAAGGAGCTTTGGCTTTCTCCAGCCCTGCCTATACAAGTGCACGTTCTCTCTGAGACTGAGAAAGGGACAGAGACCCTTTCCCCTCTGTGTCCAGAAGATACATCGATGCAGCTTTGTTCTCTAAAGAATGACAAAGGGGAAAGTGGAGAATCCATTGAAGTTCTAGGCACTTGACATATATACAATTGATTTCTAATTAGGAAATTGCATTTTATGGTTCTGGATAAAGTGTTTCATCCCTTGTTTTCTGCACACACACACACACAGCAAACTTCTTTTTACAAAAAGCCCTCGTTTCCATTGGCAGTCCCATTGACATCATGGTCTCTATGTGTACTGCCAAAGTCAATTATGTTTGAAAGCCTTTGATGGATGTTATGGGATAAACTTGTGTTTCAAACAGTAGCAACTGCCAAATTTGTGGTGTAACCACTGTTTCCATCGAAATACTGTATAACACCACGTGGAACTGCCGAAAAGAAGAAGGCTTTCTGTAGGACATTTCCTCTTGCACTTTTTTTTTGTGCTGACCAGACAGGTTAAAGTAATTTTTGAACAAAGAATATGCTGTATTTCCCTTTCCCTGAACTACCAAAGTTTTTGGAAGAGGTTAACTTTTTAACAAAAAAAGTTTAAGTGACTATCTTTTGATTACACATTCGGCTGTTAAAATGTTGGAGTTTAGCAAAATAACCGTATCAAAGTTGTTCTCAAATCAAGATGCTTCAATTATAAGTTTTGTTCTCCATGTAAATGAGTAGTTCACATGTAAAATATGTTTTGCCAGCTGTTCACTCACACAACACATATTCTTTGTAAAGTTTTGTATATCACAAAATAAGTTTATATGTTGTTTGTTTGATCTTCACACCAATAGGTCTCAAGCATCTTAAAAACACAGATGTTTTGATTTTATAGTTTGTATTGTTGTGTACTTTTTATTTTTATTTCTGCATTTACCATGTTCTTTATTGTTTAAGAATGTTTTTCAGGTCTCTTCACTTTTTAATCATTTTCCTTAGTAAAAAAAAAAAAGTTGACAGAATTCTTATTCCCAAAATAGATACTTCAAAAAGGAATCCAATAACATTGGACTTTTAATGTACTTTTAGTTATATTTAACTTGTTTAATAAATAATTTTTTAAATGGAGTGTTTGCTTTGTAATCATTTTGTCTTTTGTGTTTACTCCCCCCCCCCCCCCCCCCCTTCTCTCTGTAGGATATAGTTCAAACGTTTTCAGAGATTTCTAAATGGGTAACATTTGAGCTGGCTGCACCAGCTTGGATGGTTTTAGTCAGAGATGGGGTAAAGTCTCAGCAGCAGAGCTAACAGTATTGTCGGCACAAAAAGAATATGATCAGAGGTTGAAGGGCCTGAATGAAGATCCAGTTAATGAAATGTTGGATGAAATTAATTTTGGAAAATAGAATATTTTGTATTACAGTATGTAGTGCTCCCCTATCTAGAATTGCCCACTTGGAGACTACATTATCAAAATAGCAATAACTCTCTCTGGGGAAGGAGACTGAGAGGCATTATGTAATATCCAGGCATTTTATTTTTTCATCACTTTTTCAAGGGGCTTCCATTTTAAATGTGTTCATTTATGTATACAGAGTATCTTGGACAAAGTCATCTCCATCTTTCCTCCTCCATCCCAAATCAGTCTCATCAAACAGTTGCCTTGTTTCATTTTCACACATTTATAGTATATAGATTATTATTTGCTCTCTTTCCTCCTTTACCCACCCACTAGTCTAGTACGACTTCCTAATATTCTGTCTACTAAATTGCATGTTAATCATTGAAAGGTTTTTTGTTTTTGTTTTTTTTCCCAAAGGTTTTTACTATGGTATCTCCTAACTGCATGAACCATGTTTTACTCACATTGATCATATGTATGTATGTGTTTATACATGTTTCCATATGTATATCCTGTATGTGTTTACACATTTATGATTTAGGTCTAACAACTAAAAAAAAACAAACACGTGACCTTTATTTTTAACTTGGCTTGCTTTAATATGTCTTCAAGATTTACTTCACGGCAAATGATATAACTTAACTTTTTTGGCTGAATATTATTCCATTGTGTGTATGTATATATGCATACCATATTTTCTTGGTCCATTCTTTTGTTGTAGGGCACCTGGGCTGTTTTCATAGATTGACTGTTGGCAATTAGTGCTGCGGTGAACATAGGTGTGCCAATCGCACTCTCACATCCTGGCTTAATCCTTTGTATAAAAGACATTTATATAGTGTTTATTTGTTTTAACAAATAGTAGCACTAGATATGTATTTGGAGAATTCTTTTTACTTTTGTATCTCTCTTTGATAGCTTCCACACTTTGTCATAGTTATAAATGTGTTCCTAATTTTGTGATTAAAACTCCATTTTGTTTTTCTTTTGTACCTTTTTTTTTTTTTTTTAATGTGTCAAGCTTATAATCCTTCATTGAACTAATGTATACCTGGACTTTATTTTGGAAAAGCTAGGTAGGGATCCAACCCTTCCTTCTAGAATGTGATGCTTAAAAAACTTCAAAAAACTTTTTTTTTTTTTTTAGAATTTTATGTATGCACACTTTCTTATAAATTGGGTCCATGTTTGAACTTTGTAGCTGATTTCATAGATCTATCTACTCACCTGCCAGTACCATACTGTTCAGATGATTGTGGACCTCTGATATGTTTTGCTATATTTGCTGTTCATTACTTTCTATTTTCAGAATTTCTTTTGTATCTTGTGGATTATTTTTTTCTCTGTTTAAGCTAGTAATGTATATCTAGAAAATTTATGAATTTTGCTCTTAATGGTTTGTTTCTGTGAGTTTTTAAGAACTCATCCAAAGTACCTTCATGCCCTGCTTTGTCATCTCCCTTCCCTTGATATCATTGTTCAGTTTTCCAACCTTATAATTTCATCTTTTTGTGGGGTTACTTTTCTTTATAAATACCTTAACAAGTGTTTTAACCTCTTCACAAGATTGTTTTTGTATTTGTATTGGTTATATGTTAGGAAAGGACTTAGAATTGATGTCCTGATGTTGGTTATTCTTAAGAATGCTGATACTATTAATATAGCACTTTAACAATTGTTACTTATTGAAATATATAATTAACACTTTCATTAGATTATACTAATTTTGTGTATAGTTACCTCACTGAGTTATTATTTCCAACATCTTAAAGCATTTCTTTGATCTTACAGAGAAGTAATCCCAGCCACACTTGGTGATGATTTTCTTACCTCTTTCTAATGGGTATACATTTAACGTTCTGATTTCTCCAGTTTCCTTTTTCTTGTGGAGTGTAAATGAGAGCTGTGGGTTAGATATCATCACACTTTCCTACCTACCGACTGCATTTGGCAGTCCTTGTTCACATGTGCAGGGTAAGAGTTTCACAGTTCTTGTGAGGTAGAAATATATAGGGTTGTTTCTTTCCTTCATTTTTATGACTTTTTTTTTTTTGACTGAGTCTTAAAAATAATAGTGGAGAAGCTACTCATCTGCAACCAACTTCTTGCAAATTCCTTAAAAGATTACTTTGATTGAAGCATCTTTGTGTTGAAGTTCTTGGCAGAAATAACTGGACAGCTACCTAAAGAATTGGCTTTTTAGATTTGACAAATGCATTGTGCTAATAAGAAAAAACAGTAAAAGGAAAGAACCATTACTAACAGGCTTGTAATCTCTCCCAACTATAAAAGTATTTTGCTCATTTCTAGTACCTAAATTATTTACTTTTTCCTTCATATTTTTGTTACTCGCATCGGTTGTACGGAAGGTTTAATTTTGGCACATCTGTATGTGCATTCACCTGCTCCATCACCGTTCCTCATTCCTCCATGCTTTTCCCAAACTCATGTATTATCTCCACGGAGAGAGAACATTCACATTCATCTCCTTTAGATTTAGAAGAAAATTTATATGCTTAGTGAATAGCATTGAGGACAAAGATAGCAACAATAATGACCCACAACATGTAAGCTAAAGAAAATTGGCAGGATATCTTCTAAAGGAGAAACGCAATAGTTGAGAAGTAGATAGCCTTTTAAAAAACAAAACCAAACCCCTATTATTAGCTAAGAACTTACAGCTGTGCATATTGGTGGAGTATGAAGTGACTGGCTACAATGTAAAATAATGAAAGTAACGTATATTCCCTGAAATGCCTTTTTTTTTTTACCTGTCCCTGGGCTTTTGCTGCTCAAAAGCTAGTGGTCTACCACTTGAGCCACAGCTCCATTTCTGGCTTTTTGGTGTTTAATTGGAAACAAGAGTCCTACAGACTCCTGCCCACGCTGGTTTCAAACCATGGCCCTCACATCTCAGCCTCCTGAGTAGCTAGGGTTACAGGTGTGAGCCACCAGCGCCCAGCTTCAAATGCTTTCTATTTTTTTGTGGGTGAAAACATTTGAACTTTACTCTCACCAGTTTTGAAATGCATAATATAGTTCTATTAACTATTCACCATATTGTGCAACCGAATTAAAAAGAAAACAACTTTATTCCTTCTGTGTAGCTGAAATTCTGTACCCTTTGACCATCATCTCCCCATCCTCCAGTCCCTGCAACCACTGCATTGCTCTTTCTCAGTTTAAATCATTTAGATTTCTTATATAAATGAGAATGTATATTTATCTTCCAGTGCCTGACATTTCACTTAGCTTATTGTCCTGTAGATACCTCTATGTTGTCAAAATGACAGAATTTTTTTATAAAGCTCATTACTATTCCATTTCATGCGTGCATGCATGTGTGTGTGTGTGTGTGTGTGTGTGTGTGTGTGTGTGTGTGTGTGTGTGTGACGTTTTCTTCATCTGTTGGTGAATATTGGGTCAATTCCATAATGTGGGTATTGTAAATATGCACAGAAATGCACAACAAACTAATTTCAGCTCTACTTGGTAAATACTCAGAGGTGGGATTGTCCAATCATATGTTAAGTTCTTGATTTAGATTTTGAAGAATTCCATAATGGCTGTACTGATTAACATTTACTCCAATAGACTTCTTTTTGATAATAGCCATCCTAATAGGTGTGAGATGGAATCTCATTGTGCTTTTGATTTACAGTTCCCTAAAAATGAGTAATTTTTTCGTATAGCCTTTGCTTTTTATGTCTATCTGCTTTTGGGAAATGTATTCAGATCTCTTGCCTGCTTCTAAATTGCATTGTTTTCTTTCTGTAACTTGAATTTCTCATGTATTTTGGCTATTACCCCTTTAATCTCAGATCTCAGCCTCCTGAGCAGCTAGGATTACAGGCGTGAGCCACCGGCGACCAGCTCTCTGTGCTTCTTAGGTATGATTATATTCCTTGGTTACTCTGATATGATTGGCTTGAAACATTGGTTACATTAACTCTGTGCACTTCATGTAGGTCACATTCCTATTTGGATTGGATTGGTGTGGTAAACAGAATTTTGCCTGTCAAGGTGGAGGTTAATGTGCAGGATTGTACATGAAGAAACATCACAGAACACATAGTATTTCATTTTCCTGAACTCAAGCCTTCAGAAGGCTGGCCTATACCAGATGTTCAAGGTAGCATAAGGGTTAGATTTTACCAGAATAGTCGAGAGACAAGGACCAAGCCCAGCAAATTTAGATGAGTCAATGTTTGAAAAACTTCTGTTATTTCTCAAGATAAACTTTCACACCAAAACATGTTTCTTGGGTGTGTGGATCGCCCTTCCCATTTGATGATGAGTCACTGAGATCAGAGGTCATGTCGTTGGTCTGCTTGTGAGGCTAACTCTCCTTTAACCATTCAGCTCTGAGGCAAATCACTGTTTGGCACTTAAAATGGGCTGTTTTTATTGAATTGGATGTGAAAGCAAATGGGTGACAATCAGTCAGAGATGAAATATTCTGCTGCAAGATCTTGGATGTAGAGAAACAGGGAATCTAGTTTCTATGTCCCAGCTCTCCAAGTGTCTTGGGTTGTGGCCAGAAAAAAAAATCAGCCAGCCTCACTGGGGCCATTGTCTTTGAAAAATAGGAAATGACTAGATTGTTTCAAGGTGCCTTGGCAGTTGCCAAACTCCTAGGATTATTCTGTTATGACTATGTAGTATATACGTAGAGAAAATCTAGATTATAAAACCTTTATGTTTTAAATTTAGACAGCTTTGATTG